TTAAGTTATAATATTGTACCGGTACAGATAAGGATGTTGACCTGTACTGTCAGGGATGTAAATTTAAGTTATAATATTGTACCGGTACAGATAAGGATGTTGACCTGTACTGTCAGGGATGTAAATTTAAGTTATAATATTGTACCGGTACAGATAAGGATGTTGACCTGTACTGTCAGGGATGTAAATTTAAGTTATAATATTGTACCGGTACAGATAAGGATGTTGACCTGTACTGTCAGGGATGTAAATTTAAGTTATAATATTGTACCGGTACAGATAAGGATGTTGACCTGTACTGTCAGGGATGTAAATTTAAGTTATAATATTGTACCGGTACAGATAAGGATGTTGACCTGTACTGTCAGGGATGTAAATTTAAGTTATAATATTGTACCGGTACAGATAAGGATGTTGACCTGTACTGTCAGGGATGTAAATTTAAGTTATAATATTGTACCGGTACAGATAAGGATGTTGACCTGTACTGTCAGGGATGTAAATTTAAGTTATAATATTGTACCGGTACAGATAAGGATGTTGACCTGTACTGTCAGGGATGTAAATTTAAGTTATAATATTGTACCGGTACAGATAAGGATGTTGACCTGTACTGTCAGGGATGTAAATTTAAGTTATAATATTGTACCGGTACAGATAAGGATGTTGACCTGTACTGTCAGGGATGTAAATTTAAGTTATAATATTGTACCGGTACAGATAAGGATGTTGACCTGTACTGTCAGGGATGTAAATTTAAGTTATAATATTGTACCGGTACAGATAAGGATGTTGACCTGTACTGTCAGGGATGTAAATTTAAGTTATAATATTGTACCGGTACAGATAAGGATGTTGACCTGTACTGTCAGGGATGTAAATTTAAGTTATAATATTGTACCGGTACAGATAAGGATGTTGACCTGTACTGTCAGGGATGTAAATTTAAGTTATAATGTTGTACCGGTACAGATAAGGATGTTGACCTGTACTGTCAGGGATGTAAATTTAAGTTATAATGCTGTACCGGTACAGATAAGGATATTGACCCGTACTGTCAGGGATGTAAATTTAAGTTATAATATTGTACCGGTACAGATAAGGATGTTGACATGTACAGGTCAACATTCCTAACTTGACCGGTACAATAATAAAACTTAGTTTTCCAGTTTGTTTTATCAGGAAAATTACAACTATTTTTACATTCATGCACATATTTGTTCAGACTATACTTCTGAATTATTATTAATAAATCTGGGCAGAAACTCTGCTTTTTAATCAAACAATTTGTATCTATCAACACAACTACTGCAGTCAATCGATTCAAAAGGAATTTAAATGATAACTTATTCCTGCCCATTCAACATAGCCTTCCAAAAATAAGTAATCTCTTGACGTCACCAATACTTTCTATGGATGACCATCCTATTAGACTGCAGCAGAATAATGTTACTTTTTATTACATTTGCCCATCAACCTATCTTCACGGCAGTGTCAAATGCTTTACGGAAATCAGCATATGAACGAAAACTTTTTTTACCGAGGGAAAATAAACGGATATAAGTGCATGCAAGACATTTTCTGTTGTAGAACCTATCCTATTTCTAAATTCAGCTAAATAACAGTGTTGAGTGCTTTTTAAGTATTCGTTTATGATGCCATCAATATTCGGTGCTTTGTTACTACTAAGATTACAACTGTATCAAGTAATTAATGTATTACAGTGTATGTATACTGTTTTTATTCAGCACTAATCACGACAACGCAAAACGAACGCGCCAGTACAGTCGCGTCCTTCCGGCACAGGCAAGAGTACGAGTACAGTCTGGGATGTAAGCTGACAGGTCCTGATGCTCTGTTCGGCGTAGCTTGCGCAAACAAGAAGAGTCTGGTTCTTTCCGAAGATAAATAACCAGTACCAAACTGTTCAGTCGTACCGACAGTGGTCAGATTAATCACGACGCTCAGCGACAAACTGTATCGAGTACGCCCGACGTAAGTATATAACTTACGTGTCCTACTTGTCAACTTACGTGTCCTACTTAATTGTCAACTTACGTGTCCTACTTGTCAACAACGTTACAGTAGTGCTCTCGACTTAATGTTAGTCGCTTTAGGCCCTACTGGAGCATTCAAAGTAGGAACTCTTTTATCCAAGCTTGTCATGCAAAGTACGGAATTTGTAGGTTGCTCATAATTTCCCTCAATATAACGGAGCATGGAAGTGGTTTGGGTATCGTGTACTGTATCCAAAACAATGTGAAACTATGACCATGGTCAAACTGTTATAGACTTTGTTGTCTTGTCTGAAAAGTGACATTTTATTACAGGAAATGTATGTACAAACATAGCCTATGTATTATGAAAAGTTAAATCATAACCGTATACAATTTTGTACACGCACTCCTGAATCCTCGGACGGTAGTGATTAGCATCGGATATACAAAGAAAATGCTTTCATAAATGTTTAATATAAATCATAACTAATAAACGAAGCTAACAAGGCTAGACGCACGAGCCATGCCCGCTCGTCCGAGTTAGAAACTGTTCTGTACAGTGTAAAGGTAACATAATACTTGGTTCGCTGATGCATACTATTTTTGTTCACTATAGTCAGCTTTATTACTTTTGCGCGAATTTTGCCATAAACATTAAAGGGACATCACGTGAAAAGGCGGGTTTTTTTAATGAATGTATGTATTGTATGCACTTCCACTTATGTTACCTCGCTATCCCCATATTCATAGTCCGTTCCAAATGTCCAGTTTGACCACTTGAATTGTTCGGGAAAGCCCGGCTAAAAATAGCGCCGATAACGTCACCTGATTAGGCAGCAAACACAAGTGGTGCGAGCGAGATGAAACGGTTTACNGCAATGATTCAAATATTCATACATATGTACATAACAGCAATGATTCATATGTACATATATATTTACATAACAGCAATGATTCCTATATACATATATATTTCAGTGTTTATTTTATATGGATAGACCGTGGACTAATGTTAAATGCTGACAGTGTACATGTTTTTTGTTTGTTACAAAATTATAAAGTAAAACAACGGAATTTAAATGTTAGTCAGTTTGTTTGGTTATGCATACATATACGTACGCCTTTTTTAGGACTGGTTGATTGGTGTTACCTTGCCTGATGAATGTGTACGGCCATGTGATTTCGGTTTTTTATTCTTGATGTTATAAAGACATTTGAAAATGACAGCCACCCAGAAGTCTTTGGTGTTTTTCGTAAATGGACATAAAGTAAGTTTTGGTATTATTTCTTCCTACACCATGAAGGTACTGCCCGACCTATCTTTAATACTGGTATAACAATAACACATTCCTGCTGGTATGAAATCGTTAAAAAGATAATTATACGACTTAACATTATAGCTTTGGTTGACCAGTTTCAGAGCCCGTAAGAGGAAATATTGTACACTTGGGCCTATTTTGACCTAAACGTGACCGACATTAAATTCAAAAATAATGCTTTTTAGTTAAAGGGACTTCTTGGTTACACCAAGATCAGAAGTTCGAAACCGTGTGTTGGAGAAAAATTATATTGTTATATGTATTTTTTTCTAAAAATGAAAGCAAATAACTATAACATTTTGTACATAAATATTTTCGTATAACACGAGGGAAAATGATATCTCTTATCGTTTATCAATAGAAATATTGTCGTCTGTAAATATCTAACGATATTTTGTCTTCATTGCTTGTAAAACCTATCTTTATCATTATGTAATCTAATGTGTCAAACATCAATTGAGCTGTTTAACTAACGTTAATTGAATTAATGTTTTGTTTCTTTCCTTTTATTGTATGTCTCTACAATATTCATAAAAACATGTACAATCATGACGGGAGCGTTTAAAATATACCCGATACCAGAGTAAGCGTACAAGTACTGTTTAAAATATACCCGATACCAGAGTAAGCGACGTACAAGTACTGTTTTAGACTCGAGTCACCGAATGCACGTGCCTACTTGGTCAATTGATCGTGTACTTCTAGACCGTGTCATTGCGGCAAACTGAAATAACAGCTCGCCGTTCCTTACTCGAAACGTTTATGAAGGATGCCGCTTCGCTCCAAAAAGACAGCGAGGGATAAATGTATCTTTGCAAAGGATAATTAGGCAGAGGATATTTGATGGTTTCTCATTAAATACCACGAATATTGTTCACAACTGCGTTTCGCATGGACTCCTCAAAACAGTTCTACCGTTTAATGATATGATATCTGCTTTAAAATGATCTGAATTCCGCATCTGGTAAATGTGATGATATGAAAAGCAAAGATATACATAATAACCACTTTCCTACCGTTGCTCCATCTGCATATGACCAAAAATGGCGGCTTTCAATATAGTGAATAGATTGGTCGGCACCAAAGGTGTTCTATTCCAGCTATTACGAATATCACATGGGTTTTACGGCTACTGCGTAGGCAACACTAAACGTTGACTCGATATCATGACGGTTTTGGTATTTCAATCCTCTTCTCTTTGCTTCATCTTCCTCTATTTAAGATTGTGGAGGATAATCCAAATCCGACGACAACCTTGCTGCAGTATCTTAGACGCAAATGTATCCTTATCACTGTTCAGTTCAACGGATATTGAAATACGAACGTAATTTTGTTTTTCGAAACTCCACTTAACATCATTGATATTCTGTTTTCATCAGTACGTCATGTGTATCGGAAATATATCGAGTCACTGGCAGCGTAATAATTTTGAAGAGTTGTTAACTTACAAGCAGTTACATTAATAGTCGCCATTAGTTAAAATTACACTAACTGATAAAGTAATATTGAAACTACATGAAATATGACTGCTCTAAATTTGACAATTTGACAAGGGCATTTGTCAAGTTAGATATTGTTAGGGCGATTTCTATTAAATAATTATTTACTATTATGTGAACATTACTTAAGTTCCAATAAACTTTTAAAGAAGTCAACACTTCTCCTTAGCAATATTAAGTGAAACTCACAGGGACAAAGAACGGCTGCAATCAAGGAGGATGTGGATCCTGTACAGTGATGATGTCGTGGTGGCACAAAACGGAACAACAACTCAAGTATCCTTTAAGAGATAGCTGACTGAAGTTTATGTAGTTGGTTAAATATTGAAATATCATAATCTCGAACGAAAACATCAACAATCGATATTGTATTAAATCGCCTTACAGTAGTTTAAAAATGAACGTGAACACTTATTCTTTTTTCATATACTAAACCATAAGTTTAGCATACGCTTTAGCGACTATTTCATAATACTTTGGAGATGTTTCAAATTAAATTACAAGGACATTGTAAACGTACTTATAGAGCTTGTTTCCGAGTCGTCGTTGTTAATGTTTTTGTATATAACATCAGTTTTGAATTATTAGAAATAAATAAAGTTTAAACTAAAATTTATATCCATTATGTACATTGCATTATACTCATACGATAGCATTCGATATACATTAAAATCATTATAGCGGCCTTTGTTCATAAATTATGTAGTGACACAAATAGGTAATACGTTCTTAATTTCTATTTAGCGAATACTAACTTGGTCGGTAATTTTAGTTCGATATCAATGATGTAATGTGTCGAAAAGAGGTAATTTATATTAGCTATTACATCAGTTGAATCGTTTACTTTGTAAAACATTGGGTTAATAGTTCTCAGCTTACTTTAATTTCCGTAAAGACGAAATACATTTAGCTCAACATGTATTCTAAGTACTATTAATGATTATAATAATCAATACTTTTGACACACTAGTTAAATTATTGATCTGTCTTTACAACTTACGAGACACTCCAGTGTAAATGCCTGCCTCATTTTGGTATGCCAGCTCCATGGTTACGCCATAACGACGGTGGAAGGAGTTGGAAGCACAAGACATGGACTCAGCAAAGTACAGGTTTGCAAATTACTCTTATTTTGAAAACAAAGCTTACACTTAAAACTTTTATATTACAATGAACATTTATTAAGGTTTATTGAGATAATGAATTAATCATGTTATGAATAGAATGCTGATAACAAGAGTGTTCAGTTATTGTTCTAAATTAGAATTCTAAATATGTTATTGATTGTCTTAATTTTGTAAAAAGAATAACTGATACATGCCCTCATATATTTCAGACATTTTGATGTAGACATCTTTTGAGAACTTTGGAGAACTGAAAAATTAAACACTTCGTTTTTATCATAAGGAAATTCACTGCGGTAATATTTATTTTGAAAATTACAAATAAGAGGAGGTTTTATGCACTTCCCGTTCGGTTCTAACGGTAGTTGAGACCTGTTTGGATTTCCAATGCTTTGGCTCATTGCATCACCGTTGAGTCCTAAAAGGACGAAACAGCTACACGGTGCAGTGTAATTTGTCTTTGGTCCTGATGAAGCCATTACTAAATTGTATATGTGCAGTTACATGTGTGAGTGTGTTCTGTTCATCTTTACACATAGCATACCATGATAAATAACTGCTTATTACCATTTCAACAACTACTTTAGCTACATTAAATAGAGGTAACAGAAAGTGTTCATTGATCACAGAAGTTACAATTTAGCACATAGGAATTGTTAAAATGTGTTTGTATATTTATTCTAATTTGATACACATGTATTCTGAAGTTTAATTGTACAATAACGTTTACAGATGATCATGGCCTTTGCCCTTAGCATGTTGAAATGTAATGTTATATCTGTCTAATGTACACTGCAGGCTTTATAATTGAGAGGAATTAAAAAAAAACCTATTTAACTGATTTCGTAGTGAAAACTACATGAAGAAAGTAAAATGGGATCTAATTTGCTTTTATAATTGTATATAAGACAGCTATGGTTTTGATTAAAAAAAACTTTGTAGCGTCCAACTAGTTGATATAACAGAGGCATTCAATTTGTATTATGGACATTGTAATAACAAACAAATGGATGAGTTGTTCATCCTACAGTTGTATAAACCTTGTATTTACAGACACGCTTGATTGAATCGTTCGGTATTCAGTGTGGCTTCTGTACTCCTGGAATGGTGATGACTATGCATACTCTGCTGCAGAATGACAACAATCCATCTGAACAGTCCCTGGAGAAAGTCCTAGAAGGTAGTGTACAATATTATCCAGAGACTATTAGTGTTCTAATTCATCTTTAAGCATAATTTTCATTTCATCTTTTTACAATGGTGTTGGTTCATGCAATAAAACCAAAAAAATAAAAACAAAAATGACCCCCAACACCGCCAGTAACAGTTTAAAGCTCCCTCGAACAGCATCATACTGAGTGGTTTAAATCTGCCAATACCACCTAAAGTAAGTCCTTACAAAAATAAGATAGTTTGTATCACGTCGATCTACTTTTTTCAAAGAATGACATCATGGCTATTTAACGAAGTAAAATTCTTGTTATTTTAACTAGAACTTGTCATATCTTTACATCGTACAGGATTGATACAATCTATTTATAATAATAATAATAATATATAGCATTTGATACAGCGCTCTATCTAGCTAACATAAGCCTCTCTAGAGTGCTTTACAGTACACATATATACAATTAGAACAATTAGCATATACATTAATCAATACAATTTTAAGGAAATCGCAGGAGCTACCCTATCAGGCGCTAACAATGTCGTTCAACTCACTTAATCCAGGTCAAAGTTATATTTTTTAGAGTTGGTTTAAACAATATTTATTTCATCATTTGCACACTTCATTGCAATACAGTGCAGATACAACGAGGATCGGATAACAAGCCATACGCTTATATTAATTCCTCTCCTCTAGTACAGTTGCAGCACTTTACATGTATCGTCTGCAAAAAGTTGAACTTAACATCTTAGATTAACAATTATATCGTTTATATAAACATGAAACAATTACCACGTCATTATATAATAAAGGAGGGATAGAAGAAGATTTCTTTGAAAACCCAGTAAACCTGTTTGCTATTGTCCACCATTCACGTGAAGAATATTGTGTAAGCCTAAGTTTATCAGCTAGTTAACTAAAATAATCTGCCTTAGCTTTTCTTGTAGCATCAACACAAGAACTTCTTAACTGTTTAAACTTATTCCAATGAACTTGGTTCTGAGTTCGCTTAGCTTTCCTATGGATACGTTTTCGTGAACTTTTAATGTTCTTAAATGTATATTATTGTGCATCCAAGGGATCTTGAGAACGGACAGTAATTAATTTGTTAGGGATTGAAACTGAAGCACATGCTAGTATGGATTCGGTTAAGAAGTTGACTGCATCTTGTAGAGGAGAATTTCTATTTTGGCTCGCCAGTGGATTGCACCAAGTTTGGTATTGGACAAATGATAATCGCCCTGATTATATAACCATATTTTCCTTTTAAAAGGTATAATTGCATATGTATTTAGGGATATCTAGGTGTATATATATAGTGCAATGATTTCTGTCTATAGCTGGTAGAACAGATTCGCAGACTGATACTTTTTTTAATTATGTTCATGTTGTTAACTATGAACACATCAAGTAAAGAAGAAGATGATTCCGTGAAGTTTGTAGGTTCCTCCACTAATTGTGTCAAAGAGAAACGGCTAAGTATATCATTGATACGTACAGGCCTGTCAGTACCGGTAGAGTTCAATAGATGTTCATTAAAGTATCCCGTAATGATAATGTTACTAATATTCGTATCAATTGCTAGGTCTATAGAGTTATCTATAAGATGCCATAACTCATTACTAGAGTTTGGAGGTCTATACAAAGTTCCAATGAGGATGCCCGTATTGTTTATACTTAACTTCTATCCCTCCTTTATTATATAATGACGTTGTAAAGTAAAATTTCTAATTCTGTTCACACACACTGCTATGCCTCCGCCTATGCGGTTGTATCTACTATTTAGGAATGGTGGGTGGAATCTATCAGATAGCAAATCATCAGATGTTTCAGTTACAGAGTTCAGCCATGTTTCAGCAATAGCAATTATATCAAAATTTTCAAGTTCAGACCTGAAAATATCTATTTTAGGTAACAGACTTTGGACATTTTAATGAACCATTGACAAATCACACCTGTTATCTAATGACTCAGTACTATAGGATGAAATAGAATCGGAGTCGTTCACTAACGGACCGGGGTTCAGTTCAACGTCTCCGCAGCGATATAGCAAGTATACCAACCACAAAATGTATAATGATATTATGGAACAAATGAACAAATACAAAAATAAGATTTAAAAGTTATTACTTACAAAGGTTGTTTGCTGTTTTTGCTTGAGATTGACAGTTGCATTTAGATTGCCTTCACATGTCAAAAATAAAAACATGATAATCGGGAGTGATCTCAGATTATAAAACCAAAACAAGTTTATCATCAAAAGAAAGAATAGATTGATCCTCTTTTTTGGATGTGGAAAACGAGCTCTGATCCCATGCATACCAGTTCTAATGCGGTGACAAAAATAATCAACTGGCATTAAGTGATACGGTTTTTATCATAAGTGATTCGTTGGATATCATAGTCATACTAGTAGGATATTTTATACAACTACCATACATACAATATCATATATAATCATTGATATTGATAATATATATTAATACAATGCAGTTTCGTGTACATTTCACTTATAAACTACAATGGATTATGCATAGTACGATATAAACACAAAGAGTCAGTAAATATTCCCATTATAGTTAGACCCAAGATAGGGATCAAGGTTATTAATGCCGAGAAGCTCCAGACGAGTTAAAAGTCTCTGTGAACTGGAGGTTCGATGGTGTGGCCAAATTGGATGAGATCTGACTCCTCTGTGATTTGGTGTTTGTGTTCGGACTTGTCTCTGACCATAATCTTATTTTTAGAGTTGTTGTCGTTAATCATAAGTTAAATGGGAACTCATGTAAAATCATGTATACTACTATGTATTTATATTTCCAGGAAATCTCTGTCGTTGTACCGGATACAGACCGATAGTTGATGCATTTAGAACTTTTTGCAAAAAGGTAATAATGTGTGTTTATATTTCAAACGAAAGACAATGTGTCTTGAACTTAGAACAACTCTTGCTAAAATCCAATAACTGTTATGTCAAAAATATATTAAATTCTCACAAAAACGTAAAGTTTTGGCGTTTGTAGGATCATTATTTGTGTTCTTTAAATTATGTATTCTATATCGTAAAGCTGTTGAGGTAAATGTGAGAGTGGGAATGAAATCTTTAGTTGCAACTTGGAAAAGTATTATTTATTTGTTTGCCTCAAGGACTGCTCAAATCGGGAAGAATGTGCCGGTGGAGACATTGAGGACATCTGTCGTGATGACACTGATAGGAACAAGACACCCCAGGTACACGATACACATATTCACAAGTATCCATGATTACAAGTATCTGTCTCTTTACCAATTTTAAAACCATAATGTATACAATCAAATATTATCTGCATTTGACAATTTTTAAAGAATATTAAATTAAAGAACAAAATTAATTATTTAAAAAAAAGGCCTTCGATACTTTTATTCTTTAAACCAATTAAGATCAATTGATGTATCAATATGTGGAAATAACACTTTTTGTTGTGTAGTAGCATAGGTGAGGCATTTACATTATATTAATTTAGGGGCAGTAATCAACAGTAAACATTGCCAGAATGACCCCTTTAGAAATATCGCTGTTAGGTTTCCTGCATCAGAAAAATTTGTTCATCTGAAAAAAATATTTGAAACTTAAATACACTGATATACTTTAGGCGTTAACAGTGTTTATTTGAATATCGATTCCAGGGCAGCAGTAACTATAAAGGCGGTGAACAGTTGCAATTTCCAAACGAACTCCAGGTACAGTGTATACTGAAGTGATATCAAAATAATCATTTCTTATGTCATTAACCTTTATAAACTGAAGTTATTTGTGTTGTGAATACATAGTTTGAGTGTACAAAAAGTGATCCTCGTATATACCAGAAGAGTTAAATTGATAGATTTGTTTAAAAAAATGTCATTTTATTATAGAATGAAACCACAACATGTCTGGATTTTCGGAGTGGAGACTGGTGTTGGTTCAGACCGTTGACATTGGGGGCGGTTCTTAGCCTAATGGATCAGCATTCGGACTTCCACATCATAATGGGGGCGACCAATCTAGGTAAGGTATCAATCTAAATGTGGTTGCTGATCTAGGACCTTTTTTCATAAGATAAGGGGCTATCAATTTAGATACATGTACCGATCATCATAATGGGGACTTTCAATCAAGGTACAGTGTCATAATAATTGGAGATATCAGTCTTTAAGGTATACAGTTATTACTGCTATTGTAGTGTGTGTAACCAATCCGGTAATGTATACAGTGATTACTGTTATTGTAGTGTGTGTAACCGATCCGGTAAGGTATACAGTTATTACTGTCATTGTAGTGTGTGTAACCAATCCGGTAAGGTATACAGTGATTACTGTTATTGTAGTTTTTGTAACCGATCCGGTAAGGTATACAGTTATTACTGTCATTGTAGTGTGTGTAACCAATCCGGTAAGGTATACTGTTATTACTGTTATTGTAGTGTGTGTAACCAAACCGGTAAGGTATACAGTTATTCCTGTTAGTGTAGTGTGTGTAACCAATCCGGTAAGGTATACCGTTATTACTGCTATTGTAGTGTGTGTAACCAATCCGGTAAGGCATACAGTGATTACTGTTAGTGTAGTATGTGTAACCAATCCGGTAAGGTATACCGTTATTACTGCTATTGTAGTGTGTGTAACCAATCCGGTAAGGCATACAGTGATTACTGTTATTGTAGTGTGTGTAACCAATCCATTGTAGTGTGTGTAACCAATCCGGTAAGGTATACTGTTATTACTGTTATTGTAGTGTGTGTAACCAATCCATTGTAGTGTGTGTAACCAATCCGGTAAGGTATACTGTTATTACTGTTATTGTAGTGTGTGTAACCAATCCATTGTAGTGTGTGTAACCAATCCGGTAAGGTATACAGTTATTGCTGTTATTGTAGTGTGTGTAACTGGAGCTACCAAAGTACAGTGTCAGTGTAAAACACGTTTTATGTAAAGAAACATTTCTTGCTTCATTTTTCTTCGTAGTGTATAATGGTCACTTAAAAGACAAAGATAGTTAAAAAAAACCCGATTTTAGTTAATGTCTTGACATTGTTAATATAAAAACATAGCCAATGTTTCTGATTCACATCTGTTTCCCTATCTTTTCAAAGGTGAACAAATAAAAACAAAGGTAATCACTCACGGCACATTGATATCGTGCACGCATGTAGAGGAAATGATGGTATTTGAGCAAACAGACGACTGTCTCACGATTGGTGCCGCTCTTACACTTACGGATATTGCCGAGCGTCTGGAAGCATGTACATTGTCTCCATCAGGTTTGTATTTTAATCATGTTACACATTAACAATATGAACACATGATGTTATCTTCTTGGCGTCTTTATATGCCATTTAACAAAAACTTCAGAACATGAATATTATGAGAAATACTGTTTATTCGTATCTCGTAAATAAAGTGATAGGCCAAATGTTCTTGATAAAGAGGTTGATTACCTCGAAAAATTGCCAATTCCTTTTTCTTCACTGTTGCTATTTCTTCATTGCTTATGTTTCTATTTACTCATCCAAAGAACATTGTTTGGTTTAGTTCCAATGGTCATATTGGTCCATATTGTCACTATGACTACTAATGATACCTGATACTATTAGAAGTTCGTTTTACATGTACCGAGGTCCTGTTTTACAATGGAATAAATTACATTTACATCATATATTGATGCAAACGTATGTTTATATGTTTGTGTAAATCGCCTTATGACGAATCACTGGTTACATATACGTGATATGGTTAATGATATACACACTTTACTTTTGTTTCAACAGTAATTTCTACCTTTTTGAATTTCCAACATTTTGGCCCATAGCATCACGGATGAGTCCAAGAAGGACGAAACAACTGTATGCGCAGTTTTATTAGCTCGCCTGTCCGAATGGCAAGCGAGCGTCCGTCGTCCGTCAACGTTTCCTTCAAAATGCTACTTGGAATTTAACTAAATTTAGTCTGGAGCATCCTTGGGCCAAGGGGTCTCCAGTTTGAATAACAATTTGGTGTGGCCCCCCTGGGGGCAGAGGGGTTGGTCCGAATAGGGGAAATAGAGGTAATCTTTAAAATCCTTCTTCCACCATTGGGATGAAGGGATTTCATCCAAATTTGGTATGGAGAATTCATAGGCCAAGTGCACTCTATTTTGAATAAACGGTGGGTGTGGCCCGCCTAGTGGCAGAGGAGAGGGGCCCATTAGGGGAAATATAGGTAAACCTTTCATATCCTTTTTCTACCATAGGGATTAAGGGATTTCATTCCAATTTGGTCTGGATGATCCCTAGGGCAAGGGCACTCATTTGTATAAACTGTGGGTGTGACCCCCAGGGCAGAGGGGAGGGCCAAATAGGGGAATAAGAGGTGAAACCTTTGAAATCATTCTTCTACTATAGTGATAACATGATTTTATCCCAATTTTGTCTCCATCGAGTTTTCAAGTATTGCCTGTTACTATTAGGATGTATTTATTAAAACAAGATGGCCACCAGGCCGTCATCTTGGGTTTTGACATTTGAAGTTTGTTCTCGCTATATCTCCAGAAATACTGGATGGATCTTTCTGAAATTTCATATGTACATACAGTACCAACCATATATTGCTATATACTTACCTCATATCAAGTTCTTTAAACATATCCAGGTGAGCAATATAGGTCCACTGGGCCTCTTGTTCATTTTTGGCATACTGCATCTATCGCCGAATTTTAAAGATACAATCATGGCTGGAGTGTTACTTCATCTTTGATAGGATGCATATTTATATTTTAGTACAGCTTTGAAATTTTGAAAATTTAAAAGGGAATTGCGATTTTCAGCAAAGCTGAGGAATTCACAAATAGCCGAAATTACAGGAATATTCAATGTTTGTAAAGATATATTGTAAGTCGGTTTCGTATATACATGTCATTCGTAAAAAGAAGTTATTTTATATAATTTGTGATGACTGTTAATTGATATATATTTATTATATTTACTTTTCCGACAGGGCGTGGACTACGCGGTCACGTGATTAGCGCTATGCAGGACAGTCTTCGATGGCTGGCCAATCAGCAGATTCGAAACCAAGCGGTATGTTAGGGAAATGTTTTTAATTATGACAATAAAGTAATAATGTTTGATACTCTTCAATTCAATCCATATGTATTAATGTTAGCATATTTTTAAGTGATATACATGGCCTAAATGTCATTGGTTTCAAGGTAAACTAAATATCAGGTACTGAGTTGAAAACGTGTCTCACGTAACCAAACCCAAACTGAACTAACGATCCGAGATTTGATTTTGCACACTGTTGAGTGGTAATGGCGGACATTGTTGGAAATTTCATAAATATCAATTCATATATAAAATTTAAAAACAAAAACCAAAAAAACCCGATTTGGTATATTTCATTTTGCTAGGTGAGTTTCGGCAAGTTTTAAGGGTCAAATTGTGATAGCTTTTAACCATTTTTATCATTTCAGACATAAAACGTTTTCGTTGCAATAAATATGATGAATTGTCAAATACTGATCCCTTTAAAAAACGAAGATAGTTAATAAACTTGTAAAGAAGAATCGCAAAAGGCTTTGGGTCCCCTATATATCTCACTGAGCCTTTATGCTTTAATAAAGGGTCAGCTATCGACTTTGGCATCGAGGAACCTATCTTTATATACTTATAGGGCAGAATAAATTTAACGCTACATCTGCAGTCCATTCCAATTATTATCTGGGTACTTAATGTCAAATTGGTCAATATTAACTAGCGAAACTGTTGTGTGGTATCATTCCAATTACGATATTAAACTGTAGTTTCGGAAAATATCTGATTGTTGCACCGAAAAAAAAGTCTTAACAATGAGGAATTACAACATATTTGAACTGTTTATATTCTGTCAACCAGACTCTCGGTGGTCACGTGACGATAGGAGACCCTCGTTCTGATCTCTGTGTTGTATTAATGGCGGCTGGAGCAACGGCTGTTGTTGCTTCAAAAGGTAGGGTTTTTTTCATAACAATTAAATGCGATTATTATTTGTCGATAGAATGATAAATTGTTGTTTCGATAATGAATTCCTTCATCAACTGAAATACACATTACTTACTAACCTTTGTATCTGAATTTGATAATTGTTTTAATATAGGAATAAGGAACTTTGATCTTATGAAAAATGGACTTTTTTGATGTTACAATTTGGTGCGAACTTGCACCATTGGAATACTACGTTTACGTAATTCGCTCTTTCGAAATCAGTTTTATGCTTTAGCTAAAAAAAGGAAACGGGGAAAACAAGCCATTTAAAATGAGAACTATCAAAATGCAATAATATATTGATATAAATAATATAGGAACTCCAGAAAAACAGTCATAATATAGACTGTCAACTGATTGTTGAAATCGATCATACCTCTGTTGTTTTGGTTTGTTGCAGACGGTAGTAGAGAGATAGAACTTGACAATCAGTTCTTTATCACGGATGGGATTATATCACTTGGTCGGACTGATATTTTGGTATCTGTTAAAGTACCAATTAATCCTGTGGTAAGTCGATCTCAACATCACTTTTCCATGAGTCACTAGAGTAAACACTTTTAAATGGTGCATATTCATCCTGATAAACAATTAACATTCAATAAAACTTGCTTCGTATTTCTAATAAATTGCGGTTACAGTAGATTTCAGATGGTGCTGTTGTAGAGACCAGTGATTTCGCATTCCCATTCCAGAACACCTACGTTGCATACTATAAACAGCCAAGTGAAGGATATGCTGCTCTGAACGGCTGTTTCTATGTCAGCATTAGTGAGTCTGGCCACATTGATGACCTCAGTATTTGTTTTGGAAGCGCGCTCAGCACCACCAGGAAACTTGTAACTGCCTCTTCACTGGCAAAGGGAAGGTAAACTTCTTCGTTGAAGGGTCATTACACATAAACGGTAAATATTGGTAAGAGGAATAATCAAAGGTAAACTTGAGAAACTATAATATACAAATAGCTGACGAAATAGTTCGTTTTTTCACGACACTCGGAATTTTTCTGTAAAAGCGTGGAGTAATCGTATAATGCTTTTGATAAAATGCTTGATTTATAATTATATTTTTTTTTTATTTTTCATTTGAAATCAAACTGTACATAAACATAAACATATCAAATCAAACAAGATTTTTAGTATATGTAAAAAACTTGTTTCATAAAGATGTCCGGATAACAGTGCATTAGCTTTGGTATGTGATGGGATAGAGCGTGACTTCGAGCTTGAATCAGGTGTCACTGTCAGCAAGTACAAACAGAAACTCGCCTGTAGTTTTATGGTCAAGTTCTTGAGGGAAATCCAAATCATGCTTAAACCTGTAAGTATATACTCTGAGATTATTTGTTTATTATCTAATAAATTTCTCTAATAAATAAATAAATTTATTCTTGTTTTTGATGTTATTGGAAACCGAACATAAATTGGCATTTATTTCGAACAATGTCATCATATTTGTCAATCAATTATAGATATCATTGTTAAACAAATTGACTGCGATCGTATTTTTGGATTAAGTTCTTTTAAAAATATCCGATATTGTCAAAATGGTGCTTGATGTATCTCTACGTTAGGTAAAAAAGTGAAATTACACAGGAAACCGCGGAAAGAACGTCGAGAACAGCAAACTAAATAATATGATCCAAATTGCATTAGAACGAGAAACAGGATGTAAATGGTCTCATGTGGACGCCATGCGAAGGTCAACAAGTGTACCAGGCGCCATCCCCAGGACAACCAGCGTACGACACTGTTGGATGTCCTGTCCCTATAGTTTCTAGTCCGGCGCTAGCAACCGGAGAGGCCATGTTTCTGGACGATATGCCAAGATTTGAAAGTAAGACTTTTCTTTTATTAGTATTTGAATACATATTTTGTTAGTCGTAGCATTCGTTGTTTATGTTTGTCTTCCCCGACAACAGAAAAGATTGTACAACTACAGGTGTCAGTACTTGGCTAAGAACTTTCGACGGATGTTTAAATTATCTGTTTAGTTTAGTTTAAGCATATACTATTGAACAAATATACAAATGGATTGGTCGACGACAAGTTATTTCAATTTAATAAAGTCCTTTCCTCAGAACATATGGTAAACATAGTATATATGTTTTTTGGGAAAGGGAGAAAGATAGGGTGAAGAAGGAAAGGCGTGTGTGTGTGTTGGGGTGTGTGTTACACAGAAAAGAAATCGTGTACAAATGTGGAATGGATCAGCATTTGAATAAATTTAAATAAATTAAAAATTATACAAATTTCATGACATGCAGCCTGGAAGAGTAATTTCACATATAAATAGAATCAATGTAATTGTAATTTCATCAACACATATAACAAAGTACACACATGAATAAAAATAAACAAAAATAATTATAGTTATCAGAACCTTTTGCTGGATTTGATGTAAGGCTGCACATGTTTTACTCTATAAAGATCATATTTAAGTGGACTACATTGATGACTAAGTTTTGTGTGCAAAATGTTTAATTTACGTTCACCGAAGCCTAAGTAGATTGTTGGAAGAGATTTTACATTTGAAGTTAACGAGGTTTTGAAAGAATGTAAAGATGCCAATGATCGTACTGTTGACGGCAATAGAGAATTTGGAGTTTTCTGCGTTTTCTCCTATTCGAAAGAGTTTCTAAACCAGTTTCAAAAAGTAAGTCTTCAATTCGGGCATATGAAGGAAGTCAAATTACAATACGAGAAGCTTCTCTTTGGGCTTTCTCTAACATTTCTGTTTCATAGGTTGTACAACCATCCCACAATTTACATGCATATTCTAAAACTGGTAAAATAAATGATTTATAAATCTTTGAGAGGTTATCTCGATTTAATAAGTATTTTAGTCTACGTAAGACGTTGACTTTTTTCATAACTGAAGTATATATTGCACAAATATAATCCCCCCATTTTGCACTTGAGTCAAATTTGAAAATTCGTCATTAAATTCTTGTAGTAAATCTTTACCAATTTTAATTGAGTTTGAAACAAAAATTACCTCAGTTTTTTTCTGGATTGAATGTTACTAACCAAGTTTTGGACTATGCATTAAGAGACTCGAGATCTCTACGCATAACCGTTTGGATTTCTAGACATGAAGAGGATGATTTTAACTAAGAAGCAAAAACATAGCACTGTGCATATCCTTACAGTTGTACACACAAATTTATATCTGGGCACGTACATGCATTAAATTTAGCAGGTACACACTTATACACGAACACATGCACAAGCATGTGGTATGCTCACATGTGCTGGTGAATGCCTGCATACATGCGCGCAAACACACACACACACAAACAGGCAGGCACGGACGTACTCACGGAAGCGCACAACACACACAAAGGGATGTATACACAGTGTACATGTACACACACATGCACTCACATACACGTACACATATTGTATATATTAGTTTCACTGCATTATAAGTTGGATTACTAAGGAGTCTTAAGCAAAAATAAACTAGTACATCTCCAAACGCGTATGAAGAATAGCTTAAAAGAAATATCATGCAGAAATGTTAACCTAGCAAGGCCAAACACCAGGTTGACAACCTAACCTTCGAAAAGGCAAGCTTACTGAAGGGTTATGTAACTAACGACTATTATGATACACATGCTTATGTTAATTAAGTCCCCCAAAACAAAGTTTTGGGGACTTACTGTTTTTACTCCGTTTCTTCTTCTTCTTCTTCTTCTTCTTCTTCTTATTATTCTGTGTTGTTCTTCTTCTTATTCTTCAGCCATGAACTTGTCCAGAGGTTTTCTCAAAAACTACTGGGCGGATCATCATGAAACTACACACATATACTCATTAGGTGGTATAGGTGTGCAACAAGCTATTTTTATCTCGTTCGGAGGTCCAAGATGGCCGCCATGAATTTTTGAAATTTTTGGGAATTTAAAATTTCTAAAGGTGTGCGCTAAGGTTAGCCAATGTCACCTATCCTTTTTTACATGTTTTACATATATTTTCCAATCAATCCAAATTCGGCATGTAGGTGTATGATGGTACCGCAAACACAACTATAATATCCGTTTTCTAATTAAACAAAATGGATGCCATATACTGGTTTCTGATTGGTCGAAGCTCCGTTGTAGTTCGATTTAGTTTAAATTTAGTATGTATGTGTAATATGGCATTGCAAACTCAACTGCGACATTTGTTTTCTAATTTGACAAAATGGCCACCATATACTGGGTTCTGATTTGTCAAAATATAGATGTTATCCGATTGTCCCCGGAATCGGTACATAAGGGGTTTGAGTGATGCCTAACACATTGGTAACACTTTCGAAAAGCTCAGTTACCATGATAACGAAATGGAGGCCTCTGATTGGTCGAAATTAAGAAGTTGTCTGATTCTGTCCAAAATAAGTACATAAGGGTTTTTAGCGATGCCAAACACAATGGAAACAGTTTCGAACAACTCAGTTGCCATGGTAACGAAATTTGTCCCTCTGATTGGTCGAAATTTCAATGTTGTCTGATTCTGCCTAAGTCCCTAACTCCAACAGGGGTCGTTGGGGGACTTCTGTAACGGCCATCCGTTACAATTAGTACTAGTTTCACTTGTATTTCCTTTTCCCCTTTCTTTCTATGGATACATATGTACGTACTTCAATATATATAGGGACGAACACAAGCAATTATCTGTCGAATCCTTCGGAAAATAAACCATAATATTCCTAAAGCAACGTTTCTTAAGTGGTATTATAATTGTTAAGACGTGTAAATTTTCTATTATTTTTGAAGTAAATTACTCATTTTTCAGATGAATTATATGTGCAGCCAGTTTTGAGTACCAGGGCTCACGCGCAGATAACGTGTATTGACAAAATTGTTGCCATGGCTACGCCGGGAGTTGTAGACTTCCTGGATGCATCATCTGTACCAGGAGAGAACCTATGGGGACTTTTCATACAGGATGAACCATTGTTCGCTGAACATGAGGCGAGTTGATACATGTAGTTATACGTTTGCACAAACTTGTGAACTGTTAATTTATTGGATTAGATTGCATATTTGTAATACTTATGTTACTTAAGTCCCATCACATGCTTTTAAAAGAGTTTGCAAAATTCTTTGACATTAATTAACTTCCTGTGTAAATAACGTAATACATTGTTATCAAATTATGATTTAAATTCATAATCAAATTATGTTTTAAATTCAAAGAACATTGACCTTTTTTCGTCTGGTAAAGTCATCTTTTAATTTTTGATAAATGAGATCGGTGATTCTTCACTGTTATGCCTTGTAATAAATATCATAACAGTTTCTGAAACATTGTTCTTCTGCAACAGGTGTTCTGTGTCGGACAAATAATTTGCGCTATTGTAGCTACATCAGAGGAAGCTGCACAGAGAGCAGCTGACCTTGTTCGTGTCACGTATGTGGATCTACCAAGTATACTAACAATCGAGGTATTTATACCTGTTACACCGACTCGTTTTCCAAAATGGCAATAGTCCAAATTTACAATGGTCAAATATATCTATATGTAACTATCAAACTTACATGATGATTTTTCTTTCAATATCTTGGTATGTATGATAAACATATTTATCATCTACACACCACTTATACCACCCACCGATTGCATGATACATTCATGATCATGGGTTGTCAGTATGAGAATACTCAAGAAAAAGTTAAGTACGACTTTAGAACAACATGACAAGAACTTGAGAATGGATTTCCCCATTTCTCAGCATTTGGGAACGTTTTTTCTCAAGACAGAACGTCTGCTCACGCCAGGTGACGTCCTACACCGGAAATAGTATCCACACAAAGGTGATCTGCGTAAGAAGGTAGTCCGCCACAAACATATCAATAAAAAGTTACGAAAAAATATTGTGAGAATAACAACATATTTTAAGCGTAAATGTGCTTTTGGAAAAGCAAATGACGATAAGGTTGTTTTAAAAATATATTTTCTACATAGTTTTAAGGTTCGTGGTATTCCTCCGCGCGAATCATCTATTTGTTTACGTTCGATTTGCGATCGATGACCATTGAGCCTAAAAGTCGTTTGGAAAATATGGTGTTAAGTTGACTTTTTTATTGAGAAATAAATAAGGTAGTAGTATATAGATGATAAACAGTTTACGACACAGTATTTTCGAGGTTTGTCGTTCGAGCAATTTTCTCATCGCTCGTTTGTGAATAAAGGGCTACACAGTTTGGCGTTTACATGTTGCGTTATGTTTTGATATTTTTATGGTTTTCAATATATTGTGATCATTTACCTTCGTCCCTTGACTTTTTTAAGTTATATATATCCCTTTTAGATGTTTATATTAATTGCACGAGGACTTGCAATATTCTAACGTGTCACTTGAACATGTCCATTCAGCCTCATCGCGATGGATTAGTTTTTGCCTTTTGGCGAGATTGCTTTTTTATCGACCTGCTTAGAGTTCTTTTCGTAAACAAATAATCTAAGGCTGTCATTCTTTCCGATTTAATTTTAGAATACTATAATAGAATATGAAATTTTGAGAAAATATGATTGGCACCCATGGACAGAATGATTGTTATTGCATACAGAGTAAGCGATATTTCTCTTGTTTTCAATTTGTAGAATAGCATCATAATATCCAATAGATACTTAAATGTTCACGTCAATAAACTGTAACATACTAATGTAAATAAACTGAACCCATACATGTCTTTGTTGGTTGAGAAAAAAACCTTAGTCTTAGCAAGATTATAGTATAAGGCAGTGTTCCCAGTAATAGATTCACCAAATCGCACGTTGATACTAGTCTTAGTTGAAGCTCTACGATTTGTAGGAAGCTATAGCAGCCGACTCTTACTTTGAGTACAACTCACATCCGATAGAGTGCGGAGACCCAGACAAACATTTCCCACATTGTGACTTTGTGGTAGAGGGCCTAGTACGATCAGGATTACAGGAACATTTTTACCTAGAACCAAGTGGAGCACTTGTGGTACCGAAAAACGAGTCTGGAGAGATGGAAATATTTACAACATCACAAACACTCAGTTTCTGTCAGGTAAATTTGTACTTATTTTTATCAAACATCTTAAGAAAAAATGTACATACACATTCGTATTGAAGTAATTTTATTTTCAAAATGAATGTTTTTACAAATATCAATAATGATAACATCACAATATGCTATAAGGATGCATTTTGTAATTCACACTTCAATTATGCAGTTTTTTATATAATGTATATTATCATTTTTATAAATAACTAAGGAATTAACTATTATTGTACTGGATGGATACAACATCCACTTTATACAACAGTGAGATATTTGATTAGCCAATGTTTTAAGAAGCAATAATCTTGCCTTATGTTTCCAGTCATCTGCTTCGCGGATTTTAGGAATCCCGATGAACAAAATCATCGTCAGACAGAAAAGACTTGGTAAGTAAAGAAATACTTACTGGCACATCAAAATTTAAAATCATACCATGATTAACAATAGCCTTTTTTGCACACTACCATTTTTGCGAATCATGTGTTCTATTTCTATTATTAATTCATTTTTTTATGATTATTAACATAAACAAGATTGAAATTAAAACAAATGTATTATTTATTTGTTTACCTGTTCATTTTATAGGTGGTGGATTTGGTGGACGAGAGTATCGTACACCTTTAATGTTCGGTCCAGCGGCAGTAGCAGCTCATAGGTAAGCGCTTCCTGTCGAACCTTTAGCATGGGTAGAATTGCATGTCATGTTCATAGATAGGAAAATGTATGACTATCCTATATATGTATTCCAGGTGGGGAAAGCCTGCACGGACAATAATGGAGAGATCAGTTGATTTCAAAACTACCGGAAAGCGCCACGAATTCATGTCAAAATATAAAGTAAGTACTCGATTGCAATATACAAAATGTTTGTCATTTGCGTGTATATGAATATCTACATAAGACGAAAGAGGTGTGATGCATAGCAACAGGTATAATAATAAATCGTTATTCACCAGAATAAAATAATCTACTCGACGTAGATTTGAGAAGACAACGACCGGAATCTAGTGGTAACAAGCACAAACATCTCATCAAGAAAACACACAAAAAAGTTGCCAGGAAGTGCTCCGAAAATGTAAGCGTTTAAACTATCATGTTGGACGACAATCAGGATGTTTCTTTTTAAATAATAAAAAAAAAGAATGTTGTTCAATAATCACAAAGTCCCGCATTGAGAAACATGTTAGATATAAAAAAAAGTTGTTTATGATGACAACTGAACTGTTATGATATTGAGTTTATATTGCTCATTTAACTTAGGTGGGTTTTCGGCGTGATGGGATGTTGGAGGCTGTTTCTATACATTTCTACGTGAATGCAGGGTACACTCTGGACGTATCGTCTGCGGTAAGACAGAATTACTCTAATTGAATATTCTGTGAAATTCAAGTACTGAATGTTTTATGATAAGCGTAAACCTGTAATTTATTTAAAGCATGTATGCTAAAAATATCTCATAATACAATCAAAACGTAAAATAGCTAAGTCCGAAAGAAGAATGACAGTTGTAGCATGACGCTTTATAATATGTATGTAATAAAGTTGATAAATATCTAATGTAAGTATTTACAAATCACATCTTTTTTTTATAAGTTGAATACGTACATTTTTGTATTTGTATCAATTAAAACAAATAGTAGCAACCACTTTTTTGTTGTTGTTAGATTTTAGACACTGCCTGTTTTAAAGCAGACGCGGCCTACAAAACTCCTGTGTTTGCTGTATATGGCCACATCTGTAAAACCAATATTCCCTCTAATACCTCTATGAGATCGTTTGGCACGGTGGAAGCTGTCTTCGTTATGGAAGCTATTTTATGTAAAGTAGCAGACACCCCTGGGCTCGACCAAGAACATGTATGTTTAAATACACTGCTTCTGTTTATTGTACTTCTTTAATATGATAATTGTTCATCATTAACCCATATGGGTGTAAATATTTTTTTAAAGAAAGCGATGGAGATGTTTACCTATGAGCATCATTCACCATAAAATTGTATCATAGGCGGCACTTATAACAACAGAGTCAACCGTAGAGGTCGAAAATATTTGTTTTATTGTTTATCATGAAGATTTTGTTTAAATAACACATACATGGATTGAAATACTACCTTCTACTGTATAGATATTTAATGTTGCGTGGCAAAACTTTAGGAATTTCGTAACACAAGAATCTGCTGGTGTATGTTTTTACCTGACCTTGAAGCTTGACTATAACAAACATTAAAGTACCACTAGACGTGCGCGTTAACGAGTATCAAGTGTTAGGGATAAGGGTCTCTTAGTGTCATTGTAATACAGATAATAGATAGCATATCCAATGCTTACATCAAAACTATTTTGGTATTGGTTGTAATGGAAAAAAATGTTCGCTTCTCGCAATAAAGAAGGACACAATCGATTATATTGCATATTCCTGATATTTAAAATGAATGACAAAGAAACCCCTGATATTCATAAGTCATACCTTTTAATCTTCAGTACCGGCAATCGTATTCTATCATATGTGTGAGTTATAGTTACCGACATGCTTTATGAACAGGTTCGAGAACTAAACATGTACAAGGAAGGAAGCCTCACTCACTATAAAAGGAAACTGGAAAACTGTATGTTGCAACGTTGCTGGCGTGAGTGTATGCTACAAAGCAAATTTGGAGAAAGAAAGACGGCGGTTGACTTATATAACAGGTAACAGTTTCTCCAAGAACGATTTAAAAAGGAAGGTCATTTTCACAATTGTTTGACATTACATTTCAACACAGTGTGCTGGTAAGACATTCAATAGAATTGTTAACAGACCGGGCCTATAAATGCCCTCTCCGGTATAGAAAGTTTGAGATACAAATGTTTATTTAAATGAAAAAGTTGACATCTGGAACGAGAGGCCTTTTACCTCCAGGGTTTGAATATTTGTCATGAATTATTTGTAGTAAATCATATTTGGCATATTGCATCAACGGGAGAAAAAACCGATTGAGATAATAAATCTGTACATGTTTGTAAATATGACCGGAAACTGTAATAAATATTATGGTATTTTCTGAGTTTTACTAAATTAGTACTGTCACTTTTTTAGGTACATGTATTTGAATTAAATGTATCATGACTATCAACTACGGTTGCAGCCAGAACAAATACACCAAGAGAGGTATCGCCGTGATACCCGTGAAGTTTGGCATCGGGTATCCTGTCCGTTTCTTAAACCAGGTAATAATACACATTCGGACATACATTATGAAGTCTTTTCAATTAACATTTATCTTAACAACAATTTGGAAAAAAATCGAATTATTTGAATGAAAATAAATGGAAACATCCATTTGCTCTGGTAAGGCCCTTGGGGCTCCCCAAACTTCCTATGTACGTCGCCGTTGTTGTTTTATATTATTTTCATGTTTTAGGTGTTATATATAGAATTTTCCGTTTGCTTTCTGCAGTTTACATTCCATTTGTTTTTAATTCTGTGAAAGAAAGATCCTAAAAAATAGGCTTTCCAATATTTAACAATCCGTGTTATTTAAGACGAAAATATAGTTACGTTTTATCTACTGAATTTATTTTTTCACTATATTTAGCAATCCGTGTTATTTAAGACGAATTCTAAAATTGAACGACGATTTTGATGTATCCAACGTTGTGCTTTCTGGCTCAGCCTTTGAATGAATGACGTCATCTTGTTTAGCCTCTTTCTGGAGCAAACTGCATAATGCCCAGTGACCAGAGTAGAATAGCGCAGTGCGTTCTAACCGTTGTTGACACATGTCGACAACAATACAAAGCTTTCAATATGTTTAAAAGACTATCAACATATTAGAAACACTGTCTATCATTAAATCTTAATGTAAAAATCCTTCAAAAGGCTAATTAATTATTTGAAGGGAGCAGCGTTTGTGAACATTTACCTTGACGGATCTGTGATGATAGCTCATGGTGGAGTGGAAATGGGACAGGGACTGCACACGAAGATGATCCAGGTACATGCATATTTTCTAGAATTTTCTTAAAAGTAACATAAATCGTATTTGTCAAGTGTTCAAGATATTGGTGTAAGTTTTGAATAGGAATGCTCAGAGTACTGTATGCAAATTTAACGGGTATTTACATATACGATATTCTCGCTAACATTCTGAGGTTTACATGCTTGTTAGTCGACGAATCTCGATCGCTTGACTTGTTCAACTTAATCCAAATAGGGTCATGCAAGTTTTAATGTTAGAATTTCTTTGTTAACTGCGAGTTTTACAATCGGACAAATTAATATTGTCGCAACAGCACCATTCATTACTTCAGATGAAACTCTGTTGTAATTATTAATAGATTAAAAATAAATGTATGTTAGCCCGCAATATACGTTTTCGATTTAGCTATACTTTACCAGTTTTCACATCCGCTATAATCCATGTTTGCAGGTTGCGTCCCGTGCTCTAGACATACCTATGGATAACATCTACATCAGTGAGACTGGCACAAATACATGCCCAAATACAACCTCTACATCAGCCAGTGTATCGTCAGACCTACAAGGCGCAGCCGTTCTGGTATAACTAAAAGAAAATCTCGATATGATAAAAACGTGCATTCGATGTTCAAAGATATGTTACATATTATGTATTTCATTTCTCAATTTGAGAAAAAGCATGTATTTGTTTTTCTTTTATGAATGTCATGTGATGGGAGTACACATCCGTGTCTATGTTTTATATCGTAGAGCGTACAATATACTGTTGTATTAACTTAATAAACTGGGGAACAGACCAATAATACATCTTTACAAATATACTCGACAAAAACCATCTTCTTACAGTATGTGTACCCAAAACGTTAAGAAAATTATTGTTTTTATACATCACTTCAACTCTAGGATGCCTGCAGAAAGATCAATAAAAGGCTACGGCCATTTCAGGAGAAGGATCCCTCTGGACAATGGACATCATGGGTAAGTAAAATAATATGAAAATTAATTGATACCAAACTGCAACTGTTAGAAACACCAAATTTACTTTCAAATTGAATGAAAACTGCCTGTGGCCGTTGTTTTTATAGATGTAAGGAATGTAGTTAGCATTTGATTACAATGTAACTGCCTCACTATAAAATAACAATTCTTCATAATAACCTGTCATTTTTCTTATCGCTGTTACAGATCAATATGGCTTATATGGACAGAGTAAGCCTTTCCGCCACCGGTATCGGCAGGTACATATGTATTGCATGAATTTGTTAGGAAATGAAGCAAATAGTAGACATCATAGAAAGATATTTCCCCTTAAAAGTTTATACAATGAACGCAACAGTCAGGAGAATAGCCCAAAATATAGCGTAGGCCTTGAACACAATTTTTTTTATATGCTGGAATAATGAGCTAATATGTAAGCGAATGGTCGGTTGGCGTAGTTGATAGCGCACTCGACTTTTTCCGATCGGTCGGAGTTCGATTCACCGATTGGACGTGACAATGTATAGCCTCACCTGCCTGACCACGTGGGTTTTATCCTGGTACTCCAATTCCCACACACTGTAAGACCCCCTGCGCGCTACCTCCCGGGCCAACAAGAGTGATTAATAACATATGGTATTAATTGTTCATTGATTGATTACATACGATTTGTATGCAATGCTTTTAAATGAGGTAATCCTGAAAACAACCAAAGAACATGTAGCTAGATATGAGGCTGTTACATTTACAATACGTATATTAATTGGTTAAAGACCCGGTAATCAGCAATGGGACCACGTGAAGGGTGAGGGCAGTCCGTCCCACTACTACACTTATGGGGCAGCTTGTACGGAGGTGGAAATCGACTGCCTAACTGGGGCACACCAGGTAAGTAGCAGTTACAATACTGTGGTCTCCTTTTCAAATGAATTAATGTTCAATTTTTTATGTATTAAATTCGAAAGGGTCATTTCATGCTATTTTTAAAGGCTTAGACCTTGCTGTGGTTATTTGCACATCTTGTGACCTGTCATATTTCGGATATTTAAATAGGTTTAATAGTTAATGTTTTTAATAGACTATGGAAATAAATTAAAAAAAGATCGATACTTTTAAACTGTGAAAATATATATCTCATACATTATGGAAATACTTTTCTAAAAATAGATAGATACTTTTAAACTGAAAATGTTACACTTGGGAAATGCAGGTGCTCCAAACCGACATCGTAATGGACATAGGAGACAGTCTGAATCCGGGAATAGACGTGGGACAGATTGAAGGTGGGTTTGTACAGGTACGTATTGACGTAGACAGTTTGATCCCCGGGATAGACATTGGGACATATTGAAGAACTGTTTTAGGCCTACTCATGCAACGATAATGCATTTATATATCTAAAGTAATGAACTATTGCCAAAAGTCAGTTTGTTACACTTGCATTGAAATAATTGTAAAAATATTAAATTCATGTATCAAAAATATATGTTTTATTAAATTATATTTCTAGCAATTTAATTAGGCTAGCAAAATCAAAATATTACATGTATGTCATGTTGGTTAGAGGAAAAATGATTGTTTTTCATGTCTTAGATATTATAACGGTGATATTTATAGGGATACGGATTGATCACAAAGGAGGAATTGAAAATCTCACCCAAAGGTCATATACTAGCTAGCGGGCCAGTCGATTACAAAATACCGGGTGTACGGGACATTCCACGTCAGATGAAAGTATATATACTCAAAGATTGCCCTAACACTGGTACCGTGTATTCTTCAAAGGTACGGCAAAACAATTCAAATATGTCATCAATTTTTTTTCCATGAAGGAAATATTTCGGTTTTGCATTTTCTTTTTCTGACTTGAACTTCTATCGCATGCGCATGAGAGGATGTTTGTATATTTCAGAATTTAATTTGTGAGCATAATATCTTGTCCTTTTAGATAAGTGATATTACATTGGCGTATGATTCCTTAGACCAAGTAGTGATCAGTTGAAATGCTCAAGAATCATATTGACGTAAATACGCCTATACTGTGATTCAGTATATCCATACATTATCTTACTTCTGCCAACCACTTATCTTTGTTAATTACAAAATCTGCATATATTAACAGCTTTATAGTATGCAATATATTTTCATTATGTATGTGCACATTACGTAAAAGTGATCAAATACAACTATTCCAATTATTTTTATGACAGGGTGTAGGAGAACCGCCCCTTAATCTGGCAATATCGGTTTACATAGCACTGAGGGAAGCAATCCGAGCCTGCCGAATGGACGTTGGAATCTCCAGTTCATTCGAAGTTGATATCCCATTAACATCCGAGAAAATCAGAATGGCCTGTCCAGTTAAGATTCCAACGAATACGAATCAAATATAAACTACCAGAACAAAACGATTTTCATTAATAACGACAATTAACTTTGTGGCTAAAAAAAATCGATCCCAAACAAATCGTTACCCTGTTCTTTAAGCAGTACTGGGCTTGTGTTTTACACATGTCGTTAGTAGTACGATCAGATGTAATGAAATAACAATAACAAAGTATCACCAGTGATAGCAAGGACGAGCATACGACTCGTACACGGCCATTATACACTGTGGATGAACTATAAAATAACATGTATAGTGTACGGATTTGTTCTAACTTTTCAATTGATCCAGTTCATTATCTTTGTATGCTATAGAATGTGGAAAACGTTCAACATTTAAGCATTGAACTGTTACCAGATGCAATATACAGTCGATATGAATGCAAATTGGGTGACGGATAAATAGAATGTCGCCCGTTAGGGCGACATGAATTAACAGGCGACATGAATATTTGTATATGTCACACAAATTGCATTCATATCGACTGTATACTGCATCTGGTAACAGTTCAATGCTGCTTATATTTACATTTATATAGTTTATTTTGTATAGAAACTGTGACGTCAGTAAGTTCTAATCCCAGAACAGTCGAATTTTCCAGAAGTAATAATATAGTCCCTCTTGTCATTTCAAACCACACGCACATCAAATGGTTTGAACACAAACTTAACTGTATTACTTATTTCATATGAGTGTGTATATGTTGAAAAATTGTTAATAATTGCATAACATTTTCTTGTTTATTCGCGCATTGATCGATTACATGTATTTGGAAGTGATGCGGCGCTGAACGGATTTGATTGTTTCCTCGGAAACGCTTATGTTTCCATCGACTGGAATATTATGTTATTTTCAAAAGCACATATACTCGGAAAATTTTAATCAAAGTGGTCGTGATTTTGAGTTATGGATGACATCACTTAAAAAGGTATTTATGCACATTCTAAAACCTTGTCGATACCCTCGACTTTAACAAGGTTTTATAAATGCTGAATTTTAATGTTGTGGTTATTCACTGTTGTTATGCATAACTCAAAATCTCTAAATCGAGCCATAGGCACTTGACGCTTTGTTATGTCAGATTTTTTTTTTTTTTATATATAAGTATACATTTTTTTTTCAAAATTATTATCTGAGAATTATCTGAATAAAAGAAAAGAAATGACCATTTTTTTTTTTTTTTAATGTACATGCATTCGAACCAATGAGAAGGTAAATAACTACAGGGATGTAAATTTTGACAGAAATTGACCAAGTCCGTTAAAATCAACATATCTAAAAAAATACGCAAGCAATTTTCGATAACGAACGTCCAACTTACAGAAAACATTCCCAGCTTTCCATTGATACACAGTTGAAGGATATACTCCAATTATTAAGATCACGGCGTGCTTCCACACTCCGAAATTCACCGGATATTTGTAGGTAGGACACTTACCTGATACCGGTAAACACCACAAAAAATCATTTGACTACCGCCTTCCGTCGATCTCCTGTGCACATAAAATGACATACAGCGAAGGAACTTACCGAACTGAGATTATCTACGACATCGATATGAATGTACATCCCATTGTTTCCGTATAATCACGCCAGAAAACTTTAGCGGGCTCACATTTGAACAAAAAATAGCCATCTTGGCCGGCCAAACACACTTTAAAAGACGGCATCTGATTGGCAACACAGAATGTTAATATATGTCTTTATATACACTTCATATGGATTGATTTGTTTGAACTGTAACAGTGTTTGCATTAACAGAATGTATCTATTGTTCCATTATAGTAAATATGAAAAAATAAGATATTGGATACCATAAGATTCAATTAATTAGATCTTTACGGAAGACTGCTTGCTACCTTACCGGCAAACAAGAGTGATTAATACGTGTATTTAAGTAACGTGCATCATGGATTATGTTTGAACGGAACTGTGTGGCATACTCTTATAAATGTTAAAAAGATGCTTTTCAAACCTTACATTTACGTTCTATTTCACTTTTTTGAAATAAAAAAATAAAAAAGTTTTTTCACGTAAAAAAACAATTCACAGTCTTGAAAATAACATTATTTGAACAGCATTTTTCGCGGGAAACATGATACGTTGTCAATTGTGACGAAATACACAGTTGAGCAATAAACAAATAGTTCCAATTTGCTTATTTTAATCATTTTATTTACATACCAGCATGTTTAAAAAGCATTGATTATCTTAAAAATTGACGGTAAACCTTAATTCGAAACAAAAATACTCTGTAAGATATTTTAGTTACAAAAAAGTCAGTCCGTGTTGGCGATAGTAGCTGACCGATAAGCAACGGTTGTGCAGACAACGGTTGTGCAGCGGCTAAAGGAGGCAGTTCTTTTTGCAAAAATACTTATAAATAAAATAAATAAATAAATGTGTCATCAAACCAGTTATTACAATGATGTAGTCTTAGAATAGATAGCCATGCACCTTTTTTTGTCTGCAGATGATTTGTTTTTAAGTTCAAATAGCACAAGAATTTCAGTGTTTTGATTTCGTTTTTAAAAAATGGCGCGTGTGACGACTATGCATTCTGTTTTGGACTATAGGAATAAATTCACACTATAGAAATACTTTCTGTCTTATAAATTCAAAACGTCATCATACAATGTTAATATGCTGACAAAAAAAAATCATTTGAAGCATAAGATACTGCAAAATTCAAGCCTTGATCCGATTTGGGTTCTGACATTCAAAAAAAAAGAAAAAAGGAAACGTTGATTGGTGACTTCAGAGCGTTCTATAAATATCTCAAGTGAGCCCCGGGTGCTAATTTCGCTTGTAAGAACACTCATCAATATTCTTCCTTTGATACAACAATAAGTGACTATAATTCCTCCTCAGATTTTTCAATGATTTAATGAAATGATGGTTTGGTGATCCGATTTGGGCACTGTCACCTTAAGCACATCAGGCCACGCTGCGATTGGAATATCAACGAGTGGAGTTTCTTAAGAAAGCAGATGACGATTTAAAAGACGCTGTTGACTGAAGTATTGTGTCGACCGACTGCGACATTCGGCATGTGTTACTGTCGCTGAGAGGACTGGCCGACGTGCCGGGATGTTTCGCCAAGTTTGCAAATGACGCTAGTGTAGAGGATGGCGACTCTGTTCTGTTCTGTTGAAAAGGACCTGTTATAGGATCTACATGTATATAGCAGACTCACTTCGGTGGCCCGATATAAACGTGTAGTGCCTTGATTCAAAACCACAGTCATTCATCGCCTGTATTGCCGTGGCACGGAGACAGTGTGATGTGTATATATATTATTTTTTATTTATGTTTTCGAACCGGATCAAAAAACATATCGGGTATTTTTTGTGAGTGGGAGGGGGTGGGGGTGTTAAATAGTGATGTCAGAGGTCATATAGCGGTACAAGGTAGTACTGTTGATATTACTACACACTTGCTTTTATTGAATCATAACAACATTTTGAGTTGGTACTGTTATCTAGAGGGACTGCAACACAAATGTAATATAAGAGGATAGAAATTGTTTAAATACAGTTTATTCACCTCTTTAGCGTACTTCCCGTCTATCATGTTGTTTTCGTTGATGTCTCTGTTAAAGGATGAGTGTCTTTAAGCCCCTTTTTGGGCCCCGGTATATTAGGATTCTCACCCCCTTAATTTGTTCAAAGCTATCCTATTGTACTTGGCGACGCGACGATGTGATGGACTATAATATATTGCGTAATTAGAGGAATAACCCGTCCTCTCTGAATTTCAGACATTCGTATTTATTCGTGTTTATCTAATATATATACATGTATCTTTAACATTCCTTAGACATGCGAGCTATATATCGTTCTCTCATTTAAAGGTAATTACGATGTATACATACATATTGAGACAAGTGACCTCTGTCAGAGAAAATCGAAGTGTGGATGAAATAAATAATCCAAACTTAAATCGATGAAACAAGTGCAGAACATATTCGAAGAAAATATAACAATAAACTGTAGTGTTTAAATATAATAGGGGGATACTTATTATAAATATGCAGTGTTGCTGGCTGGAGCAGACGGAGCAGGTGCCTGTCACAATGGCTGGCTGTCCTTTCGGAACTCCTGCTACCTTCTCTCAAGGGAAATAGATAATTGGGCTGAGGCGAACGTGAGTGTTAAGCATATTAGAATGTCAAATGTATTGATCACAAGAAACTACAAACTTCTACCGCACGACAAGCAAAGAATTATCTTTGGTTGTAATCCACTTACAATGATATTGGCTTTACAGTTGTAGAACCGAACACATTACTTGTCATACACTGTCCAGTCCAATGGATTGGCATTTGACCCTTCGGAGTGACCTTGACCTTATAAATATATGGATATAAAGGCACTCCACACTCTAGCTAATCATGGGTTTTAGTTGTTCCAAATTCATACATTATTTTGAATGATTCATTGAAGAAAACAATTAACGAGTGAATGCATATTGCAATGATTTCTTCCGTCCTATCAAGATGGACGTATTAAAAACACAGCTTATCATAATCAAATTCATTATTTAGATAGTAAACTTGTGCGAACATTACCATTACTATTTCGTCATGTGCTTTGCAGTGTTTTTTCAGAACTTGTTTTATTTGGCTGCTTTTTTCAGTTTAACTGTCAGCTCTTTCATAGTGAGTTAGTAGACATTACCGATGCCGATGAAAATAACTTCCTGATATCACGGCTTCTGCGCCTTCATCAAAGAGGTACAACATTTGCGAAGTGTTATATAAGTGTCCAGTGTTGTAATACTGGTATCATAATCATTATTTTTTGACAATACTTTTGAAATTATACTTTGCGATTGAACCCATACACCTTTTTACGTCTCAGACCCAAACAAGAACGAGGCGTGCTACCTGACCAGCCGGACGGACACGCATGTGGAGGGTGAGTGGGAATGGGCCAACACTGGAGAGAGGCTGACATTCACGGACTGGTACCCTGACGAGCCGAACAATAAATACCCAGGTCTAGAGGAGAACTGCCTTTGTTTGTTCGGACTGGAGGACTGGAACGATGAACCCTGCGATCACCCATACCACTTCATCTGCCGGACACAGCAGTGAGCCAGTTATACTTTCTGTTCAGTAATAAAGTATATTTTTGTTGTGTCGCCGAAAACATGACGTGTAGGTTCGACATTCACAGGCGTACTAGTATCTGAATCACAGGCGTACTAGTATCTGAATCACCTGTGTAAATGTGTTTTACCACGGACTTTAAACGAATTCCGTGGTTTTACTAACCTATGTATTTGTGGCGCATACATCTCTATTCAAGCGTCCACTCCCGCTGTGTTTCACTGTTAAACTCTCCAATGTGCTGATGTCCAACTTGGTGTACAAGTGTCTTGCTCACTTTGGTCATACGAATATCAGTGCCTCAACTAAATACTAATCTCTGTCTCTCCTGTATGTGAAATAGCGTCACACTCACCTGCGTACATGCATCTCTTACCTGTATACTTATGTCTAACAACAAGTGTAACCTGCATGTAAGTACCTTACATTGTCTAACTGTGTTTTTATCTCCGGCATAGTCTTAACTCTTCTGTGTGCCATAGAGTCTCTATCACCTGTATGCGCAGTAGGTACTTTCCTGTATTTGATAGACGTTATGACTGAATGGAGAAATCGCGTTACTTGTCCCTCTGGAGTGCCTGGTTAGTGTGATTTCTATTTTGTCCCTTCTGTTCTTATTGCTTTTTAACAATCAAGTATTTTCCTATGCATATTTAAAAAAACCGGCAAGATCAGCATTACTTGGAAGAAAATGCTAGTACACTACTTCATTTTCGGGGAACAAAAGGCCAAATGCACAATTACTGTATCTCGAAATTCAGTTTCTGCACGCTAAGGTGAGTTACCCGTCGACTTCATAGAAATCATTTTCAGCACAATAATCAGAATTCATCATAATCAATGAAATATAATCTTGCTTGAGACTGTTTTTGTCCCCGTAACATTTCAGTTTTGTTTATATTTTTTACAGAGTCAACAACAATTCTGTCGTAATCGGCTAAAGATATTGAAGAAATACATGTAGTACAGTATTTTTCCGTCTATAAAACAAACCTCTGTGAGTTAATACTGTCAATTTATCATCAATAAATCATTTTATCATAGCATATGTCAACCTATTAAGATATAACGCATATTTTGCAAAAACATAAATTTTGTATGAGGCAATAAAAAGGTTAAATTTTTATATTAGTTGAGAGGGCTCTTGATATACGAAGGCATTCATATTTGAGCATACAGAAAAATTGCCAACATATACTTCTATGCGGTCTAGTAAAAATGTTTAAACAATACATTGGTAAGATTTAAGTGTTGTTTCTTTATATACGAATGTTTTTTGATAATAGTACAGGGACTAAGAAAGTAAAAGGACGTGATTCTGAAAGTCCACTAGGTCGACTCATCCTTCCCACGTCAACTTGGACAGTGACCATGAAGAACACTGAATCATTTATAATTTTGGCCATTCTACACCTGATGGACTTTATCTGGTTTGAATTGTATAACCTGAAAAAAACAACACCAGGAATTATGACATAACATACCGCAACGGTTTGGGCAGTATTTTGTCATTCTAACTTCTGAATGGTTGAAGGTGATTAGCGGTTAAATGACTATCAATATGATAAAGGCAAGGTTTGTTTGGAACAGGAATTGAAAACGTATCTTACGAGCTCTCGAAAACGTATGTTTCCTATGTCAAACAAAGAGTGTAAATGACCGGTGTCTCGACTCTAAACCGCTGAAATCAACTCACTAAACCACATTCGGACGAATCAGTAAAGACAGCTATCAAAAATGATAGAGACATTTGCCCCATTGCACTCTAATACACTAAGACACTAATGTCTAACTCTCCTGCCAGCGAGTCTCTCACTTTCCTGGAGTTGATAAACGCTTTTACTAAATAAGTTGCTTGCTCTTCTGGAGTGCGTGTTTATCAGAAAAATATCACCATCCCAGACCTTTTGTTCACTGAAATAAGGTTATCTAAAGGTAATTACATATTTTAAAAAATGTTACCTTGAAAGTGGGCCAAGGTCATTCATCCAAGCATGCTACTGGCCAAATGTCAACAATCTGGGTCTCATGGTTATTCAGAAGAAGTCGTGTAAAGATTTTGAACATATTTGACACCTGTGACCTTGAATATGAGTGAAGGTCATTTGAACAAACTTGGTAGCCCTTTATTCTAGCATACTTCTGGCTTCATGAAGATATCATTATCCTATGTCTTTTGGTTATTCAAAGGAGGTCGTTTAAATGATTTTAAACTTATATGGCCCCCTTGACCTTGAATACAAGTCAAGATCATTCATTTGAACAAACTTGGTAGCCCTTCATCCAAGCATGCTTCTTTTTAAATATCAACATTCTTGTTCTCATGATTATTCAGAAGAAGTCGTATAAAGATTTTAAACATATTTGACCCCTGTGACCTTGAGTATAGGTCAAGGCCATCGATTTGAACAAACTTGGTAGCCCTTTATCCCAGCATGCTACTGACCAAATATCACCACCTGGTCCGTTTGTTTATTCAGAAGAAATTGTCTGAAGGTTTTTTAAGACAATTTATCCGTGACCTTGAATATGAGTGAAAGTCATTCATTTGAACAAACTTGGTACATGTAGCTCTTCATTCCAGCATGCTACTGGCCTAATATCATCACACTGGGTAGGCATTTGGGTTATTCAAAAGAAGTTGTTTAAAGTTTTGAACATATTTGACCCCTGTGACCTTCAATATGAGTGAAGGTCATTTATTTGAGCAAACTCGATAGCTCTTCATCCCAGCATGCAACTGGCCACATATCATCACCCTGGGCATTTTGGTTATACAGAAAAAATTGTTTAAAGTTTTTGACATATTTGACCCCTGTGACCTTGAATATGAGTGAATTAAAGGTCATTCATTTGAACACACTTGGAAGCCCTTCATCCCAGTTTGATTCTGGCCAACTACCATCACGCTAGGCCTATTGGTTATTAAGAAGAAATTTTTCAAGTAAAATCTTGACCCTGAATGAAGGGCAGACAACAGACACTGCTCGGCATAAGCTCACGGCACGGCATAAGCTCACTTGGCTCTTCGGGCCAGGTGAGCTAAAAATAAGTTTCCAGCACAAGAATCGGAGTTACTTTCGTGAACAGTGCAGTCATTTACCCTTGTCCCAAATAGTTATTTGAGATTCCATATTCATGTCGCCATAATATTTTAATTTCTTTTTTCCAGAGCCAACCACAATTCTAAAGTGATAGGCTAAAGGTAAAGCAAGCGAATACAACAATTCTCTGTCTTTGTCTAAGAGAGAAAACTAAATTCTAGGAGTTCAGTCTGTCAATTTATTATCAATAAATCATTTTAATACAAATCATGTACAGATCATGTTAACTATATAAAGAAATAATGTGCCGAAACATGAATCTGGTATAAAGGTAATAAATACGCAAGTGAGTAAATCTGTTAAATTATTCAGTAGTTGTCTTGATGCCCAAAGGTATTCATATTCCGAATACGCTGACTAAGTACCGACACATAGATCTTTTGTATATCTACAAAGAAGTATTAACATGATTAAAAGTTCTATCATTTCTTTATATTTACATTTTAAATAAAAAGTTAATTCAAGATAAGCAGAGGTAAAACAATCGGCAATCATTGTAATGGGATTGGCATGACAGTTATAGAAAAGAATAATAGAGAAGTTCTCTCGTCAAACTCAACTAGCTCGTCCTGCCAGGAATCGACATGTCAACTCGAACAGTGAGCATGATGTTCCGTCATGGATTAGCTCTCGGTTAACTTATCATCATTCGTAATCTAATTTAAATTCCCCAAAACCTAAAAAATCTACAACACCAAAAGTGATAATTCAAGATTTTTAACAGTAACTACCGATTGGTTGTAATTTTTGTTGTTTTATCTTTAGCAGATATTAATTTAGTTTCAGACCTATTGACTTGAAATATTTACTCTCTTTTTAAATTTAAAGACAAGGAATAACAAAGATTGTGGAACTATACGGATTTCTGCAAAGTGTACCGTTAATTCGGTATATACTGGTATACCGTAAATTCCCAAAGCCTATCCCCTACAATACCTACGCCTACAATACCCTACCCCTACAATACCTAAATAAAAGGATATGTTAATGATACCATTAACTTGCTAATATATGTTGTCTTGTACTTCTTGCAATCAGTAAAACTTTGAGTGAATATTCATGCATGTAAAATAAATTAAATGATTATTCGATACTGTTATATAGAATTAAGGAGCATTACTAACAAACAACAGACTAAGAAAGAAGAAATGGGTGCAAAAATGAAATTATTCCGTTGTGTTGAAACACGGATTTCGATAAAAAATAGAACAATTTTCTTTTACACAATTACAAAAGTACCAGGTTACTAACGGTAAGCGACGGTACGGATTACTGAAAACTTCCAAAAAGTCGTAAACATATCAGTTCACTGTATATTTTGCTAGCCTATAGCATCATTTAACCATGAGTTGATTGGTAACAAGTAAGGAAGCCCAACAATAGCGACATTAATGGAATGTTTACGTCTTACTTAATTCTAAAGACATACCCGCACTTCATAATACCACCAATAGTAGTTAGCATTTTCTAATATAGCATACAAACTGTATACTGTCCTAATGCATGTAACACCAGAGGATACAAGTAGGGTTCATGTGTTGGTTTTGGTGTTGTAATTAAACACTATTTGACACTAACTGGAGATTTTTGTGGCACTTTGTTGTTGGAGTTGATTCTCTTAATATGGTATATATAATTCCTGCAGCACAGTATTCAGGTACTCTACCAGTAAATTTGTATTGCTGGTACTGTAAAGCCTCGATCAGTCTGGATATGTACGAAATCTTAGTGGAAATTGTCTAGGTACTTAATATTAACAAACGTGATTAAGCCTATCAAACATTGTTCATTATAAAACATCGTAGTTACGTTGTATATTGAAAGTGTTATGTAAATCGTACAGTCCAATATATGAAGTGAATTAGTTACCATGGTATATTTTGTATACGACACTAAGACAGCCTAACACGATTAGCTTAACATAACTTGAAACTATCACATTGGAATATATATCTTTAAGAACATTAGGGATAGAATTATCATCTGACTATTACAAACAAACTTAACTATTTTTATTTCTAAGGATTTTAAACATACAGCTTAAATCTTGTGATCTGATTACATATTGAAACATACAATTAACTCAATTGTTACGCTAAAACGAAATACAATTTATTTATGTGTTATTTAAATATCCATAGTAAGACAAAAAAAGTGTGATACATGTATATGACCACTAAAACTCCCAGTGAAATAAAAAGCAATAACATACATTATCATATAACGATATATAGGATCTAGTTTTTGTGTCACAGTCAGTGAAGTACCTGTTATATAAGAAAAAAACATGTTTGTTATATTTGCCAGTTGCTGGTACATTGATTGTTTAGGCCACACACCTCTGACGGTTAAATCTTCAAACAATCAAATCTTCTAGATTAAGGAAAACTGTAACGTTACATTATATTTAATTATCATTCTTAGATAATCAGAGCTCTTCCTATTGGCTGATGAGGTTAGTTGATGCTTCCATAGCAGCCATTGTCATGACCTTTAACCCTCACATGTTCCTTGATACATCTAGGTTTCACACTAGGAAATGTTACCTTATGTCGATAAGATAGAAAAATGCAAAAATAAAGGGAAAAGCATGGTATATTTTGTAAAAAAAAAAAAAAAAATTGCAAATCATAACAACATCCATATAGTCAGATGTATTTGACTCTCACCCAACCAAAGGTGAAGAAATACATCAAAAAGAAACGCTATTGCAACAAAGCTATTCTCAAAAATTGGCCAAAAAAATATCACAAAGATTTTTGAGTGTCAAACATCACAAAACTATTAGAACTTTAATAAATTATAAACAATAGAGAGGAACTATATAAGATAGCATCTTGATCACAGAATATATTTACGTTCTGACTTTAAAAAACTGACTAAATTGGAAGGCACAATTCACCATAAACGACACTATCTTTACACATACTCGGACACAACAGGACAACGACTACTGTCTCATCAGACACAGTAACAGTAACACCACTTACCTATCACACAATCATTACTGGGATTGAAGACTTCATGCATTAAGTGTCTAACCATACATTGTACTACGACAGCGGCTTCACATTCCATCTTATCATACAATAAATGCTCAGTCTATTTTGAACACAAACAGTAATTGAAAACTTATTCTGGGAGTTTTCGAAAACGTCTGTTTCCTTTGTCAAGCAAAGAGTGTAAATATCATTTTTGCATCTTGTCATACACTTTACCACAAGAGAGTCTTCACTTAGCGTCCTTTCACACAACGACAGTGAAGTCACACCTATCATGGTAATCTTACCAAGATTGGCACGAATTGTGAGCACATTCAACCACTTTAACTCATATCAAAGATTTCAGGAGTTATCTGGATTGGCATTTAATTGATTTACCAGTATGACATTTCCTATTGGGATAACATTTATAACAATTTGTGATAAAGAATGAATTGGAATTCTTTCCATTTCTCAAAAACTGTTTAAACTTGCCAACTACCCATTAAAAAGAAAACCTTTTATCAATGTGATAAAAATGGAAACCGATATATATATATATAAATATATGCCTTTAACATGCATCAGTCAAGAAGACATGTTAATCAAAATACCTCTGTTCCGAGCAAAACAGGACAGGATGATGAATCGATTGGATTGAACAGGTATTGGAAACTCATAACATACATGTACTAGAAGTTGAATATATTATGCGATTTATATCAATAAATTGTGCTAGGAATGTTCCATCAACACTGCATGGCAGCACAACAAAAATCTGGATAATGTAAGCTACACAATTAATTAAAATATACTGGTAAAAAATAATGCAGAATATTAGTTGAGTTATTAACTACATCCGTCCATGTCAACCGTGAACAAATAACCACCATGAGAGTATTTTTTTCACATAATTAATCCTTACAGATTAGCAAACAAAGCTTCCAGAGTGTGGGTTTTAAACATACTATATAGAGTTTCTCCTTATCTAGATGTTATTTTAGTAGTCATAAAAATATGTTCTTTACAAACCTTACTTCGGATTATTATCTAGATGTATAATGCTTTCATTTCACAGCATACCCATATTACATCATCTTATCATGTGGCATCCTGAATCACAGGGTTTCAATTGATGAATGCAAATCTGTTGTTCCAACAAGATTGTTGAATACCGTCATGATCAGATGGATACAAAACAAAATTGCACAAAAACGTGTATTGCTAGTTCAGAGGGGGTCCTTGTTAAGTATATAATCAGTAATTCAGACTTAAGCTTACAGCAAATGATGAACTCTGGCTTTTAAGGGACCATTAAATCAAACACATTTCCTTTATTCATTTAATGTGAATTGTATAACAGTACACCATGCATAGATCTGGATTTCATTGACAGCCTCTATGACTAATAATAGTTCTATGATTATAAATCTTGTTTCTCAAAGAAAGCGACCAATCAACTGTCATGATAAACTGAGACACTTAAATATGCTTTAAAACTTAAATTTTGGTTTTGTGTCATGTATAGTAAATTCGATTTATTTCTGAACTACGTAACCATATCCTAACAAACTTAAAAAATTGATGTTGCTGCTAATTCAAGAGCTAATTTATTTGCAATATCTCCAATCAATGGATACATGCATATGTAGCACCATGTTTTTCAGTGCAACACCCACCATTTAAAGAATGATGTGTCATTTGCTTCCTTCATGTTCCACAAAATCGGTTGTTTTTTTTGCTTTTACGAATGAGTGTGCAATATTCTAACCAGTATAGCCAGCATTGGTAAATGAATTAGTCATTCAAAGAGTTTGATCATATGTACTCATATACTCGATCTTGAAATAAACAGAAAAATCTAATTGACCACTGGGTAACTGCTTAAAAACATTTTGGTCTATAGTAAACCGCCTATAGATATAAACAAAAAGTGCCATTAGAAGGAGATTAAACAAAAAACTTTTGAAACCATCATTTCTTGGCTTCAAGATAGGTAGGATTTTCATTCTTTATAGATCCATTTATTCAAACCATGAAGCCCAGAATAGAGCTACCAGTCTCAGCAACACGCTTCATAATACATATCAAAACATACCATAAGCCAGAGTTTATATGCAGTATTTCTTTTATAGGAAAATATACATTTAACAAAAAAATCTTTAATAGTTTAGTAGTTCTGAAAAACCATCTTTACTATAAATGAGTAGCTTTGAAAAATCAGTCAGACATACATGTATACATATAATGAATTATTTATTTATGCATACCAGTTTTATTTCATCAAGCTGGGTGAAATAATTTCATGATTCAAAAGTTCTAGTGATATATTTTTCTTTATCCAACATACTAAATTATAATTGGTATTCATAAAAACAAAATAACATTATTTTCACACCATTCATTAAGGAAACAGATACTGAATTAACAGACTTCATTTTAATGGCATATCAAAACAAGGTTTTGTCACATCCATTTAATTATGAAGTCACAACCCAATCACAATTATTTGTTCTTGTTATTTTCAACAGTAAATACACTGAATCTGATTATAATTAGTCATTTTACTGTGTAAATAAAGTGTAATTGTTCCAGCTAGAAAAATATTGACTTTATTTCTATTATAAAACAGCATATTTCACTTGTAAACTGAAATGAAATTAAATATAATCACTGTATCCTGATTCGTCGTATTTATAAGATAACAGGTATCGGGTATTCAATCAGATGACAAAATGTTCAAGTTATAATACTTTTTACTGGATCTTCTGAGAAAATGCAGTCCCGGTGTGTTGCCATTAAACTATTTGTTCTATAACTTAGGCTCTCCAATCATTAGGTTGTCATTCCCGAAGATATTGTCAGGATCAATGAAGTTCTTGATAGCTCGCATTGTCCCAAGGCCGATGTCCCCAACTGTCTGCTTCAAGTAGCGCTTTCTCAGCTTACCCACTGAAAGAGAGCAAGTGATCAAGTTCTTATATCCTAGAGAAAACAAACCCTTGAAATGACCTATAAAAGTTAGGTACTATCTCCATACTTTATTGATAATACACTGTATGTAGAGAACTAGTTTTAGTGGACACAAATTTTATTGTATTATTGAGTTTTAACAGATTAGCACAAAGGCGATTCATCAGTGCACTCACAATGTGATAGAAACTATATACAGAAACTCTAGAGTAATCATAAATTAGTGCTATATTTAGGGCATGAAAAGCACTGAAATTATAATACCTCTAAAATTTGAAAGTTTGCAGTATATATACATATATATATACCCACATTTAGAACGTTGGATAAACTGTGTTCAATGGAAAATAAGTTGAACAGACTCTATTAACATCTGTTTAATTAACAACACTGGGGAAGTCATATCTCCATTGTAATTGGTTATTTCCCTTTGTTGCATCTCTATGACAATGTGTCTCTTATCTGCATTGTCGTTTCGGAAATTTTACCTCATTAGCCCGAGATATCATTGCTCCCAACAGTCATATCTCCATGGGTTATCTTATCCTATTGTTTCAATATCTGTTTCCAACAGTTGTATAGGTATCTCCAGGGAAATGACTATTTACCACATGGCGTTATCCCTCACTAATGCTCCCATTTGTAACCATGTGGCAATTAGTTATCTTTCCCCAGGATCACACTTTATCTCCCAACAGTTGTATTTCCATGATAGTGAATTATATTCTCCCATTATTGAAATCTGACCTCCCAACTTAACCCCCCACCCCCTGATGATTTGCATTCCCCCCAACTCTGCTACCAACAGACATACCTCCATGGTGATGGGATATACTTCCACCATTGGCAAGGATCTCCTCTCTAGCACAATTCTGTAAACAATGGGATTTCATCTTTGTAGATAATTATCTTTTTGCATTGTGTAAACAGTTGTTACAAAGAAAGAACTTCACTTATTTTATTTAGTATACTGATTGAAAGAAATGAGTATTTATGCAATAATTTATTAATAACCTGTGAACAATCTTACCTCAATGTCTTCATAAATCTGTACGGGGTTAGAAAGTCCTCGGTAGTTAAAACCAAAGTAGAAATAGACACAGGCGCCAGCATCATATGTCTGTGTGACCCGACAGGTGATATAGGGAGGAAATTGGATTGCTCGCTTTTTACACTCCCGGTCTAGTCGATCCTTTACATTGTTACAAAGATCCAGACACCTACAATAGTAAGTTAAATTTAATGGAAAGTGTAAAGAGTGTCATTAAAAGCAATGACAAGTACCAACTAGAGGAACCTTTTGATGGCTACAAAATCAGTTTTTTATAGAACTAAAATATTGCATCTACATTACTGTAAGTAAGATTTAAAAATTTAGGAGAATGAAAAGAACTAATTTCAGCAATGAAGTGTTACTGTATGTATTGATCAATTATGTATTGGCCTGATTAAATGAGCTCACTAGATTTATTTTGTCTGGTGAAACAATTTAGCTTTGAAGCAATTGCTTTTTGAAGTAAATGTGAGGAACATTTCAACAACATTTGGGAAGGAAATTTGATTGATGCCGTGAGAATACAAAATATCTGAGTCAAAAACAATTTTAACATCTTGGATTTTTAATCGATCATGAAAATGGAACATTTGTCCAGCACCATAGGAGGAGGATCATACACCTTTTATACCGATTAGAATAATTAAACATACCTGTCCCATGGTACAGATGTCTCAAACGACTCTGCTACAATGTAGTACTCAAATCCTAGATCCTGAAAAACAAAAGACTTGTGTAGTTTACAGTAGAACTTGAAACAAAACTGAAGATACACAGTGATATCTATACTTCATAGAAGTAACTTTTGTATCCTTTTGAAGGCCACTATATAGCTATCATACACATAGTTTGAGTAGGTCTATGTTCAAGGTTTTGCTTACCCTAAGATATGCTATAACAAATGTCAACATATAGCCACGCTCTCCATTGTCTGCCCCTGCTGCTAGACCTCTGTAATTATACAACAGTACATCATAATCATTGTTCACAGAATAGTAAACTATCCCATGTAATTACATGCACAAAATCTATTTGATTTAGATTTTTAAAATATAATCTACGAATGTGTAACAAAATGGAAAAGTCCAATTAACTCTAATGATCGATGCTGGTGTATTTAAGATGTAATTCATGCTGTTCCCTGTACTAAATGTCTTCTGTACCCAGAGGTCATTTAATATCATTAAAATCTTTGATGCTATATATTTCCATTTGTTTACATTACACATAATATATTGTAGAGTTTTAATTTTTGTTACATTGGCAGCTTGAATAAAATATGCAAAATATAAAACCCAAAAATCCATTTTGCAGAGTTAGTTCCAACCCATTACTATGAAAAGAACAGCATATAACTTCCAATATTCTGTTTAAGGATAAATCCTGAAAAGTTTGACCCTGCAAATTTAAAGCTCCAAACAGTATTAAATACACATTCCGAGATACATATAATGAAACATCAGAAACGTTACTCAAAGATTGTGATATGTTAAACTTACCCAAACTTTGATGCAATTTCATACACTCTCTTTTCCTGTGCAGCTACCTCCTGTAAACATGCAATGACACATTCATGTAACCCATAGTGAAGGCACAGGTACAAACCAAATTTGCTAATTATTTTAAACCAGTTCAGCCATTTACTTCAATACAATTTTAGAACCAGGTTATGTTTTGTTTGTAAAAAGGTTGACATTCATATTAAATATAATAATAGATTGAGCAGAAACTTTTCAGTTGCACTTTTTTGTGTTTCTGGTTACTTATATACCGGTATGTATTTTGAAACTTTTAAATGGACACTTTAACTGAAAAATTATAGAGTTTCCAGTCTGATTGAGTAAAGTTTCTATGTCTGTGTGACAATGAAAAATGCATTCCTGATATGAAAATCAAGTAATGGTCAAGCTGGATTACCTGTTGGGTCCCTTCAAACAAAAGTGTCGCCACACTAAGCTTTTTTGGATCAAATCCTTTCAGCTTGGTAATGTAGAATTTCTTGATTCCATCAACAAAGCTTGTCAGGATCGATCCACTCTCAGGCTTCAGGGCAGAACCTAGGGTGGCAAGAAATTCTAGGGTTAATTTGAGTCGGTGGTCAATATATATATATGATGGGTTTTTTTGTTAGACAAATAAAAGAACTGGGTATTGAACAGGCATAATGTATATTAATCCTCTCCACATCATTATATATAGACCAACAAAGATGATGTATTGAACATCATTGTTATCTCCTTATTTATCAGATACATTTTTTAGTTTAAACATATTTTTATTGTCGTAAATAAGGACAATTAGGATTGCATTGCTACATGTGTGTATGAACTGTACATTGTGCATAGTACAAGAAAATAATTAGCAAATTTGTAAATTTCAATATTTATAGCACTAGAGATTTGTATTTTGAACGAAAATATATGTGTCCCCTTAATAGCATTATTGTCTGTGGGAGATGCAAGTACATGTATACTGCAAATTTCTTCACAATATCTGTAACAGTTTAAATATTATGGCATGGACCAGAAATTATAAGGAGAACCAGAAGAAGAAGAACCAATATGTCTTCCTTCATTTGAAGAGGAGATAAATATGAGGACAAGGCTAAGTGTAACCTTCACATCTTTGTACAGACCTTTGAATGGTAAGTTTTGTAGCTGTGAGTGTAATCGATAATTTGCCTTTGTACCTACCAAACTGGAACTGTTGGTTGTCCATCAGTCTGATGGAGGCTGGGGCACATCTCTGGAAAGACAATAAGCAATATCATTACAACCTGCCATTTAACACAGGTTACTAAGCCCTAACATCCAGTAGTGAACATACCTATAAGATGTCTTAATCTTGATTGGTTATCAACTTCAAAACCGAAGCCCATGTGGGCCAAGCTACAAGCACTGGTAATGTACATATATAAATAGTAGATGAAGCCAAGGCAACTAGTTGTCTGGCTGGATGGACATCTACCGAAATTTACTCAAATGTAGCATTACTTATAATCTATCTGTTAATTTAAATCACAGCAGTTGGATATCGAGTCCAATTTACGGAAAAACAGTTAAGATAATACATGTACCATTCCCTATGAACCGATCACAGTGAAACATGGTCAGGTGGTAAAGTCTCTACCTGTTTAGCCACCTCCCTCAGACAAGCCACTCCATTCTCAAACTCTGGGAACACGATTGACCCGTATTTCTTACATTCGGGCAGAGGTCTCACTTTGATGGCCACCTCAGTCACCACACCAAGGGTACCTGTGTGTCAAAGCACCAAAAAGGAGGTTTACATCATGAATGACTTAAAGGTTTGTAAACAGTGATCAATTTTGGTTTATTGTTAAAAGTTATTGGAGTGTAAAATATCCAGGTCAACATTCAGAATCCAACATAATCCATGGATGCACCACCAGAGGTTGATATTATTTTTAGAAAAGACACAATCGATTTTCCTAAAACTGGCCAATGTGAATTTAACATAATGTGCTAGGCTATATATCACTGGACAGTATATGTATATTTAAGAATATAATTATTAGGTTAGAAATTTGTCCTACCTTCTGACCCCATCATGAAGTGGTGGATGTCTAGCCCTGATGATATGCGTGGCACTTGACAGCTTTTCTCCATGACACCTTTAGGAGTCACAAACTTAATATGCACAACCTGTCAAAATAAATCAGTACATTAATTACTCCAAAAATATACAACAGTGTTTAACAAATTTAACAAATGGTTGTAGTACAGTAGGTATCATGAGTTAAATTAATGTATTGGGAAATTTCAACTTCATACCACTGAACGAAACCATTCACATTCAGATATAAGTTATAACATGATAGTTTCTAGAAATGTCTGTAATCAAGTAAAAGAGATCTGGGGTACTTACTAAGTCTTCTATGTTGCCATAAATGTTTTTCTTCATGCCTGAGGCTCGCGTGGCTACCCAGCCCCCCAGGGAACTGAACTCCATGGAGTCTGGTTCGTGACCTGTACAGAACCCTTTTTCCGCTAGCTGCAAACCATTAAGATTAAAAGAGCAATTATAAGACAATCATTTATCAAAGTTAAATTTCCAGAAAATAATGTTATGAGGGGATTATGCCAAGTGGCTTAACATTCTGGCCTTCTATACAGTTGGCAACAGTTTGATCTCCTAAGGAGTTGTAACATGGAATATTCAAAGGAAGTGTTTTTCTCCTGGTGATATAATCCAAAACACAGCTGGAGTATATAATGGCCTTGGATTGGTGCCACATTGTCAGTGCTGTAGCATTCAAATAGGGTGGCACTATGTGAAAAGAGATGTCATGGAAACAGAACAATTACAAACAGGTATGCACACATGTGGAGGTATTAGTGAGGTGGCTTTTGACCAGTAGTTAGCATCTGTTAAGGCAGATTCTATGAGGTCCTCATATTATAGTGAGTCTATTAATTGATTTCCTTTGCATTGTATGACCTATTCTAGCTAGACAAGGCACAATATGAATGGGTCCTATAATAATGACATAGGGTATGCTAGCCTTTATATTTTATTGATGATGATTTTTTGTAATGACATTTTCAATCATATTATGAAAAGTGATGATGGTCATATACCAGTTTGTCCACAGGTCAATCTTCAATACTTTATATGTATTAACCTTCCCAACATATTTTGTAAAACTTTCCAGACCACTATAGAAAATCAGTATATGATGCTCAGATTTAGAAATATTATGTACATTACACCAAATCTTCTATAAGTGTATAACCCTTAAAACAAAAAGACATGTTCTGATGATTCTTCTGCCAATTAAACATTTTCCCAATCTAGAAAAAATGAATTCTTTTTGTGGTAGTATAGGTGTGTGTTTGACAACAAACAGTAAACTACTAGTTTAGTACTTGTCATTTGATTGCATTATCAATCATATAATTGTTTTTTAATTCCTCGTAGCGCCATCAACCATCAGGACAGGACATATTCTATACTGCATGTTCTCTCAAAACAATTTTAAAGATTTTATTTCTTAAATACTGCATTGTTATTATTAGGAATAATGGCTCTCAAGTGGTTTGGTTGTATGTATATGTACTATGTAGATGTTTAATAGGCCGGTACTTACCCTGCGCTCCAGGTCCTGGCCAATGATACCTGCCTCACATTTGGCTATCATGTTCTTCTCGTCTACCCACAGGATCTTGTTCTAGAATGGAGAAAAAGTGAAAATTAAAGACATAATAAAATAACAAAATCAACCTGGTACAATGATTTGGAAAAAGTATTGCTGCAATAATTGAAAATTAAAGGACTAAATATGACATAATATGTGAAGCAGAAAAATGTAAATCATCATCGTTTTAGCTTTCTAATACGGACAACATTTGCAGAATTTCTGGAAAAGATTTATTCAATTCTAGTGAACAAAGAATATCCTGCAATGCAGTAGACATGGTATTCTAGGGTTCTGGAAAAGTCAAAATATATATATGTACACACACACCAAAACAAAACAAAAAGATGGTGTAGAATTAAAAATCCATGGAAAATATAACCAATGAAACAATGATAAAAAGTTTATTTATACATGTATATTTACATTCTTGATGTTTGTTCTGTACATCAACCAGTCAGCTGATTTCACACTCAATGACAAATCATATTACTACGCATAGTACCGTTTCTGAGAAGAGTTATCTCCCCTTCTCCGAGATAACGTAGGTGGATAATAAACATTACAAAATTCATAAATGGTGCACAATTGTACTATTATTTTTTTTTTTTAATTCGAAATTTGAAAAAATATATTTATAACAGTGTCATATTAAATACTGACTTCCGACTCTCAATCGGTTCCTCGTTGTCACAAACTTTCTAACACCCAAACATCCGGCTGTATGGGTAATCCCTGTGACATCAACTTGAACATTAAACCAAGAGAACTTTGTAATGACACAGGGCACTTAATCCATCAACTTATCATCATTTACATCTGCAGGTTTTTGGGAAAACAGCATGTTCAACGGCTGTACCTTAAACTTCAAATGAGCTCTATGCCTACTGCCGCCGGGTGTCCTGGATGGTTACTATGGTAACCGATGATTTGAAATAGTGCAGACATAAACCTTTTTCTAAATATATAATATGCAGTGTTTAATGTGAAAAAAACATCAAATAAGATCAACTTTAAAAAATTAAAGGAATATCAAGTGTTGGTTGATTCTAGATATAATTTTAGTTATGTATTCATTTCAACAAAATTAGCTGATCAGCGGAAGTGGAACATTTGAAGTTTGTGTGTAGGCTGGAGTTCTGGCTGTTCCTTTTTTATGGTTTTCTATCTGATACTAAAATCAAAAATATTAAATTTACAAAAAGTGTTGTAACTTTTTGTATTGTAGCTCATCGTAACCTAAATATATGAATTGAATGGATTTTTGTTTTCATGTACATTGTGCAATGAATAGCAGTAGCTGATCTACATAAATTCTGATGAGCTCGTTAGCGCTCCACAGCTAGGAAATGTAGATCAGCTACTGCGATCATTGCCAAAATGTTCATGAAAAAAATTCCATTCAATCCCTATATGATTGGCATTGTATTAACATACCATTTGTGACGTATCCAGTGATACGATCATCCTCGTCTCGCCCTCGGGACATTCTACAGCTCCGGACACAGTGGTTCCTCCTTATAGTCAAACCATCACATATATAACACTTACAAATTGTTTATATGTTTTTCATTACATACAAGCAGGCAATTCTGTTCTTCATTTTCTCATAAAATCTTTGAATTCAGAAATATTGTTGTACTACTTAGAAAAAAAAAAGACACTTTTCACAACTTAGGTACAATGTAACTATCAAACCTAGATCTCAGATAAAAGCTATTTTATCAATGTGATAAAAGTTTTGTTTATGAACTCTCACACTAGCGCTAAGACTGATAAACAGTTGCCCCAAACTAAGACCAATATGATGAGTTCTTCATATTTATTTAAAATTACAAAAGAAATATACCAAAAATATTGAAAAGAAATGTGCAAAGATTACATCACGTTACAACTAGGACTATTTTGATACCATACCCTTATCACCTCTCAGGCTAATCTCAAAAGTCTCAGGATGATTAAGGGTATAATACTGTAACCGGGATAATATTTGTAATGTATATGTTATTTTAATATTATATATGCATAGCGCTGTGAGTCCTAGTATTCGTACATACTGTATTGTCAATGTGCTGTGTATGTCCGTGTACCTGTACTGTTCGTGTCACGTGATGTATGTTACCTGTGGTATGTATGTACCTGGTAGGTGTAAGGTAAGAGTGTGTGTGTCTGTGTACCTGTACTGTCCGTGTCACGTGATGTATGTGACCTGTGGTATGCATGTACCTGGTAAGTGTAAGGTAAGAGTGTGTATGTCCATGTACCTGTACTGTCCGTGTCACGTGATGTATGTTAAATGTGGTATGCATGTACCTGGTAGGTGTAAGGTAAGAGTGTGTATGTCTGTGTACCTGTACTGTCCGTGTCACGTGATGTATGTTACATGTGGTATGCATGTACCTGGTAGGTGTAAGGTAAGAGTGTGCATGCAAGTGCCTCGTTTTGGTTTTATATGGTCAGTGTCTTTGTGTAAGTTTGGCGCGTAAGTCATTCATATCGGACATTTGACAGCGGACATGTTCAGTGGACGGAGCTAGAAAAGTAGTACGGGGAATCGAAATAATTGGTACGTACTTAATGTATTTTAATAATTTAACTATAGGCATTATTATTCTTACTGTAATATCTATATATGTAAGTTAGAATAATATTGATTTGGATAAATTATCTCTTTTCCTGAATTACCATTTTGTGAATATCCGTCATCGATCATTTTGATGAGTACATTATTTGAAGTTAATTTTAATATCTTAAGTATATACAGATTTCATTGTATTTCAGTTGTTACCAAGCTAGTCATTTACAGTATGTCGTATTGACGACTCTTACCGATATTTCATCTTTAGACCCTTGACCCATTGTTGGGGTAGGTACATAGATAACGTACTTTGTGTAAAATTCTGTATTGGACACGTATACATAATTTATTAAGTATTGAATAAATGTAATGTATTTTGGTATCTGTATAATGAAATGTATATTTCATTATAAGGTAAATGTTAACTTATGTTTCAAACTTTCGAGTAATTTAGATAAATGTAAAGCATATGTATTGTCCATATATGTTGTAACACTTTTTAACTATAATTTAATTAGGTTGTATTGTTTCCTTGTAGGGTCTTGAATGTCTTAAATATGCTTAAAGGAAATAAAATAAATGTTCATGAAGAACGAAACCGTCTTTGTTACACTAACACAATAGTCAAATGATAACCTCTAAATATATATACAATATCATAGGGTCCTGCTTAATTTTACCTTGTACACTAAAGCATAGAGACACTTACCACCAAACGGGATCAACACAACATTATGTTGACAGGCTAAGTTCACGATTTTTACGCAGTCATTGTGGGAATCTATAAAGAAAATAGGATACATATTTAAGAATTGACCTTCATTTTGACAGTGTATACGGTAGGTGGAACGCAGTTGACAACAAACATATTCTATGGAGCGCATTAGATACAAAATGTGATGATGCTGTATTGCTGAACCACGAAGTAAACATAGAAGTAGTCTGGCACTATCTTGGAAATGTGTATCAATGCACCAAGCCTTTTTTCACTGTGAATACGCTAATTTATACACACGATCAGAGTTTACAAAGCTGAGGAAGGGAAAGAAGTAAATAGATCAGTATGTTGACCATTAAGATCCGGAAGTATATATACATGACAATAAACAGAGCAAAGCAGACAATCTACAGATGTTGTTTGCACTGTGAACATTTGTAAAATATTCTGTAAACATTATGGTGAGAAGACAAAAAATGGCTTCCAGCTCCGTGTTGGCGCTAAATGTCAATTTGGAGCACAATTTGTCTCCAAATGAACCTTGTTTATGTAATTCTTTGTTTTACATACAATAGTCATAATCACATGACCACATGGTACATAAAAATATACAAAAAAAAACATAAAAAAAAAAATCTGACCTACATACTTATATATACCCTTGTTTTTTGCCCATGCAACCCTAAACAGACTATATGATTTTGTTTGGCCTAAGGTGATTTTTTGCTCAGTTTGCTAAGTGCCTTATTTTCCCAAAATGACCAAAAAGTGAGGAATATATTCCCCATTTCAATACATTAAGTCATGCTATATTTTGCCAATTCATTAAAGGAACAGGCTGTTGTTAAATTAAGATAACAAAAACACTGACGTATTATCCTTAGTTCCAGGCAATAGAAATCTTTTTTGGTTCGAATACCCCAGGAAAATATTATTCAGATTTTTGCCATCATAAGTATGAAATAATTGTATAGTATAATTAAAATCTACTTACTCGGCCACACTACTAGGTCTGGAATGCGTTTAAATATCCCCTCCCTGAGTACGAACACTTCATGCAAGGTATGACCTGAATGAAAATAAAAAGATACAAATTAATATAACTACAGGAAATATTACTACCCTGGTAGCATTCAACAAAGTCTGAAACATACAGGAATTGTTCCTTGACATGTTTTGTGAGGTCTTTGTCAACTTCGTTCAACATGTCCATCTTCTGATGATAACTCAAGTCTTGTAAGAGTTAACCTGACAAACCATGATACTGTTTGTTACTTAAGGCTTCAGATCTGGATAAATAACGTGGTACATGCCTGTATAAATCAACTCCAGCCAATATGGTGAATGCTGACCAGGCCAGTGTTTGATATCAGATTAACAGCTTGCATGAATTGAACATTGTGTGTTAATCTATACTTATAATGCTTTAAGAAATTTATATTTATATAATATACTCCTTTACTCAGGAATTGCTCTTCGCTGACCCCAAACCCCTACAATCACATGATTATATTTCCCAGACATCATGTATTGACATTATCCATGCATACATGGATAATGTCCACGTGTCCACATATACACCATCGCTAAAGTTGTTTGGTTAAACTGACTTGTGTTTTTTAATGATAGATTTTTAATACATCTGGACTTCTATTTTAATGTTTCTGGTTTGTTTTGTTTCTGATGATTAGAATCTGATAAGGTGCTACTCTTTACTTATAAAACGTACCTCACACAGCGTTTTACCACTAACTGGCACCATGTCTGAATATGGATGATACTATCTGATCAGGATGCTTAAATAAGGGTAAAACTATTAAATCATGTTTTATGTCGAGAGATTATTTTATTTTACCACAAATAAAGAACAGGGTGGATCATTTATATTTACCATGAGCTCTGAACAGTCGGTCCTGACAGTCGTCTGTGAAGGGTATCGCTTTCTTCCGAAGTTCTGATATAAACTCTTCATTCTTCACTGGTGCAGGAATGTCTTTTGCGGTGAGTTCAGGCTGTAATCATCATCAAAATTTACTTTATTTTTATTCACATATCTATAACTTACCAGGGTTACATATATGAATTTGGGACAATGCAATAATTCATATTCTCTGCATCAAGGGCTAGTGTTTTGTATCTATATTTCTGCCAAATCAAATATCCTATGTATCACCGATCTTCGCAGGTGTAAATATCCTGTTTAAACTTATTAACAACAATAACGAAACAAGAGGGTCTACATATTCAAGTAGACCAGCGTAACAGAGAAAATCCACTCATTCAGGCAGGTTATTCAATATCTTTTATATCCAATTAGGGAACTGAAACCTGGTTATCTAGGTGAAAGGTAAGTGCACTGCACTAATTGACCACTCGTACATCTTGTATGTGACATACCTGAGCAGGTGTTTTGTGGTCCAGGCTGATGCCAACTGTAGCTGTCATCCATTCTCGCAGTTGTGGCATTGTTTGCCCACTAAGGCGGTACCTATCAGTTATATAATAGTGGTGATTAGTTGTGCATACTGGTACATATTCTGTTATGTCACATTGACGTCAAAATAGACCACCAGATAGAAGTTAGTTTGTAGTTGTTGAAATATAACAGATATTTCACTTTCAGATAAATATCTTGTCAGCTTTGTTTTAAATTACCTTTCTCCACCAAACTCTACTTGGCCATCCTTGTTTAGGTTGAACTTGGAATCTTTGTATCCCCAACCATTCCATTTCAGCAGCTCTTGGCTGTAGTAAAATATAAAATACAAATGTACATTGTATCATATCAGTATATTTACTTCAATAACATACAGCTGGGAATTTTGTGGAAGAAAATAAAATTGAAATTTGAAATTAGCCTCCATTTTTTGTGATTGCGCCCCTTTGATCTATATTTTTATATTCTGTACCAATCACCCTGCACACCCTTTTGCGTCCATACCCAAAGCACAGTGGCCAAATTATTTACCCAGCTTCAAAACTCATACAATGCTGGATCTAAATTTTAATTTCAATGAGCATAATTAGGTAAAGACCTAGATGATGTACAGCATAATTGAGAGGTCAATACCTAGATATAGCCCTTTGTATATTGCCTATACATTATGTACTAATGTCAGGGTCAACCGACCCTTACAGGTAATTTCCAGCACTTATATATTGCGTCACAATTAACGATTTATATACCAGCCTTCATGACAAGAGAGCTAATGACAGAGTGATCTCCACTTAGCACATGCAATGTATGCAAAACATGGGCGATCCACACCCGCGATCATAACCAATTTGTCATTACATTCTAAAAGAGTCGAATATTTTCAATGAAACTAATATAATAACCCAAAACAATGTATTCTTGTTCTGAAGAACTAAAATTAACATGCCATTATATACCATATTTCTGAATTATTTGGGATTTTTCAGTTTCATGGCAGGTGCCACACATCGAAAATAACAGCTGAAATTATTGTAGACTGTTTGAAAACTTGTCAGCAATTCCGTTGTTGAGATATTAACACATCTTTGTATTCCTGGATCAGGGTTTTTGTCTGGGACCCGAGTACAGGGTTAACATACCCTGACCAATCTAGCAGCTACATGTAGACTGTGCATTTCTCTCTTTCCATCTGCATTTGGTGCCAAATGACATGTAAACAAAGTGCGTTGATTATAGGTTCCCTTTAGCTCAGCGGTAGAGCATCGGACTGGAGAGCCATGGATTGCGGGTTCCAGCCCCAGCGACAGCACTATCTTTATCATTATTTCCTGTCCTACTACAAACTGGTGCTGTTGACCCTCCCCGTTCAAGATAGTAGAACCCTTGGCGGAGAGTTAATGAACCTGGGTTGGTGATTGAAAAAAGGGGGGAATATTGTAGATTAGGTTGCCTTACAAGCGCTAGCTAGAGCAACGGGCAAGGGTCGCGGGTTCGGTTCGAGCCCCAGCGATGGCACTATCTTTATCACTATTCCTCTTCCTACTACAGATATAAGCCTGTCAAGGGAATTTTCGTACCGATACGTTTTTGTACTGCATGCAATTTTGTACCAGGAAATTTTTGTACTACAAAATATAGTATACGTAATACACGTATCATCGACGATTCATCATATCCCGTGTTTTCTATTTATAAATATGTTGTATTACAGTCATACATTTTGTTGAGCGACTCGTTGTGGAGTTATGTAACGTTTACTGTACAAAACAGTATCGTGTATTTACAATGCACCAAGTATTGTCCTATTATTAATAACTAAAAGAATCCAGCAAGCACATGCCTTCTGCCAGTATACATATACATTCTTTTAAGCTACATTTGTTGCCATGTATCATTTTCATCTCCAAACATATCATTATAAAAATTCGTTATTACTTACATACCACCTCCAAGAACACTAATGAGTTCTGACGCAGATATAGGAAGAAGAAGGTTCTCTGCGTTATATATCAGGCTACATATACACTGATATGTATGATAGGGGATGACAAATATATTATTAGTGTCAATATCGATCTCAGTTCTGATCAGATGATGGACCAGTGGACACCTGCACACGCTATAGGCTCACCGGCGTTTTGGGATGGTCGGTGCCTCCGACTGGAACGATACTTTGCCATCATCTGTTGAACTGCAATTGGAACAGCTGACCTGTATCTCGTCTGTCCGGGCTGGTGCATTTGTGTTGGCCCTGATGTGTTGTTTGATTACACTTAGTCGCTGTTTTCCTGCCATGTCACTAGCTCTAACACTGAAGAGTTACGTATACACACCCGGCCAATCATGCCATATGGGGGTCAAGGGTCAGGTTAACACTAACTCGGGAAAGACGGACAGGTTCCGGACCGGAATCGAAACAATGATGAAAGATTGATATGTATTTTATTTTAGTTTAATTTGTTAACCGATTTGAAACATGTATAAAACTGAAAAAAAATAACGTTACCGTCATCAATTTAATTAACAATGGACTAACACTTTAACAAAGTGAACTTTTAATATCTCATGTCGTGATTGTACCACAGGGACATGCTAATTTGTTACAGCTATATTTGGACCTAAACTAAGGTGTTCAGCGTAATTTTACATGTTTTAGAGGCTAAGATCAATTTTTGATAAAAAAAAACCCACCCCAAATGATGATCAATTTTTTGTAAAAATGACTCGTAACATTGTATAATCATTGGGGGTGTCAGGTCCCTGCGGATTGCATTGTATAGCACACAATACAAATTTGGGACATCATGATAATATTCAATTTTCATAACATGATAACGATAGATGTTTGCGTTGCAATGACAGTCCTGTAGCACAAAGGTCACAACTTTTTCTCCCCTATATTTCATCAGAGACGTATATTGCTTTATGTATGTCTCTGGTCTCATTCATGTATTCCTAGAAATACGTACTTTTTAGTTGATTTTCCTGAAGTAGTAATTAATGCTATATAAGCAAAGTTTTTTAAGAAAAAATAATTCCAAGATTTGGCATCTTTTGAAAAACCATTCCACGGAAATGTCGAACTCAAAATCGATAAAACTAAGGGAAAATATGATAAAAGGAAATATTTACAAGACAAGTTGTTCCGGAAGGGTAAGCGTCTTCCGCTTCATCGACGATACCAGCCTTGTAAATTATGGTCCAAGTCAAGTAACGAACAGAATCAAAACCATTGACTTTAATATCGCGAAAAGTCGCCAAGCGACAAAACGAATAACAAAAACCCGCCAAAGGGTTGCGGGTTCGAGTCACGGCATGGCACTGTGTAGTCGGAATTATTCTGACGTTTTATCGACTTTTTTAAATCGGTCTGTCGTCGATTAGCTGTAAATGAGTACGTGGTTGGGGAGTGCAAGAATTGTTGAATGCTTCCTGTGAGAACCAAAATGGCAGCACCGGCTGTATGCTCCCCAAGGTATTGAGAAAGATATTGACTGGTTGCAAAGGCCCTATAACCACGGATAATAATCTGTGAACCGATTTGAGACGACCTACAAACTAGGTTGTGATAAAGCGGTATATAAGAACCTCGAATTATTATTATTATCATTAATATAAAGAGAAAAAGCGAAATAACGCCAAAGCTAAATAATGAAAAGACGAAACCCCGCCGAAGCGAAATAACGAATAAACGCCAAACAGAAGTAAAAGTAGACATATAATTGCGTCTTTCTCCTTCTTTTGGTTTTATTTAGCTTTTTCACTTTTTTTGCGTCTTTTCGTGTTTTGGCTTTGGTAAGTTTTCGTCTCTTCGCTCTGGCGGTTTTTCGATTTTTCGTTTTTTCGTTTTTTCAATTGGTGTCTTTTCGCGGGCGACAACGCGAAAAGACGAAATGTCATATATTCGCCACCATACTCTAGGTATAATGCGATATGGTCAATGAATTTCTTGTTGTTGAAGACAGAACATCTTCGATATATCTGAATAATTATCACATTTTTTTCATTATGAAAGAATTAGTTAAGTTTTTACAGTTGTGCTTTGCGATCTTTGGGGATTTTCAATATCAACAAAACTAATGTCAACCGTATTGACCAATACGACTGCTATATCATATTAAAAGCTAGAAGAACACGATGACGTGGCAGGAGCATTTCTATGTTAACCTTGTTACTTTAGATAAAAGGTGTATGCTAGGTAAGGCGAGTTCTTACTTTTTAAATCTGGTGGAATATTTGGTCGGAATGATTTAAGACCAATACGTTTCTAATGTTAAATCTAAAAACCACTAGCAGATAAAATATCGAACATTTGGCTTCAATGGAAGGTAACTAGTCCTTACATGTTTAAACCATTTATGACTTTGTTACATCTCTTAATTACTTTACCAAGCCTACCTTTTGGGTGAAAATTTACCAAGATGTTGTCATCCAACGAATTTCATTTTTACTTTAAAAAGGAGAAGCTAATGAGAATAAGTAAGAATTTGGTGTCTATATCTAATGTGTTTTTCTTCGTGTTCAAGAAAGATCTTAAATATATCACGTAAAATAGGAGGAGTACAATGTATTATATAATGAAAATGACCATGGCTGCACATCGCCGTGTTGGTCATCACATTTACATACAGGACGAAACATTTTTACAAGCTACGGATGGTTCAGTCTGTGGGCGGATTAGTCGAGTGGTTAACACTTCGGCTTTTCACGCAGGCTGCAGGGGTTCTATCCCCGAAGTCATATCATCGTACGCATGATATTGCGAGAAAGTGCTTTTCTCCTGCCAACACAACTCAAACAACCAAGGTGGAGTATAACATGATCTGGGTGGGTGTTTTGGTATCTGTGCTGTAGCATTCAAGTGAGGTGACACTATAAATGATACCGTTGGAAGCACGGTCCCACTACAAACAGAATATTTCCAGCAAACACGCAGTCATATGACAAAGGACTAGTAAATAGCACCTGATAAGGCAGCTCCTGCGAGTTCCTCAAAATTGTATTTCTATGTGCTGTAAAGCGCTTTAGAGTGGCGTATTCTAGCCAGATTTGACACTACATCAAATATTGTATATTATTACATCAAATATTGTATATTATTATTATTATTATTATTATCTGAAGAGAAATGATGTCAATACTGTTTGTTACAGTCTATTCTAAATATTTCGAGCAGAAAAAGGCGCTATTGATATAAATTGAAAACATGTGTGAAGAAAATGAAGCATAAGGATGAAAGTGTGTAAAACACATGCTAAGTCATGGCAGTACGGTACGTCATCCCCCACCTACCAGAGTTCGCCATTTAATGTCGACTTTGTTTCAGTTTTAATAACTGAAACTGGCATATCAATTGGTCATTGTTGATAATTACATCTTTCTGCATGAACTCATGCGTATTATGTTTTGTTTTTTCTCTTTAAAATGTTAGACAATTCAGAAATTAATGAAATACTAAAAAAGTACCTGATAAATTAAGAAATAATGAAATGCCACTGATAATAAATGCCCTGCTATTTCTAAAAAACAGAAAATGATTTCAAAAAAATCGAAAACTCAGAATATCAAGTAAAGAGGATTTACACGTTAAAACGTTAAAGGTGCTGAAGATTGAAACAGAGAAACATGTTACGACTACCTTGCATCAACAATTTTTTTTATTTTTTTTTTTCAAAACAATATGATATTTTTTCTTATCCATATTGATTTACAACATAAATAAAGCCATTTTAAAATGTTGATTGTTAATCATTACCCACCTACATCATTTAATTTTACAATGACCATTATTTAGCTATTTTGGTTCTCTAACGGTATCAATACCTATCCAGTACAGTACAGCGAGCGTTCATATGGCCTTTTTCGTTGGTGTTCCGGCCTACACGTATGGGGAATATAAGGAATATAAGAACCAGCCTCAGAACCAAGTCGTCAGTTCTGATGAAGAGCTCGAAGAGGACGTCAAGATGATGTTATTTTTTGGCAGTTCCCCCATTTCATTTGCTTCTCACAGAGCACATTTGTGGTGTCTCTGTAGTCAATCACTCTGTTGTTCGCAATGCAGCAATCTTCCCATGGCCATCATCCACATTCCTCAGGTTGAATTCTTTCCACTTGGCTCTCAGATTCTTGGGCTATTTTGCTGAGGATATGAAGGTAGTTGAGACATTGGATAAGACTGAAGAGACATTTCTGCTGGTAGAGGACTGTAAAGATATGGGACTTCAAGATCTGGGCCTTTTATTCATGAAACTGTTCTTATGCTCAAGCATGGATTTTGTGCCAAAACCAACTTTTTGTTACTCTCTCAAAACGTGCGATACAGTCAAAAAGATCAAATGTAAAACATGAAAAGGGAATGTCTCCACCAAGTTCTTCAAAATCATTAACAAAATCTGATTTTTGTTATCAATTTATCACCGGAACAAGTAAATGGACATATGCACAGAAAGAGAATTAGAGCAGGACAACGGTTTCATGAATACGTGCAAAGGATCTCGAGGCTGCTTGGGATGAATCTGTTTCTTAGGGCGAGGTGTGGGTGATGATGATGGAGATGCAGCCGTATTGCTTCTGCATTCTTGGTCGTCTGCTTTTTGTGAACATTCTTTGATTTGGGCAACTTCGATGTGTAGATTCGGGTACTGTGATCGAATACTTTATACGTGCGTGCATACGTGATGGGAATTCGCAGGTCATATGGAGAGAATACGCAGTTAATAAACTGTTCGTTCAGAGATGGTTTATATTCGTTCGGCATTCACTCTATTTCGTTAGTATGTTACATTTTGTACGTATTCGGACTTTGCATAATTATCTTCAGATAGTTATAGTGCCAAGGGGCTTAAGTGTTATGGCAATGTCAATTCTTTCTGACATTCGTTTGAATATATTTCCCACTTACTTTACCTTAGTATTATCAATTATATGCTATATCATCTACCTGTAAGAATTGGAGAGTTGAATCAAATATGTACATATAGTCAAACGATTTCAAAAAGAAAAAAAGAAAAAAACAGCGAAGATACAAATGGCCTTTATTGACATTCGACCGTTACGGTTTGAATAAATCTTGTAACACAGTATATTTGTTAATCAAGATAATCAACAAATTACTCAACTCTTTATATATATATTTCGCACATCACTCTTATCTCGTGTTTGGTTTGGTTTGAACCAGGATGCTGTGGACGCCTTACAATGTAAGTCGAAAGTATACCATGTACGTCTTACTCCTTAGAGTGTCTCAAGCTGTGTGTCCGACAAGAATTGATATCAAATATTAGTTGAATGGTCAAGCAAGTGCTGCGGTTGGTCAGCTGACTAAATAACAAATCTGACCAATCGAGTCAGTACAGAACTAGTACAGAACATGCAACACACAAAACAAGTACGCTAACAAATTTGTGTAACTTCAGGTAAAATATATACATGAACTCGTACAACGAACACATACTAAACACCTGGTTAAATATCTTAATAACATTTGAATCAACCCTCAATCACGTATTGAATAAAAAAAAAAAAGGCCAATAGATCATAACCGTATTTTCAAAATCATTAATAAAGGAACAAAGCGCGTTTAAAATATATGGCATAATGGTGTACAACCTGACGTTATAAAAATGTTATTATTAGCACAGTTCGTTATCAAATATATAATATTTCTCCTCTCAGTTTGAGAGGTTTGTGATCTTTCAAGCAGCTATATATGCTGAACACTTCATGTGTTCATTTCCTCACGAAGGGAACTTGTCTCTCATCGTCTAGGTCCCGTCTGTCATTATAACACGGTTCACAGTATTATATTGCCAGACACACGAAGTCCCGAGTACCGACCTGTCTCTAATGTCGGGGTAATTGCCACTACGATATGGCGCAATGATGTGTCTGGGGTATATAGGGATTTTTACTGTTTATATGGCTTGAGTTGGGATATATGTTTTGGTCGCAATTTATCTTTACTGTATCTTTTATATGTTTTGTTTGTTTCAAACACTACGATGAGAACTTGAGAAGACAGGTTGGTCTTATATAGTAACAAGTGGATTGCTACTGGTTTTCATTTCAGCTTGCTGGCACTGTAACAAAAAAACAATGCGATACAAATGCATTCAAATCAAAACAAAGTCACAATACAGTTACAAAGAAACTACATTGAAGACAAAAAGAGTTCAAATTATAAAGTCTTTAAACAAATATTCTTATAATAAAACTCATAATATCTTTCGATAAAACTAATACACAACTAATGAAATGGAATGCATTTTAAACTCTTATAAAGGTAACTTGAGACAGTTGTTCTAATTAAGAACTATGTATTGGTAGTTTTTGTTCTTCTAAAATTTTAAACAGTATTCGCTTCGTATTGAGCGATGTCATCACATTATCATGTACGAAGTGGTCAACAGTCACGTACTTGATCTACAATATTGTCCTGACAGGCCATTCGGATCCTTTCTGCTGTGGCCGGACACTTAAGAGGATAGTCGTCTGTCAACCCGACTTCTGCGCGTGCCGCCTGAACTGCCTCTTTGATCGCAAAGAAAACTGATGACGCCAATAAAAGAGGTGGCTCGCCTACTCCCTGTAAACAAGGTAATATATGAACTTTTACATACATCATAAAATAGAAAAGGAGCGTCTCTCGTGTGTTATAAGCAATAACATTATTTAAGTTGTCAAGACTTTGCCTCACTCACCTTGGATGAGTATACAGTTTTGACATCTCCACTATCCTGAAGAAGCTTGACCTTAAACTCTCGTGGAATGTTGCGGACACACGGGATTTTGTACTCCAATGGCCCGGACGCTTTCATGCGACCTTCAGCAGTAAACTGTATCTGTTCCATAGTCATCATTCCATATCCCTGGAGAAAAGCACACACTAAATGTATTATAACTGGCACTGTATTGTAATGATAGCAGTCAAGGTTCACTAATAAGCGCAGTGATTATTTATCAACAAAGAAGTCCATTGACCGCTTCACTTTCAACCCATGACATTCAAATGTGGTGATCATTTTTTTCAATCTTTTATTATGTCAGTCATTTATGAACCCAGACGACTTCATGTGGCTCACCATTTAAGTTCCTTCCTTAACCGTTTTAAATACATAAATGGATATGATCTTTTTTTCTACTAATGAGCGGTATGGAATTTTACATACTGAATAATTAATTAGTTATATAATATGTTGTAAATCTGTATCATATCGTATGTAAAAATCTGAACAGTAACGACAAAATGTTTGAGACAAGTCAGGTTTTGTTGTAATCGCCAGTTTCTGCAATAAGTATCCTCCCAAGATGTAACACCCCTTAAAGATTTGCTTTGGTTTTTTGTACGACACTAATTTACTTTAGACATATATAGTAACAGGTAAACTTCCTATTTCATTGTAAAATAAATCTAAAGAACACGTGTGACGAAGTACCAGGAAAGAAGATGTTGTTTAACCGACTCACTTTAGCTATTTGTAAACATAAAGTGAAATGTAAATTGTGTTGAGAACATATAACTCGTGAATATAGCATACAAATAAAAGCGTTATACCATGACAAATCCTCCCTCGATCTGGCCAACGTCTATTGCAGGATTTAGACTCTTACCGACGTCCATCACAATGTCCACACGTCGTACCTAATGAGGAATACACAAGTGAACATAATGCAGCGGCCATATGTGTATTCACCACTCGAAACCGTGACAGCCAGACTGGCCACATCATTGTTTTTTTTATAAAATTGTTTTGCAGAAATAATGTTGTGTCGTTAAGCTTTCATTGAATCATGTACAGGGTCATTTATGTTAATTATTTTTTCGACTTCTGTAATGCATATTTTGTTACATTACAGGAAATATTCATCGCATGTCATGCAGTTTTTTGCATAGTAAACAAAATCAAAAACAACAATACAGACACCAGAAGGTCTCAATTTTCACATTGGTGCAAATCGCGTTACATTCATCAAAACAGATACATTAAACTTTGTATAAGACGCTAGCTGATGCTTACCTGGTGCCCACCAGTAAGGCAATCAATCTCCACCTCGGTACAAGCTGTACCGTACGTGAAGTAGTTAGCATGTACACCAGTGTTGGTAGCAAAGTCATAACCCTCTTCCCTTGACCTGCAGAAGAACGAGGTAGCATTACCGGTCCAACAAGTATTTGACAACACTTTGATGAATTTAATACACACCGGTGTTCAAATTCGGTATGAGATACAGTATACCAAAGAGCAATTACATCGCGTCATACAGCTGTTTTGATACTAGGGGCCAAACAGATGGAAATTAAATCCAAATCGGTCTAAATTACTATTAAAACAGAAGAGGAGGCACATACAATCTATGAACTTTATCAATTTCAAATGGAGAAGTATTGGTTAATTTTACATTATAGAACGAGTAAAGAGTGATATATTCTGAACCATGTCTCTACGCTAAAGAGATTTCTGTGGCTATATAGGTTGTTGCGTCTTTGATATAAGTGATGCGTAGTTGTCACAATAGCAATCATTTGCATACTACCAGTTGTGACTAAATACACACGAAGAATAGAATCATAGTCACTTCAGGCTATAGACATTTGCAAAAGTATAATTAACTGTATCAAAGGAAACAGAAAAAGCCACATTTGATACTGAATATGTAATTAATTTATTATAGAACTAACTTACTTGAAAATACCTGTAGCTGCGAGACTCACGCGCTCGTCGTAGGCAGCATTTACCTAAAACAAAATATCTATGTTAACGAAATTGTGTTTTTTTTTTTTTATGTTGATTGTTCAACAATTTGTAAATAAATAGTGAAATATTACCCTCGTAAAAATCTTCAATATTAAACCCAAATGTTCTATATAAGTTAACAGTAACATACCATTTATAAACTAGTCAGATATTTCAATATGTACGTAATGCGTTTTCATTTGAAGAAAAACATAATACCAAAAAGAGCACCGCATAAAGAGTGCATATTACTAGTACATAATAGTAGATCGATGATATGGGATCATTTTTTTTACCTGAACTTGGTCCTAACAGCATGTAACTATTTTGTTACAGTGACCTAGACTTTAAAGATTCACCCACTATCATGTAATGATAATGTAGCCATGATCCTGCCGTCGAACATATGGCATTGGCTTTCCACTGGTCTAAAGGAACTAATGTTAAGATTTCCTGCGTGAAGTGTCATGATATTCGAAAGAAAACTTCAGTTCGAAATTTCCGCACACGAGCCAAACATGATCTTATTTTGCCAATATCATGTAACAGATTGGTAGTTGTGACCTTGCTAATATAACCATGGCATTCAAATGAGCTCCAGAGATAAATGCAAAGATGTTTTTTTCTGAAGTTTCATGAAAACCTGGTGGAACATTTTAGTCAGGAACCTGCGGACAACCAAATTGTTGACAGACTACACTGATTGATACGTAGCTGTGACCTTTACCTTAAACATATGACATTGACTTTCAATTTGGCACGAGTTGATTACTTCTGAATAACTTTGCGTTAATCGTGATAATACTGAAAATCCGAAACTAGATTTTAAACATTTTGACACCACCAACATGTACGTAACACAACAACGGCTCACCCAGTCTTCCCATGTACCGTCTGGTTTGGCTTTTCTAAACGGTTCCAGGCGGTCTCTGATCTTAACACAAGCATTCTGTAAGTAAATAATGTATAGATTTGACCGGGTGCACCGAAAATTTATACACATGTTACATGTATTGATGCATTATTTGGCTGTGACAATTTTGAACTTGATTTCCGGTGTGTCTTCATTTTTCTATGTGGTTTGTGAAAAGTCCCTGTCCACAACTCGTAATAGCCTAAACGTCCTAGCATTGAATTTGCCATGTCTGACCTTTACGAGGCAGTGCTGATAATGCTACCAACGATCGATGAACTGTTTCCAGTATATACAATTGTATTACCTTGACGGCCCCGGCGTTGAGGTCGGCGACCTGTGTACCCCCGGACTCGGATGTGTTGGGTACAGTTGCCGTGCTCACTTCACTGATTATGATCTTATCCTGCGATATGTCAAGCTCAGTAGCGGCAACCTAAATTACGAATAATACATTCACAACGATAATTCTCAACATTACAAGGCATGCATTCAACACATAGTGGTGATCCAGTGAATGCACGATATCGCACTCTTTTTCGTGTATTACACATTACTGATGATTGATGACCCTTTCTTCACAGAGATGGAAAAAAAACTATGACTTCATGGGTTAAGACTTCCAGGTGGTATTTTGACATCACAATGAAAACTTGATGCTGTTGGAGAAAATTCGTTTTACAATTTTCTCATCAATTCTTAAATTTCAAAGGCAATCAATGAAACCTGTCATACTAAAACGAAAGTTTGTTAAGCACAAAATCCGTATGAGATATCATTTTCTTATCTTTGTGGCTAAACATTAGCATTGAACATGTTTGGTTAAACATCTACCAAATTTCTTTTGAATTTTTGTTTACACTTTATACGAAAACAAATGTGCAGATATAATGTAACTGTCAAATGGCATAGGTGTTGGTTCAAAGGTAGGTTACAGACCTGAATCATCTTAGTGTGGACCCCCTGGCCCATTTCCACGCCACCATGGGTTAACAAGACTGACCCGTCAAGGTACACCAGTAGTAACGCTCCCGCCTGGAACATAATGTTCACCTTTAACTTTTTTGTCCTGCATCTTGTACACTGCAAACCGATTTGTTTCTCACCTCATCAAATTTTCGCCCACTTCTATAAACAAACTCTCCCTTACCAAACAATAACAGAAAGATATCAGATCATAATTCTCACATAATTCCCATTGGTGTAGTGATATGAAGAACATGTCTGTTATTTTAGATGGCTCTAAAAGATCTCTGGATGAAACTTTAAAAGATCTCTCTTATTATGCAAAAATATCAGGATTAAAAATGAATTTCTCCAAGACCCAGGTAGTGTGGATTGGCAGCAAAAAATATAGTGGAAACACTTACACAACAGATTGCAATTTACAATGGGGAAGTACAACTTTCAATTTGCTAGGGATAGACTATGATGTAGACTTAAACAGAATTACAAAACTGAATTTTGATAAATTTTTTTTATAAAACTAAAATCTCTTATATCATCATGGAATAGACGAGTACTTACACCAATAGGTAAAATATCAGTTATTAAAACACTACTTATATCACAGTTTAACCATTTATTTATAGCACTACCAAATCCTGATGAAACATATATAAGAAAAATTAATAGTGTACTGTATGAATTTTTGTGGAATGGTAAACCAGATAAAATAAAGAGAGATGTGATAATTAAAAGTTATGAAGAAGGTGGTCTGAAAATGATACATTTAAAATCTTTTATAACAGCTCTTAAAGCAACATGGATAAGACGGGTATATAAAGAAGAAGGAAATTGGGCTCTTATTTTAGAAACTTATTTTGATAAAGAAACATTAGCTAACTGTGGGCTTGAAAAATTGAAAGAAGAATCTAAACGTTGTAGTAACCTCTTTTGGAAAGATGTCTTAGAAGCATGGTACAATACTATTATCTCTAGCAATATATACAATACAAATATACGTGAAAACCCTCTGTGGTTCAATAGTGAAATTAAAATTGACAGAAAATTTACATTCAAAAATTCATGGTTTAAAAAGGGAGTACAATTTGTATATAACATTATTAAACAGGATGGATCACTCTACCACTTTGAAGAATTTCAAGAAAAATATAACATAAATACTAATTTTTTGACATACCAAGGCCTAAAGAATGCTGTGCATCATTTTATAAGAAAAAATCATCACATTTTTACTTCAGAAAAAACAGTTATCTTTCCAAATATACCTATCAATCTTAAGTTAATACTTAAAAATAGTAAAGGAGCACAAGACATATATTTAATATTAATTAAAAATAATGTTAAACCTACTGCTCAAAGAAAATGGATATTAAATGAAAATATAGATGATGAAACATGGAAAAAAATATATGAATGTCCTTTTAAAACCACCACCAACTCCAAACTACAGTGGCTACAGTACAGAATAAACCACAGAATTCTCACTACAAACACATTTTTATTCAAAATTGGCAAATCACACAATAACCTTTGCACTTTCTGTAAAATTCACCCTGAAACAATAGTTCATATGCTATGGGATTGCGAAAAAATTGATAGGCTAATTGACGAGCTGAAAACAAATATTATAACTAAAAACCTTACACTAAGATTTGAAAAACAAGAATTCCTTTTTGGTAAACATACATATAACCATACAAAGTTTTATATAGAAAACATCATAATACTACTTATAAAACAATACATATATAAAACTAAATGCCTAGAAATTGACCTTAATCTGACTAGTCTCAAAAACCATATAAAATTTGAATTAAAAGCACAAAAGATCCTTGTGTATAAACAGAATAAATTAATAAATAAGGATGAGTTAAACCATCAAATAGATAACTGGATGCAATTATAATATGACTATATATATATATATATGACATATTTGTTCTATACATATATACATCTATTGTACTTTATCGTCTCCTCACTGTAATAATAATCATCAAATATTTCATACATTTTAATTCGCCAGGCTTAAGTTAAAATATAATGACCCAGGAGTGCTCCCCATCCCCTGTAATGTTTTGTGTGTTGTTGTTTTTTCTGTTTCAGTTTATTTTGTTTTTCTCTTGTGTGTTTGATGTCATAGGTTTATATATATTGTTTTTGCATCAGTGTCTCAGTGTATGTCTTTATGTACATGACATTGGCAATTTTTTGCTTAATATCTGCTTATGTGTTAATAATAATATCTTATATGATGATGATGATGATGTCTGATGATGATGATGATCTTTGTTCAATATGTATGAACAATCATGTACTTAGGAACAATGTCATATATGTTTTGTCTTGTAAAAAATGAAAAAATAATAAAAAAATAAAAAAAAAATAAAAAAAAAATGTCCGTGCTACCGGATTAAAAACGTAACTCGAAACATTTTATACGTAGTTATGTTGTATAGAAGGTGAATATCTTCACGGTGGAATATATTTATTAAATTGTTGAAATTAAATTGATTATTTTGTGTTTATTTCCGCGAACTATATTTTTTGCCGGGAACAGTCGCGTGTACTCATTTACAGACAACGCGAAATTTGACTTTGAAATGTGATAACATTTTGGAAATATATTCAATTTGTCTGCAATCCTGTGAGAATTATAGGACAATATCTTTCCTTCAAAAGAATTTACTTTTGTTCAACTTTGATAAAAAAAATCATCTTCTTGTGTAAGAGCGAAGCTGGTGCACATTTGCTGTATTTTAATAGTTTAGCGTTCATTAGTGTTATATACAGACTCGTTTATTGAGCATGCATTGTATTGGAACGGCTTTAGCATATTGTTGTAATGCCTTTTCATCTTTATCTAGAAATGTCCAAAGGGAGCAGGAAAGCCCCATGATTTAGCAACATTAGCCTTCTTTGTCAATCACAACACAACAAGTAAAGTCTGGTGCAGCACAATTATGGCACGAAGGACATTTGGACATGCAAACCTCTACTCCCCTTTCCGGCAATAGTAGCGAGACTACATTGCATAACAAGCATTTTAGTTTCCCTTTTATTACTATGCGATCTACATTATAACAAAAAAATCATATTCAAGGCCAAACAAAATGAATACGCTGTACCAATGAATAAAAGGGGTAGAAAGTAGGGATTTAATTGAGGGAAAGTCTTCTAATTCATACCATGATGCATTATGAAATAAACTATTACTGTTTCGTTATACCATAGAAAAGACGTTTTAAATGATTATGTTTTGCCTCTTGCGATATGATGCGATATAGCTAAATTCAATCGCATCTCATCGAAAACATTTCCTTTTAGAAAATTAGGCGTAGCGTGTCCCTGTAACTTACATTTCTTATCATATTCCGACAATATTGAGATCAATAAGAAGCAACAAGGAACTTTCTGAAGGGCACGTTGCATACATATAATGTATCAAAAACAAGTATTGGGATCGTACGTGTACACCTCCAACACGAATAAGTCGAGTTTTCCGTAACGCTCAAGATACCAATATCCTATATAGTTCCGAGATACCAATATCATATATAATCCCGAGATACCAATATCCTATATAGTCCCGAGATACCAATTTCCTATATAATTCCGAGATACCAATATCCTATATAATCCCGAGATACCAATATCCTATATAATCCCGAGATACCAATATCCTTTATAGTCCCGAGATACCAATATCCTATATAGTCCCTAGATACCAATATCCTTTATAGTCCCGAGATACGAATATCCTATATAGTCCCGAGATACCAATATCCTTTATAGTCCAGTATTCAAAGAATGAAACAAAACTAAAAATGCCATACTTTCTTGTTGTGTTTTGTTTTCCCAGGAGAAGTGAACCATACTAATTATATATTGAATGACTTATGAAATGTTATGATATTTCAAGGTCGCCTCACGTGTACATTTTGAAAGACATTGATGCACATGTCTTACCTGGTTTGCGAAAAGGGGAGCGTATCCTACACCGAACGCGATCGGTATCATGGCAATCCCTCGCTTTGTCCATCTGTTAGTGCTAAAATAGAATCTCAGGTATGTTTGATCGGATCAACATCAACATAATTAGAGTCATGTGCGTGTACGATTTTCAGTATATTGACAAAGAGTAGTGGTATACTATATAAATAGGATACTTCGAACATTCTGTCTGTAGCTATTGTCACCCAATTCATTCATACTAGTGACTTATATTTCATATTTTTAGGCTTGACTTGACTGAGGTGTATTTGTCTGAAGTGGTCTGAACATTTTGTTTTCCACATATCTAAGTAGTCAATCTAACGAGATTTCTTTAGCACTGCGTGTGTTTCACGCGGATCATGATTTGAAGAAAGGGTATCTAGCATATCGTATGATGTAGTGTGTTTACAAACAGTAAATGTATACTATACAGACATGATGCTTGACACATTCTTTCTTCAGCAATTGTCACCCGATTCATTCATTCTAGTGACTTATATTTTATTAAGATTTGGTTTGTTTGTGTTTTACGTCCCTATAACAGCTATGGTCATTTCAGGACGTGCCATGTTTTGGTGGTGTCGGAAAGCCGGAGTTCCCGTAGAAAAACCACCGACCTACGGCCAGTACCTGGCGACTGCCCTAGGTAGTGTAGGCCNTTATTAAGAAGTAATATAACATACATTATACAAAGTCATTGATAACGACAACGATGGCATATCTCTAATAGGTTATTGTAAACGTGTATTTTTTTTCTAGAATACTAAGTTAAAACAATACCTATTGAATGTTACTATCTCCTGTCGCCGTTGGTCGAGCTGACTGTCGGCTCTACACTCTGTCCAGCACCGGGCCATGTTGTTGTCCGTTATAAGCTGTCGAGAGGCAGTCACAGACCCCTGCCTAATTAAGTTTATCTGCCGTACCTATATAAAGAAAACATAGACAAAATACACGTGATCTATACTTAAGAATATAATTTGCTCTACATTAACACTGTATAAAACTGACAAGGTCATATATCAGTTATGAAACGAAAGATTTAGCATGATGATCGTTATTTCTTTAAAGTCGTGACATCTTTATCATAACGCCGGTGATAGCAATGGGGATATTGACCGTTGGAGGTTCCTAAATTAACCACAAAAACTTTCGAATATAGTTTTATTATAGATATCAAACAAAATCCATTATTAAAGTGCATTCTGTTAAAACACATTAGTGTTATTCGACATAAGATTTATTAGGCATTCTTGATTTTTCGGACCTTTTCTCTGAACAGAATACTGTTTAATGCGTTTGAATTGACCAGTCCCCTATCGTACAACATATAACTCTCTTAAGTACTTTCTGTCGCGAATTAAGGGTTTCAAATTAATCTGCTGGTCAACTCTCGCTGTATGCCAGCAGACTGTAGACTACATTAAACATACTAATGTTCACTACATTAATATCGGATGTGTTCTCCACATATTTAAGTAATCAATTTAACGAGCCTTCTTTAGTACCACGTGTGTTTCGCCTTGATGTTGATTTGTAGCAAAATAACTCTTACATAGTGAATGGTGTAAGTCACCCAATGTGTTTTTGTGCAAAATAATATCGGAAAAGCAGTGTCGGTAGAAAAAAAGGTCTTATTTTAATGAAACCATATCGCAGGAACACATATTTTGTAATGATAAACATCAACTGTTTCTTTGTCATGTTTTATTATTCGTTGACGTTATGTGGAAATGTGGTATCTGTTATAGTGACATTTTGTGGGATTGTGGCGACATTTAAAGACAATGTTTTATCTGTTCCGGTGATTGTTCAGAAAATCAAATCTTAGTTATGGGAAATACATCAACTATTAATGTGAAAGTTTGGGAAATACGTCACCTGTTTATGTGAAAATTTGGAATAATTCGTCACATGTTTCGATGTCATTTTGGAGTATTGGATTCCCCAATTTGGTGAAAATTCAGTGTAATACGTAGCTTGTCCCTGTGTTAGGTAATACATTATGTGTTTTTTTAACAGGATAAGACTTTACATTATTTGACGATGTATTACCTCTTCAGGTGACATTTTGAGTCGAGTAGCAACTTGTTGCACTATGTGCTCAACGGCAAACAGCATCTGTGGCGCTCCGAAACCCCGCATGGCTGTATTGGAAGGCAAATTTGTTTTGCACATGCGACCTTCGCTCTTTATGTTTGGTATGTTGTAGCTTCCGTTTAGGAACCAACTAGCGATTTTAACAACCTGCAAAATATATCAATCAAAATGTTGCGGAACGAAAGGTAGTTCATATCAACAAAGACGGGGAATGGTGCTACACAAACCTGGTCTGTAGGATATAAGGAAAGTACACGTAGAACTTAGAATAGCAATATACGTCAGTGTGAACTGTGCACAGCATAAAAGACTGAAAAGAAGCAATTCATTCGGACAAAGATTACCAGGTACCATTTACATCGAACTGAGTTACATCATATGACGAAACGTCCTGTCATGTTTTCAAGACGCTACGTCATTTGACCTTATAATGAATGAGTTGTATTCAGATGTGCTTTGTATGAGAAAACATGAGTCAAGCACGTGACCAAACCGCTGACTTAACAATTTGCGTAAAAATACATGTACACAAGTCAAAGACTCCCAAGACATTTAAAGGCTTTTAATAGAATTTGTTAAAAAACGTACAATTCTGTTCATTTCAGATCACAAGAATGAGGCGAGCGTGCGTAGTTACAGTCGAGACTACTCAACTGCCAGGAAACGGTCTATCAGTACTAGACTAACATCAATGAGCTCCGACCATCTTCGTCTCGGAAAGTGACACAAATACTCTGTCTGTTGTCCCAAATAATACGACAGTAACCCGTCCAAATTTACCCTCAATTCCCTTGTCAAAACTAATGTACAGCGTGCTCACCTCATAAATAAATTAAGGTTAAAAGATAATCCTTAATTAACCATAGTGTAGCGCGCTACATTAAGTCTGAACCATGGACTAGTGCGCTACATCAGATCCTAACCATGGAATAGTGCACAGCACAATGAGCTACATCACGTCCGATTGAGGTTCTTTCGCCGAAGTTTAATGAAATATGACAGGTATTCATTTCCTAATGAAACCTTCCGCTATATCCAAAGAAGAAAACATTATCCTTGCATTGAGAGCTACGCCAAGTATGGCGGCTCTTTTGTTTTTGTTTTTGCGCTTCATAAAATCCGATTTAAATTACTCATACATTGGTAAAGTACTGAAATTGACTGTGAATCAGATGGTTTTTGACACATTATTCTCTGACAGGGAGTTGATACTGTGGTACATTGCTAATTTCTTTGTTCTTTGAATATTTACAAATGGACTGCAATCGAGCGAGTATCCAGCGTTGATATAAAACTTCACGTTCAATCCGAGAATACGGCCGTCGTCACTGAAGTAAACCTGAAAGGCAAATATAAGGAAATTATGGAAGGCTTCATTATTATCTTTAATGCATACAACACAAAATACACATTATTGGCTATTTCTGTAGAATCATTATAAATATTACTCGCTCTAGCAAGGTTACCTTGTATAGTGTCTTGGCAGGATGTCTCTTCCCCGTTATCTGTATATCTGTTGTCCTGTCAAGTACACATCGCACTGGCCGTTTCGTCCTAGCAACAGCAAAGCGAACCAGCGTCTTTACTATGATAAGTACATGCAGGTCACCATAACATCAAATCGTGCACTATTCTGTTAGTTATGGAAGCATACAAACAAGGTAATATATCGCACACATCTGGTAACACAAGCAATCACGTATTCTGTTTCATGACAGAAGATGTACGTATGTCCTTTTAGTAAAAATTAGAATACATTGTCACATAGCAAACACGCAAGAACAAACTTTGATACAAAATGAACAAAACCTCAGGAAACACGACTCCAACCAACACAGGCTTTTCCCCGTGATTTGCAAGTATTTGTGTTTCCTGTATGGTCCTAGTTATAATGCTCCAAATCAAATCCATGTAACTCTTCAATCACGGAGTGAACAAATCTATTATCACAATACACGTTAAATTTTATAGTTGCAATGAAGGTCATTAATATGTTGCCTGTACAAATTTCGCAACATATATCAATGTCCCCCAGAAAACTTCGGCTTTGTTCAATGATTGCCAACAGGACACATCTTACGAGTTATTCAGAACATGCTCCCACAGGTACATCCGTAAGCAGAAGAAAGATGTTCTATTGCTATTGAACAAAGGAAACTTCGCGTTATATTAAAGAAATGAAATCAACACTGATCAGTGTGTTTGGTAATGTAGATCAATACTAATCTACATTTACGCAAATGACAATTTCATGTTTGGGTGAGGATGGAATGCAAATTATAAAGACTAAGACTAATGAACGTACTTCCATGCTCCGACGGCCGCTATCCCGACCACACTCATAGTGTCCCCCTGCTTTCCGCCAAATGCTCCACCTATATAACCAACATAACATTTTTTTAACATATGTAAGGCTTCAAAAACAAGCCCATACAATAACAAGTATAGGTATACATTGAAACATGAACGTACCCCCCCCCCCCCCCAANAAATTACACTGCATAATACAGCTGTTTTGTAATTCTAAGTCTCATTGTTGATTTGAGGGGTCAAAAACTTGGAAATCAAAATTGTCTTTTTACTGTACAAACAGAAGGAAAGATGAGTAAATGCAGAGGGGTACTGACAAATTTCGAACTAAATAACTAGTAGAGCGTGTTTATTTTGAACCGTGTCACTAATCAAAAGGGAGTTTGCCACCTTGTTTCCTGAAACATGAACGTAACACATACAGCTGATTGCACCTTTACAATTTAGTAATAGTAGATACAGATACAGTGTGGCAATAATGAATTACACTGCATCATACAGCTGTTTTGTTCTTCTAGGACTCATCAGTGATGGTAGGGTCAAAACGTTGGAAATCCGAAGTCATACTATTATAATAGTAATCTTATTTGCACCTTGTATTTTTTAAAATTATTTCGTTTCGACAAATTTTATTGTCAGATAATCTGATATGATCTAATAGGCAGATACCGATTACTTGTTTATTGTAGATAATCAATCAGTATGTCAATTCCGTTCTTTAACGCACAGACATTTTACGGGCAGCAAATCTGTTTGTTTACATGCGATGTTCACTCACCAATTCGTTTTATTTTCACTGTCAATCTGTTCCGAGGGATTGCCAGGAAGTCAGATAGGATTTGCTGTAACATATCATTAATTAAATAAGCAGATAGATATCATCAACTTTCAATACAAAGAGATTTACATATCCAGCAATATACACCAATATTGATGTATTCTACTCGACTAACATAAGGCAGTGCCAAAGCGGAAACCATCATATGTTGTTTATTATTTGCCTTGTCAGGCACTCGATAGGTTTAATATTGTACTCGTGTTAACTTTTGATCATCTCGCGTCTATAAAGTAGCGTTGTTCTTTGTAGCAATGTGAATCATCCGGCTATTGCAACTGCGGGAACGATTTACCAAAAGATAAGCAAACGGTAAAAGTTATTTGTTATTGCCGCAACTGAACAGATATTGATAACTTTTCAGTGTAAAAGAATAATTTCATAGCTATAATGATGTTCTATTTTTACTGATAAATACAGACCGATTTGCGGATACGCGTGAAGGGTATCCGGTTTTAATGCTATTATTTTTTCAAATATATCATTGTTAAATTGCGTATATCTCTTACTTTTCTAATTAATTTCAAATGAACACATTCTTCAAATAAAATTATCACTTTTACAAAATCATGAACAAAAGTGAACAGAAAAAAACTGAAATATAGAAAAAATATCACTGAAGAATGTTTTAGTGCTTCCTTTCCCGACATTACATAAAAGAGAAAACTGAAAATGAAAATAAGCCGTTCCAAAGATTGACTATATGGCTGTGTCAAACCTGTGTAGCCGTAAGGATCTGTGTAGGTGCGAACACCTCCAGTTCGCGCTGCTCGAGCTTTGGTACTACCAGTGCAGTCTGGGTTTCCATGTACAAGTGTTCCTGCACTCCCGTGGAACACGTGCCCTCCACACAATGACTGGCCGTTTCTTTGACACCCTCTAGATCACCTACATCGATCCTATGTACTTCCTCAAACAGTGAATCCTTTTCCAGCGCCTCCTACAAAGAACAAGTAGAGTTTATCGAATACTTGTAAAGGATATATTGGAACACCTGTTTTGTATGGAGGCTTCATTTACAAGTATCATTATAACAAGTAGTTCATTTAGCAATTTTCTTACATGTTATGTTTTTGTATTGTTATAATTATTGATTTCGTTGTATTTCGAGTTGATCCAACTCACCCCAATGAAAACCGAAGTCTTCTATACAACCAATAAAAGATGTTCACATACCACATCCTTAAACTTGACTTTTGCAATAATACTATTATCACAAAATGGTGATTAAAACAATATAGATTAACACTAAAAAGAATTTCCGAGTTCATTCTAAAAACAATCAGCATGAAATGTGTGTATGTGAGGCAGGTTCAGTATAAAAAAAATAAAAATAAAAATCCTGTTGGTTTAAATCAAAAGGACACATATACAATGATTACCAAAATCTGTTTTTTTTTTACATACTTCAATGGTTAATATTGCGTTCATCTTTTCGTACGTGATGTTGACAAGCTGCGCTGCCTTGACACCTACAGTTCGGCTCTCGGCTAGGACTGCCCCAATTACCTGGCCATAACAGAACACCTGAACACAAAACAAAGTAGATGTAATGTATCAAAAGCGACAATTTGCGAAGCTCGGATGTCGATTCAGATGAGCCTGTAGGGTTCCAAAAGATATCAGGGAGAGAAGATAGCATTGGTCGGAAAAAATATACCGAGGGAAGAAGAAGTAGGACGTCAGGCAATATTATGGCATAAGATTTGTTCTGCTTAGTACTCAAAGACATTTCCGACGTACATAGCAGCAGCAATGCTTACAAATATTCAAAAGAAATATGCTATAAAAAGGTGTCGCTAATGTTCGTGTTACTAATCAATATCAAACAGGTTGCATTTATAAGAATATAGTGACTTTACATTGCGTTAAACATGTATCGAAACTTTGACATGCATTGTAGTAAGTAAACTACGAAAAAAGGATGCCTTGCCTCATTTTCGGCAAATAGTGTGCTGTCGCATACTCCATTTATAACACTGAATTTGTTGGTACCAGGAACATGGGAGTGATCTATGTAGTCCACCACACCAGGGAGCGCCAGAGCTTGAGACGGGTCCACAGACAGGATCCGTGCATGTGCATGCTTACTTGTGACCGGGACAGCAAAAAGTTCACCTTTTACATAGCAAAATATTGTATTTAAGACGACTAATTTACCAAATTAGTGGACTCAGGACCTGGATTCAACACATTCGCAAAATAAAAAGGACATAATTCACCTTGCCCAACATATCTGCTTTGGTAAGCGATACCTACATGTATATATCACTGATGCTTAGCACATATTTACTTTATATAAAGTGTGTATACGTTAAAAATATTATAGTTCAACCAAATCTTGAAGCATGGACATTTCATAAGTGTATAGTACTTTGAAATGTAGGAATGTCGTCCACAAACTGTGCCTCTCCGGACGTGACATATTCGGAAGAAACGTTAGGTACGGGTTTCCATACAATCCTGTGGCCGTCCTCGCTTGGGACGTCGTACGCCTGTGTGCCGGACACGGTTGTATAGGGCAGCCCGATCACATCACACTGGGAACACGACGAATCCGTTTTCTATAAAGAGGTAAATAATTATATTGTTTTTGATTAGCAACACATATCCGACGCAAGTCCAAATAACCGGATATCGTGACCCTTTATTAATGATATCAGTCAAATTCACAAGTAATTCAAATATGTGTGGGATATGTCTCTATAGTATAAAAACCAAGTCTGTTTAGATATGTCACACATCCTGGTCGTACCCACCCATTTCTATATAATGGCAAGGTGACCAGCTGTTTACTGTATTAAATGACAATATCATTTCATTGTTGAGATTGGTTATGGCAATTTTTGTGATTTTATATAAATGTATATAAATTTGTTTGAATATTTTAAGTATACTAAGCAATGATTGTGATTAAGCGCGACAGATAATTTAGCTTACTTTATGTTTTGTGATGGTCATATTGATGCCAAATGATGACCTTATGAAATCTCGGATACAATTGTATTTAGTTAATGTTTTGAAAACTGCTTTCTTATTCCGATTACTTGAAAACACATTTTTAATTACAATTTAGCCACCAACATACGACAGGAATATTTTACCAGAATTATATTGTTATTTAATTAAGTCTAGATCTTGGTCAGAGCATTTTGCTAAGCTTTTTGCTCTTATCTTTGTTTGTAGCAGAATACATTGTTATGAAGAATCCTGAGGCACATATATTGGAGAATAAGAGTAGGCAATTGTATAATGAACTAAGCAATACAAATACTGTAAATGTTCTAAATGATAAACCACAGAACGCTAACAATGCTTTTGTTCGCAACACCCAACCTTTTGATTCAAGATAGATATACATCTTTTAGGATACAAGATAAGGTGGAATAATGTCATACTGAAACGTCACTGAGTTTTTTTTTAACTCACATTGAATGGACAATTGACATTCTGATCTATAGGACAGACTTCAAATCAATCGGGAAAGTGGTAGCGAACCTAAATGTCACAAAGAGTGGCAGGTGTACCAAAATAATTATAGGATGCGGACAATGGATACATTTGTTTTGTGTAGAGTTTAACGTCCTCACGAAAGACTTGGTCAAATGAGGACTGTTTTAGGAGAAACCGCCTGGAAGAGGGAGTAGATAACAAATAAAAGAGATGAGAGAGGGGAAACGAAACCAATCCAAAGTGTCACAATGATGGCAGCAGGTCAATGTTGGTCTCTTACATGTTCTCAAAGTAGAAGACACAAAAGAAAAAACCCAATTCTGCAGTCGGCCACACATTATACGCAATTTTTGATACACATGCAGTTGAAGTCTATTCTTTAATGGGAGGGGCATATTAGTCGCCTCTTACGATCATGCAGTGGGACACAGCAAGTTCTTTCCCAGAACCTGCACGGTTTCGGACAGTTTAAGGAGTACAGGGAAGGCGAATTACTTAACACGAATGTTTCCTTATTCCCTGTAACGATAGAGTGCCATGTAGCCTACGGTCTGTGTGCAGGATGTTCAGGAAAGTGAAAAGAAAAAAGGACAGCGGTTCGAAGAAATATGGCTGATCACCAATGTGGACCCTATTTAAATATAAGTGTTCTGAATTAGCAGCTGAAACAGACGATATTGAATGTTTTCAGCCAACGAAAGCGTATCCTCTACATTATCAAATAATGAAGGTATCCGCCAAATAATCAATGAAGTTACCACCACACACGCTGGACGTATGAATCTATACTGTTAACGTTACGTTAAAGTCACTCTGGTAGGACGGACGACACTAAGTAGTCAACATACCTTCAACTGCCCTTGTACATACAAGAAAAACTTGTAGACGAAGCTACATGCTAGAGTAAGCCGGAACTTTGTATTGTCGTAGTAATTGTTGTTGAGCTCAATTATCAAATCACCACACACCTCAGTCACGATGTCATCAGACCAAGTCCTGTAGGATCAATGAGAATGCAGAACTTCCGTGTTAATTGATATCTCCCGTAAAGACGTAAACGGGTTTTAGTGAAAATCTGCGATAAATAAAACATTAAAAGTGTGGAAAGGGACAACAAACCAAACTAAGGGAAGTGTCCAGTAACAAAATAAGTTCGTTTAGTTATTGATGTTACATCACAATGGAAATAAACAAGAAAATTGGATATTATGGAATATAATATACGCAACTGAGTCTCGTTAATAATTCGAAGGCATTTTTTATACATGTAACAAGTACTTATGAAGGTCTATTCAATAGTTTTAGTAATTTGATATCGTACTTTGTAAATGAAATGTATATAAAGCTATTTTGTGAACAAAATTTAAATAGATAAATGAAAGGCTGATCTGTAAACGGTGTAAAAAGGTAGTATCATGCATTTGTCTTTCTTTTTCAAATGTGATAAAACAAACGGTTACGTCATTACCAGGCAATAATTTGTAACACCTTCCAAACAAAAAACATCTTTGCGGAAACAATAACTTGTATAAAAATATCGAGATATTCTCGCAACAGACTGCGTTAACGTTTTAAAAGTGTAGATTACAAGAACCTTTGTTCCCGATTAAAATGTAAACATTTTAAGTTACTTGAGTCTATAATTGCTATGATACAACCGCTAGGAGGATTATCAGTGTAACGTCGCTTGCATTTACTACGTATATTTTTATCAAAAGGGCACTTTTGTATTGATATTGCAGCGTTTCATTTACAATACCGTCTTCACTAGGAACAAAATGAAAATTTGATACGTACTATTTTTAAGAGTATAATGATCCTGTATAACACATATTTTGATCAGGATTTGTTCCTTCATATGACCTTAAACGAAAAATGAAACTGTCCAGCATATACTGTTGGTTTTATACCCGGAGTTAATCAAAGAACCTACTTTCCAACTGAATTGTTGGTGGTTGACAGCGCCAGTACAGGTTTCTTGTCAACACCTCCGAAGGCTAGTCGCATCGTTCTGACAGTTCTAGTACTGGTGTCAAGTTCCACGAACAGCCCACAAGTAACAATGCCATAGTCAAATCCGCGACGGTGAGGCTGCTTCATGCCAACGATATACTCGTTCTGATGAAATAAGGAACCAATATCAAAGCTTTTTTCGGTCCATGAAAATAAGTGAAGTCGATTGAAATTTGAGATAACATGTATATCTAATTACAATAATATTATCATCAACAAATCATATTTGCATAAGCACGAGGAATGCTAATATTTGTATATTAGAACAGAGTTAACATAATTTGGGATGTATACCAAAAATGATCACTGACATTCTAAGTAATTGCAGTTTCTTTCAATGCATCTTAATTAGAAATTTCGACCTATCTTCTTTATCTTGAAGTCATAACAAGATGGCAATCCAAGATTTTATAAACTCTATTTGTACCAATACATTCTGGTAGTGATAATATCCGATATACAGTACACTTTCTCAGTGCATGTGCGTACAAACAATGCACATCAGGACAGTCATCTAATACAAGAGGCCCAAGAGGGCCTGTATCGCTCACCTGAATATTTAAGCAGTCATAGCAAAATATTCTCATTAAAATATTGAACTAAAAATATGGCTCCATCTGTTGAAACTACCAGCAAAATATTATTATAAGATTCTATGTTTTTTTATTCTTCTTCGGAAGTTGCTTTTTTCCCTGTGACCTTGTAAGTAGGTCAATGTCATTTTCCTTCTCAAATTGGTTAGCTCTATTCCAAAATGCTACCAGCCAAATCTTAGGAATCCATTCCTTTTAGTTCTTGAGAACAAATCCTTTAAAATTTTGTTGACCTCTGTGACCTCAAAAGTAGGTTGAGGTCATTTCATTCGCAAACTTTGGTGAACTCTATCTCAGGAAGTCACCAGCCAAATATTATATTTGTATGCCTATTAATTCTTCTTCAGAAGTAGTTTGAACCGTTTGACATATTTGAACGCTGTGACCTTGAAAGTAAGTCAATGTCATTTGCATTCGCAAACTTTGTTTGGCTCTTTCCCAGGAAATAACCAGCCAAATATTAAGGTTCAATACCTTCCAGTTCTTCAGAAGAAGTCGTTTTAAGTGTTTGACATATCTGTTTAATGTGACCTTGAAAGTAGATCAAGGTCATTTTCATTCGCAAACTTTGTTGGGCTCCTTCCCCGGAAATAACCAGCCAAATATCAAGGATCTTTACCTTCCAGTTCCTCAGAAGAAGTCGTTTAAAGTGTTTGACATATTTGACCCCTGTGACCTTGAAAGTAGGTCAAGGTCATTTTCGTTCTCAAACTTTTTCAGGCTCCTACCAACAAAGCTTTCAGTCAAATATCATGACTCTAGGCCTGTCCGTTCTTCAGAAGAAATTGTTTAACGGAAACGTTGACGAACGAGGACGGACGGACGGACGCCGCACCATGACATAAGCTCACTAGCCCTTCGGGCAGGTGAGCTAATAACTGAATCCCTTATGTGAGTTACCTCGCTCGTGAAAGGTATGGTGATTGAGGACAGTATCTCTCCATCACCCATGTGACTATATTCATTATTGATGAATTCGTCATCCAACTTACAGGTGCGTGGTCCTTTGCCTAAAACAACACAACAAGTGACCATCTACATCTGTCTGTGGATGAAACTGTAAAGTAAACTGACAATTCTGTGTTAAACTTCAAACGAATCGTGATACTTTGTGGACATGCAGATGTGTTCCAATCGTATAGCCTACTGTTCACCTTTTCATCCCTATGTAGCTATAGTAGACTCTACCATTCAATGATCTGGACGTGCTCATTCTGGTCTACAGTGGCGAAAAGGTTAATATTTAATTTTAGGACACAATTAAATGTACAAGCATGGAGTGATAGTATGTGTCATCGCTTAAAAATGGTACTACTATACCTTGTGATAAAAACTGCAGTTCTGCTCCAGCGGCCATAAGGAAAGCTTGCAGATCCAGATTGGGTGCGTGGCTCATCACGTGACCTCCAATCGTCTTAGATTGCGAAATACATTTTGTTTTTAAAGATTACAATACATAAACATCAGTTAGCGTTAATACTTAATGTACATTTTCATAAGAATAAATGAAAAAATATTCGTGACATTGCATGTTCAAAACAATCCAACGAGCTTTGAAAATAGAGACACCGTCTTATTTACAGAAATTCGATCACAGTCATATCTGTCTGTTCATTGTAACCGAGACGCCAACCGGATATATATATATAAACCACCAAAACCAAGTACGTGAGTCAGTATTCAATGGATTGACCATGGGTGAACATCTCTAAATATGGATCAAACTGTTGATAGGGGAACATCTCTCAATATGGATCAAACTGGTGATAAGTGAACATCTCTCAATATGGATCAAACTGTTGATAGGAGAACATCTCTCAATATGTATCAAACTGTTGATAGGTGAACATCTCTGAATATGGATCAAATTGTTGATAGGTGAACATATCTCAATATGGATCAAACTGTTGATAGGTGAACATCTCTGAATATGGATCAAATTGTTGATAGGTGAACATATCTCAATATGGATCAAACTGTTGATAGGCGAACATCTCTCAATATGGATCAAACTATTGATAGGTGAACATCTCTCAATATTGATCAAACTGTTGATAGGTGAACATCTCTCAATATTGATCAAACTGTTGATAGGTGAACATCTCTCAATATTGATCAAACTGTTGATAGGTGAACATCTCTCCATATGGATCAAACTGTTGATAGGCGAACATCTCTCAATATGGATCAAACTGTTGATAGGTGAACATCTCTCCCATAAAAAAACTTACGATTTATCACTTAATGTTGGCATGATTCAAAGCCTTATTCGTTTTATTATACTCCGCTTCCGTATGCAGAGTTATTGCATTTTATCATCTATTTTCGCTTTGCATTTTCATGGCAAGTATTATTAGAATAAATTTAGAATTCCATAATTGTAAAAGGCAATATATCTTTTTATATCTTGTTTAACTGTAGTACTATGTAACACAATAAATTATGACAAAAAATGCGCAGTGGTTTGTGATCCAGAATATAAGAATGTTCAAACTTCATAAATTATCATCTAAATATCTAATGACCCTCAGAAGACATGCGCTGTAGTATAGGTAATTATATACAGCTGTGTGAGTTTGTGTGAGCAATTTTTATCTGTCTAAAGATTTCTTTATAAGAAATATTCGAATAAGGCTTTAGAGCACATATAATTCGATGAAAAGTTAAAACTTTACAACGAAAAGACAAATGTGGCAGTGATCGACTTCTGGCAAATCAAGATCTTTCGTTGTGAAGGAAATTGTGGTTTGGAATGCTTGTTTAACATGTATTGTCAACCTGAATACGACAGAAATGTTGTTGTTATTGATATATTTAATATTGGCTTTGAAATTAAAGCATTTACTACGTATTGTAATAAAAACATAAAATTACAAGGAAACACATGACAACATACCGCTGTATTTCTGATTTGGTCCACACCTATCCACCGCAGGACGTCCAGGGCTGCTAACACACTTCTGTTTTTGGGACCTATGACAATCATTGGTGAATTAAAATAATGCATGGATTTTGATTTCATGGAATATACGCGTGAACCTGTGAAAGATCCCAATCTTTTTCAGGTCAAACATTAGGCAAAACCAATGTCAATGTAGGAAACAAATGTCGGCACGGTTATACAAACATGTAAAAACAAAATTAACAATGGGGGGTTTAACGGTTCATATATTCTCATTTTACAAAATGCATTTAAGTTTTTAACTGCGTCACCTTTGATTTTGACAGATATTTCGTTGAGTGTTTTTTCCAATGACGCCATGGTAACCCCGGCCCCGACTCGAACCTCGGTCAGTGTGGTCTCAACAATAGTCAGTTCCTTAACATTGGTTCCGCAGATAACCACGTCAGACGTCAGAATCCCCTTGCGCAGCAGATATCCTGTCATTGATACAAACCAAGTCAGTTTTAAGGTGATGGTACATATGTCCACGAAGCAAGTTCATATAGCAATACTACTTTTAAATAATTTAGAAACTTAAATGGTCAAATACTGACCGGTACTTATATGGCAAACATAAAGTCAAGAGGAGACGGTACACACAGTATATATTTTGGTGCCGTGATTTTGTTCTTTTCCCTATATTCTATGGACGGGTATTTCAAAAAACGGGGAAAGCATGTTATCTTTTTTAAATACGAGCTTCATGTGCGTCTGCGATGCCGATCTATTTTTTTACAATGATTGAAATTTGAACATAAATCGCCTCATAGAACAAATAGTGTCCAGATCGTCTCATGTCACATGAATTGATGACGTCATAGACAATGCCGAGCGTGACGTCAAAATTCGCTAAAAGCCGATCGGCCAAGATCGGCCCTGTGGCAGTCAACGTAAAAATCAGATCAGACCAAATCGGCCCTGTGGCAGTCTAAGGGTTAAAGTATTTAATTACCATATGTCATTCCTGTATCATAAATATCAAGTGAATTACATTCCAAATCAGGATTACAACTTTTCTATGATAATTAATTAAATTCGAGGTAAAACAATATCCTTCCCTCACATATAAATGACAAAAACGTAGATTGCAATTTATCACATCCCTGTTGAATCTTGTTATAGTAATACAAGCAATTTTCAGACCATGAAATACAACGTTCTGTATTGCACATGTGCAATACGGAATGTTGTATTTACCTACTAGCCGGGTATTTGCAAAAAATATCAAAGTTTATAAAATCTTTGTACCGATTTCTACCAAATACGGAAGGTATGTGATAAAATTAAGACCACACACTTGTGTTTTTCTAACGAATCAGAAAGCACTCGTTTATTGCGCGGACGTATATATTAGTACGCGCAATAAACTCGTGCTTTCTGATTCGTTAGAAAAACACAAGTGTGTGGTCTTGCAAATGTATGAAATAAATCCTCCGATCTGTTTTGGCTCTCTTGATTAACACTGTCACTCTCCTTTTCCACTTTCATGAGACACTTAGTTTATGATTAAACATCAACGAAGGTGAACAGTTTCGTATTTAACATTTCACTATGACTGACCAAAAATACTTTGAAAACAAGACAAATATCAGCGCATATTCATCATGGACTTGTCATACATGCCTTTTATGAAAGTGAATATTTCGAAATCATCACATTATCTGGTATGTGTCGTTAAATAATATGACGTCACCTATACTGTTGCATCCCATGACCACGGGAGCTCCCTGATGATCTGCCTTCAGTTGTAATATTCCGGCTAGAGTTGTGGGACGATACCAGGTGTACCGATCACCTCTAAATACCACGTCTTCTGTGTGGTAAGTCTCTGTCAGCTGCAAATTACAGAATTGTATATAAACGCCACTTATCTAAATATATTGACATTTACACTTTTCGTCACTATATAAATTATAACAGAAGAACATGCTTTCTTGGTTATCTTATCAGAAAGGGTCATATATTTACAAAATTACACCCAATCCCTCTCATTTATACGTCCATTTTATGTTATATTAAAATATACAACATATTTAAAAACGAAGATGCAGTCTTGGCAACGCGACAGTAAGTATGGTGATTATCATATCAAACTATTTGCCGTATCAAAATGCTGCCTGGCGATGATGATGTAATAGAGTATGCCATTTTATTTGCGTGTGTATTTATAGCACTGATTACAGGTACACTCGAAAATGTTTCCACCGTGAAAGCCCAGCTAAACAGTAAGCCCTACCTGCAGTTCCGGGGGAAATATGACGTCTTGAGAGGAGGCCTCCCGTGGAGTCTCGTCAATACCTCCTGATGTCTCATTCGTCTGTTGACACAGGCCTAATCCGCACGGACAGTTCTGGTAACGTGAATTAATATCAGCAAGTTACACAAATAATGGTCTACATTGACGGATGATGGTTAGACGCGTAACTGAGAAACTGTAGCATGGATGCCTGATGGTAAGATTCAGAAATGAAAGTCTGTAGTAAGATGTTTAATGGTTAGATCAACAACTGATATTCTCAAGTTTGCATGTCTATCGTGTACCAGGTTATATCCTAGATATACATCTGTCTTGTATTCTCATAATGATAGACAGTTTGCAATGGCGATGTAAATATTCATGAAACATATTAATGATTGCAACATGGATATAAATTGTATATATTAAGCAACACTTGAAAATACAGGGAAACAACTAATTCATTACATCATACATTGCGAATGAATACTCTATTGTTACCTTTTTGGCTTCCACAAAAGCATCAACTATGGGACGGTACCCGGTACATCGACATAGGTTTCCTACGGGGGTCAAACAAGTGTTGTTATATGTGTACATTGTATCTACCACACAATTGAAGCAAACAGATATACGATATAATTTAACCAAAGCTTCGAATAAGGTTAAAAAGTTGCCAAATCTGTGCAACCCATCCCAAAAACATGTCTATAAACACGCTTCTAGTTACAGAAAATATAACTATTGAAAGGCCAATCGGTGTTTGATTAAATCTAAGGAGTTGAGTTAGTTGTACTAAGTCAAGTGATCCTGGTATATAAAAAAAAAAGTCTTAATAATAATACGGCTTGTCATAACGTACCTTCCAACATTCTCTCCATTTGTTCCTGTGACGGACTAGGGTTGTTCCTAAACAATGTGTACATCGTCATAACCATCCCAGGAGTACAAAATCCGCATTGGAAACCCTGTGCCTCCACTAAACCTTTCTGTAGTTGTCAACAAAAACAGGTATGTCTTAATTTAATGATTGGTATAATTCGGAATAAATTTACAATACTTTACAATGTTTAAAAATAATTTCATTATTTTACTGATATTACATCAACATCAAAATCCAATATTACACGGTACAGCAAATTTACAGCTTGTCAAAAAGTTGACACTTTGAAGGAGCTCTGATATATAGTGTGAATTTTACTGTTTTCTATATAGAAGCAGCTTAAAGTATTAGTTGAATCCAAAGCGGCTAACGAAAGTCAAGTATCCATAAAGCACGTGCTACTGACCTGTACCGCGTGTAGTCCTGTCCGGGAATTTCCTACACCCTCCACGGTAGTGACCGCCCGACCGTGAAGGTAACACAATGGCACGAGACAGGCATTCACCGACACGTGTCTGTAAATATTAACACCTAATTCAAAATAGGAGATTTTAGAAATAATCCCAGCTATTAGTTTGCTAATTTATGCGACTAAAACTGAACTGTTATAAAAATTATTCGCTTTTCAAGAACATGTATTTGTAAAAGTGTATTCGAATAAGTTAAATAAAATAATGTTAACGATATAAAACTTCTGTTGGTAAAAGACGTATTTATGATGTCAATAGAACCTTTTTGATAACGCAATGATACTAAAGCGATGTTTAGTTAGGTACATGCTGTCAATTACATATCAACTGTAATCTATTTATCGATTGGTTTATTAGGGGATAATTTGTATAACGTAGCTAAAATTAGCAATGTAAACCCATGTACATCCGGCAATCAGAGTTCAAGGTGACAATGGTTTTCTTTATTCGCCCGTTGAGAGTATCAAATGTATAATATTTGGTGAAAATGTGACTGATAAAACTCAAGGAGAGATTGAAAAGTCCCATTTGTATCCTCGTCTTTAGACCTAGGATGGTCTACACCTTTTATCTATATACAAGCCATTCGGATCGATATGTCTCGCCTGTACCCCGCTTTGACCATCAATGCACATGTCAAATTTGGTAGGTGTAGCACTTATAGTTTCAAATAACCTAACTTAATGTCAGCATGTCCATGGACTATGAAAGGTAGGCCGCATCCAGCATCGGATGCCACATGGGTTGAGATGAACTACATGTACCTAAGATGCATCTATGGTGCAAGTTTGGTTGGTCTAACAATTATACGTTCAATGAAACTAACTAAAACGCAAAGATTTAATGTTGATGCCGCCGCCGTCGCCGGAAAAGCAACACCTTAGTCTCGCTTCCGCTACTTCGTGTTCGAATTTCTTTTGTCCAACGATGCTGCATTTAAAAAGAAAATAACGGACGGACTACTCTTTCAAAGGAATACAACAGTAATGAAATAAACACACTATTTAGTTCAGTTAGGTGAAATGGTTAAGTCGCTATAATTTCTCATACTTGAGTAGTACTGGTATGGAGAGTGTCGTGGACAAACATATATGAAGGCAAATGAAGAGCAAGTAACTATAGGACAAAATGACAAAATAAACAACATTACGTCATTGACTTGCTTGTGACGTCATATGATGACATCATGACGGTGCATGCGCCGCAAGCACCCTGTCCACATGCTGATTTTGTTCCAGTTAGATATACTGAGGCCACGATAAGGAAATCATTACATGTTTTGTCAATCATATATTGGAATCTACTAACTAGGCATTCGTAGAGATACATGTATCCATATATATGAATTCACCTTACTCATAACATATAAACGTTAATCATAGAGAAATCAAGACTATACCCTTATAATACAGCGTGACGTATTAATAATAAACGGAGTTGCGGCAAATAAACATCCTGAACAGTTATACATTACAATACACATTGTGTACAGTTTAAACAATCAAATAGTTACAAAAACCAGTGAACATTGTACTAAGATTATTTTGTTTTTTGAGATAACTCAATTCGACATGTGTGCAGTGCGTATCTTGTATATTAAAAACACATCAAATTTAAACATTTGGTGACTCACTTTTCACCACTTATACAATCGGTGTGGTCAAATTAATCAGTTTAATTTATATAAACATGCACAACCACGAGAATAAGTAATTTACATGAATATGTTATCATGACATAGTATTGTACATGTAGGAATATGTACCGACCTAAACAACGATAGAGTATAAAATAAGCTACGATTTAGGTATTACATTAACGGCACATTTACGTTATATATACATATAAATGATCGACTCATCACTTGCATAACCGAAGTGTTCAGGCAACTATGTATAAACTACATATAAAGATGTATGGATACGGGTCTGGCGAAGATATTGAAGAAGGGTTGTCTCTGGGCTTGGGCTCCCAACCTCGATCTAAAATATAAAAAGTACACGTATACATCTAGAAAAAACTACGTCATATATGTACAGAAATCACTTCATACAGGCACAACAACACAAATCAACGTCGGTACAAAAGGTCGATAAAGAAAATAATAATTACTTGACATTTGTGTTTAATCTTAATTGGCCCATAGACGCAAACGTATGTACAAAATATTCCAGAGGAATTATGGCGCCCAGCATTGTACTATCTTCATTATTTCTGTGCTATCTTTCAGAGAAAGCATTTTGTTGCAACTTTTGACATTATTATTTCAAAATGAGGTTTTCCTCTTACTACATTATCATTGAGTAAACAAGAAAGACTCCTGACTTCTGACAGAAATATAAAATATATTCTTCTGACAAAGCCCTACAATGAACTTTGCAAAACTGAGGAACAGGATGAACCAACTGAAGGAACTTAAGGCATTTACTTTACCATCTGAGAAATTGCGATAACAATTGATGAATCTCAATACTAGATATGCACAAATATGGACCAAGAGGAAATAACACGTGATCAAAATATCTCGTTTACTATTTAAGATATAGCGATAACATTATTTGCCTGTCAATGTCCGGGATGGCCGCCTGGTAGCTATTTTTTGTCAACAAGTTTGAATCAACTTCTTAGGAATAGCGATAACAAGTATAATACGGAGAGTTGTACGGACGGACCACAGACGGACCACGGACGGACCACAGACGAAAAACGATTTGAACAAACATCATCTGATGACTGCGAGCCAAACGTTTTTGATCGAAACAGGAGAAACGAAGAAGATGAATAACAAAACAAATAATGCAATTGTTGCAGGATATGGACGGACTAGCTCTGTTTACGGAGCCTGTACTAATGCCAGAACGGTAACTATACATTGGAAATATTTTGCTTGACAAGTTATTCCTATAAAAACACATATGCCATGAGAATTTTACGATGGACCTTTTCAGGGTTGATGAATTTATTTTAATTCAATTCAGATTTATTTAGTTACTGTTTTCAGCTAAAATTCTTCTAAAATTGAAAAAAATGACTTCCCGTATCGCTCGACTGGATATCAAAGAACCACTTCTCATTATTGATATATGGTAAAACCGTTGGGGGCTGAACTATTTCCATGAATCAGAATAACCCGATAACCGAGTCCGCAGAAGGTTGGTGGGCTTTCCGGGCCAAACTATGGTCATATGATTGTACAGTCTCATCATGTATAGCATGTGCATATGGTAACAGGGTGTAAATCTCAACCGTTATCATGTTGCGACACAGTGACTTAAGTCCCAATGGGCGAGGTTGGCCCAGGAACCAATGCTGGTAGTGTGATGGTTTTAATTGTCATACCAAGCAATCAAGCATAGGTTTTAGGATGGGGATTCTAACCATTTCAATGTGATAATTTGTGGACTAGTCCCCATGAGCAGGGACGAACCTTAGGCAATATTTACATGTGTACCAATTCTTTAAAGAGCTATGGATTGAGAACTCAACCAATTCCATGCTATCATCTAGAAAACTATTTCCCCGCGTCATGCAGGACCCTGAAGGGTGTTTCTAGTAGAGAAGTTGCATTGACCAGTTATATGTAATATCAGGCAAAAATCTATGTAGTTGAAAATCAAAGAAAAAGAAGATGAAAGATGGAGCTAAATCCCCAGGATTGGTTTGGACTCGAGAGTGTGCCCTGGTCGGAATAATGTATTGGTCCTATAGCCATATGTGTTTTATGTATACTATGTGCTTGAGTATTGGGGTTTAGCAGTTGTATGAAGTACAGCAGTTCCTCTATTAAGGCCCTACCCCTCCAGCTCAAGGGATAACAGCAACTTAATGTATAGAGTACATGGCCACTTCTTAAGATGAATAGGGTTTCCCATGTAGTATTGAAAAGCTTAATTCAAATTTAAGGACCAAACAACATGCCTTATTGGAATCACACACTATACAGCGTTAAGTGTCAAGACTAAATGGAGACTAATTTGGTCAGAAATAAGTTCCAGGCCAAAATATGATATACTCGTACCCAAGACGTACACTCTAAAATATTTACATGAATTTCCTCAGTTTGCTCCACTCCTTTCTTCTTTTTCTTAATGCGCACGAGTTGAGAATAAAAGTGATGTATTACTTATGCAGCAGATATCGATGTAACGAAGTTTTAATCAATGTTAAGGGAGACACAGTATAAAAATAGATACTCGTGATCTGTGTGGTTAGGTGTATTACCTTTTTACCGTTGACGAAGAAGACCAATGTGTTCCGTGGATCCATGGTGTCCCGTAAGTTGTAACCGAGCCAGGCGTCTGTCGGAAGTAAGGAAATAGGCTAATAAAAATGGCACAGATCTCTTTGTCATGTCCTTATAGAACGACTTATTGGGTGACTATCCTCGATAACAAAATACCTATGTTGCTAGGGTCGTCTTACCTTGCCACGTATAACAATGATGACACTGTTCACGTCACGGTAAAACAGATAACTACAAATGACGTGATTCAACTTTAACCCCTTTCCCTCGAACCCGACGTTTTTTCTCTGGTTTATTATGTTATCTAAACGAACCAGAACGTGTTACTGTGTGGGCAAATATCTATTGCCCAGATTTCGAATGACCTACTAGCACTGTGCCCTTTTAGATAAAACCAAGCATTTTCTTGTTAAAGTTTTCCGTGCCTGATTTTGTATATACAGAATTAATTAACACGTTCTATTCTAGAAAACATTTGGATTTGTGATTTTTTAACGCCTCCTTCTTATAAAATTCCAACAAACTGCTTCCGGTGGCCGGAACGGAGAAGGACGCAAGCTAAAAATGGTGTGAGAATTTAATCGATTGATCATGTTTGTGTGGACATTATCCGTTAATAATCACCTTTATATGTCAACATATTGACAAGTTATGATTTTCTTCAAGTTGAGAACATTATCAACACGAAGAAACCAATCAATGACTCTATTACGGATATCCTGTCATGATGAGTGTATCATTCCCTTGCATACAGTATTATAAGCATATACACAGTAATATCACTCTATTTATATGTAGTTACCTGATATCAGTGTAACTCATGACATCGTAATAACCTATTGTGTCAGGTCAAAGTCGTAACATACCTTGACTGTGATGGTTAAACATCAACGTTTTTATATTCCCAAAATAAAAATAACACTCTCCTATCTGTGTTTACATACGTTAAAAATCCTACACGTGTCATGGGCTTACTTTTTATTGGTAATCTTTTCTGCCTAATATGTGTGTTACTATAAATAGTAACAGTTTATTTATATCGCCTAATCCTCTCTATGGCAAGCATGCTTTGAATCTGGATCTTGGTCTCCTTTGTGCTTGCACAAACCCCATTTTTCAGCATCTGTGTCAAAAGGAGATGCTACGTTGATCATGACAGGAACCACATAAACGATGATCTGATGATCTTGTTTTGAAGTGAGTTAAACTTTGTCGGTATGACACTGGCATTTTTGTTGTTTTTTGTATATATGTTAACCTACTTCTTTCTTACATATAGATGCAAATTTTCTTTTATATTAGAACTATATGCCTCCTATCATGTACATGTAAATAACTCATGTTATCATAGTCATCATCTCCAACCAACTCCAAGTTATCATTATACATTGCCCGTGTGTCTGAGTAAATATTGTCAGTTTGAAAACGGTTGATATGCACCTAAATATATGTACTGAGATACACGGGCATCTTAAGAAAGACTTGACTAGTATCTCTGTGATGAGGTTATTACTTGAATTTCTTCTTCTTCTTCTTCTTTATACGAGGGCTCCATCAGTTTGATGATTATGCCATCGGGGGTCCTATATTGTAGAGGCGTGAAGGGGTTATTTATGATTCCCTGAGAGCTTCACCCCCTCCCCTTATACACTATCATATATTTTTGCCTTATTCAGTAATGTTAATTAACAACAATAGTTTTAAAATGTTTGTCCTTAGTAAAATTGTTATTTTAAGTAATGATGTAGAATTAAATCCTGGGCCCCAGGGCAATCTTGAAATAATCCATCTTAATGTTAGATCAGTACGTAACAAACTTGATATAATTGAAGCAGAATTTGCAAGTAATGATATTATCTGTTTGACAGAGACACATCTCAATCAGGAAATACATAGTAATGACATTATGATTGATTCACATCCTGGTGAACCACATAGGAGGGATAGATTAACAGGATTTGGAGGGGGCATTTTAATATATTATAAAGATACAGTTTTAACCAAAAGGAGACATGATTTAGAGAATGATGACATTGAAATATTATGGATTGAAGTTTGTGCAGGGAATCATAAATTATTACTTGGGTGTATATATAGACCCCCTGATGCAAATGTTGAGTACTGGACAAAATTAGATACAATTCTTGAAAATGCAACAAACACAACACTAGATATAATTATTACAGGTGATATAAATAACGATATGTTAAAACTACGACCTAACTCTCATCTTTCTAAGCTCTTAACAAAGTATAATATTAAAAGTATGATAAAAGAACCTACACGTATAACTACAAATAGCTCTACATCACTAGATGTATTGTTAACAAACAACAGTCGTTTGATTCAAAGTACATTAGTTAGTCCAAAGTTGTGTAGTGACCATTCACCTATTAGTTTTATTATTTCTTATTCAGTTTTTAAACATAGATCATACAAGAAAAAAATTCTGATGTATGAAAATGCAGATTTTGGGAAAATGAATATGTCTTTGAATGAAATAGACTGGCTAGCAATCTCACAAACAAACAACACTAAAGAATTTAATAATATACTTACTGAAGCTATTTCTGATCAAGTTGTTAAATGTATACCTTCAAAATTGATAACTATCCGGCCAGATGACAAACCGTGGATGACCAATAAAATAAGGCTGATATTAAGACAGAAAAATAGAATTCACAAAAAAGCAAAAAATATTAATAGTCAGACTTGTTGGGAAACCTTTAGACTAATTAGAAATGAAGCTATTGATATGATAAGAAATGCCAAGAAGTTTTATCTTGAAAATCTCCAAAAATCCTTATGTGATAAATCTGTACCACCTAGTAAGTGGTGGAAAGTTGCCAAATCTGTTTTAAACTTTAATAATAAACTGAAAAGTATACCACCAATATATGATGAAGGAATGAGCATTCAACACCCAACTGATAAAGCTGTGACTCTAAATAACTACTTTTCATCTATAGCATCTTCTTCTCCTGATCTTGAACAATTACCTCCCTTGGTTAATAACTTTCCTTCTAAACTAGATAATATCTTTATTTCTGAGCAAGATGTTTTAGACCAATTACAAATCCTTAATGATAAAAAACCGCCTGGTCCAGATGAGATGATCCCAAAAATTATTAAGCAGCTTCGTTCCTCCATTTCATTACCGCTACAATTGCTATTTAATAAAACCATAGAAACTGGCAAAATACCAACATCCTGGAAATTGGCAAATGTTAATGCTATTTATAAGGGTAAAGGGTCACAGAATGAAGTTACAAACTATAGACCAATATCAATCACATCATGCTTTAGTAAAATTATTGAAAAAATTATATTTAAAAATTTATATAACTATCTTACTGATAATGAAATCATATCCAAACATCAATCTGGATTCTTACCTGGTGACTCGACTGTAAATCAGCTTTTATCTATATATCACATAATAGTAAGTAATTTAGATGGGGGTAAAGAAGTGCGATTTGTATTTTGTGATGTGAGCAAAGCTTTCGATAGAGTATGGCATGATGGTCTTATATTCAAACTAGAGTCAATTGGAATAAAAGGAAAATTGTTATCTTGGTTCAAAGACTATTTATTTGAAAGAAAACAGAGAGTGTTTACAGAGGGCCACTTTTCAAATTTTACTAATGTTAATGCTGGAGTTCCTCAGGGATCAATTCTTGGGCCTTTTTTATTCCTACTGTACATTAATGATATAACAGACCAAGTTAATAATAATATTAAATTATTTGCTGATGATACTTCCTTATACATAATTATTGATAATAATCCAATACAAGCAGCAGAAAGTCTAACAAATGATCTTCAGAATATAAGTACATGGGCAAAAAAGTGGGACTTAAAATTTAATGCTGCAAAAACTGAATCTGTTATTTTTACTAGGAAAAAAGAACCAAATCACCCACCTATTTCTTTCTTGAATGAACCACTAACTAACAATAGATTTCACACTCATCTTGGTCTTACTTTCACTGAAGATGGTAAATGGGCTGAACACATACAAAATACCTATGATAAGGCATATAAAAGAATAAACATTCTTAGAAGTCTAAAACATTCTGTTGATAAAAAATCACTTATTATAATGTATACCTCTTATATTAGGCCAATCTTAGAATATGCAAGTGTAGTATGGGACAATTGTACAGAACAGGAAAAAACACTTCTCGAATCAGTCCAATTAGATGCAGCCAGGATAATTACAGGATTACGCCGAGGAACATCTCATGTGAAACTTTACGAAGAATTAGAATGGGAAACATTAGCTGAAAGAAGAAATAAACAAAAATTAATTTTTATGTATAGAATTCTGCATAATGACTCCCCATCTTACTTATTAAATATTATAGATCCATTTATTAATGATATTACAAGTACAAGATATGAGTTAAGGGGAAATAGAATTTTTAATCCGCCTCTCTGTCGAACAGATAATTATTTTAACAGTTACTTTCCTGCCACTCTCAACAAATATAATCAGCTGGACTCTACTATTACTAACTCCCAATCCCTATCTCAGTTTAAAAAACACCTAAAAAACCTTAACAAACCCCATAATGATGTAACCCTCATATTTAAATATTCAGGATGCAGAAAAATTAATATTATTTTATGCCAACTACGAAATAAGGCCAGTAATTTGAACTTTGACCTTTATAATGATCACTTGTCTGGATCACCTACTTGTGATTGCAGACAGGATCAAGAAACCCCCTACCATTACTTTTTTGAATGTCAAAATTTTAATAACCAAAGACATGTTCTGATGAACTCTTTACCGAATGATAATCATATGCATAATAATATAAATGTCTTTCTCAATGGTTGTTCACAATGTAGTGATGATATAAGTGCTTCTATACTTGAAAAGGTATCAGTCTTTATCACTGATACAAAGAGATTCCTTAACCACCATTAGTTGTTTCTGTACTGTGAATAATAAAATTCATCTTGCTTACAAGTCTTTCTACAAAAAAATAAAAAAAAAAAAATAATATAATTCTTACTTTATAAATTGATAAAATAAATTGATGAATGTAGGTGGTTGGATGATGATGAAAAAATGATGACTTCTGCTGAAAATAATTAACTATATACAAAATATGTACATTGTATTATCAAAAATCTCCTAGTGTTGCATGGCGAGGATCCAAGGTCTGCTGGGGTGAATGACCAAAGCCAGTGTATGGCTAAGGACTTTGTATGGTCAGAATCCCTACTAGCTTATGGATCTCTTGCAGCCCAACACTGGGGGATCCTTGGTCTAAATACCTAAAACTTCTATGGGAGTTACTCCCCTTGCATCACTATTTCTGTAACTATTTCATGTACCATTTCTTTCTATTTCTTTCTATATATAGTTTATATTTGTTTGTAATTCTGGCTAGGAGAGGACTTATATAGGCATAGCCTGTTGTCCAATCCTTTTGATTTTTCAATAAAATTTACTGAAATGAAAAAAAAATCCAACAACAGACGTTCAAAATAGTGCCCGAACCGACAAATAAATCGCTACATATTAAAGTATAGGATGAGGCAATGACGTTTTATCTTTATACCTAATAAATTTAACTCTATCCCACCAGTACCTCAATATGTTAACAAAAGAACGAATGTTCCAAATAAATATAGTTTAGGAATACATTCTCTACCAATGATTTATACGAAGTATGGTAGACTGTCGGAAGAAAATCCTTTCAGGAGAATGCCAAAATGTGAACACAAACTCGATGAAAGCAAGCGACGGAGAAATATGAACAAATGAAAGATATACATGTACCCCCTTAAAATGTAGGAGAGTAAGCGTCTTCTGGCGTTCACGAGTAACGTCACATAAGTGAGAACAAGGTAGTGACAACATCCAAATATTGATATTCCTATGGAAAAAACTAAGAATATCCCCTTCAGGATCACGATGGCGACAATAAAATTAAGAATATCCCCTTCAGGATCACGGTGGCGACAATAAAACTAAGAATATCCCCTTGAGGATCACGATGGCGACAATAAAACAAAGAATATCCCCTTCAGGATCACGATGGCGCCAATAAAACTAAGAATATCCCCTTTAGGATCACGATGGCGACAATAAAACTAACAATATCCCCTTCAGGATCACGATGCCACAATAAAACTAAGAATATCCCCTTGAGGATCACGATGGCGACAATAAAACAAAGAATATCCCCTTCAGGATCACGAAGGCGACAATAAAACTAAGAATAGCCCCTTCAGGATCACGATGGCGAAAATAAAACGAAGAATATCCCCTTCAGGATCACGATGGCGACAATAAAACTAAGAATATCCCCTTCAGGATTACGATGGCGACAATAAAACTAAGAAAAGCCCCTTCAGGATCACGATGGCGAAAATAAAACTAAGAATATCCCCTTCAGGATCACGATGGCGACAATAAAACTAAGAATATCCCCTTCAGGATCACGACGGCGACAATAAAACTAAGAATAGCCCCTTCAGGATCACGATGGCGACAATAAAACTATGTTTATTCAGTCCTCAACATCGTTGTTTCTATTGAAGTTTCGGAAAGCAAAAGAACCCAACATTAGTCTGAAATATTCAGCAGGCAACGATAGCATATACATGTTCATCAAAAGCAGCTGTAGACACCAAACATAATCATTCACTAGGCTGACTTACTTGACCACACTCACGTATGCGTTTATCGAGGGTACCGAGGTATACGATTTTAGAATGTGTATAAACATCGGATACAAAGTATTGCTAGTATTTACAGTGTACTGATGTGTATACGTGTATTATTAACCAAAATCATAACAGTTCACATGTACATCATATATTACTCAAAATCCCGAAACCGAGCCCCTGTGCACATAACTACATAACTTAATTCAAAAACGTCATCTTCACCTATAGCTACAGGTACGCTTTGGTGGAGCAAAACAGTTTTTGTAAAATGTGATTTTTTTCAGTATTAATTTGTATATTGCGAATTGTAATACATGATAAAAATGACAATTGTGAGATTTCAACAAGTTTTTGTAGATGCAAGTTCTGTTCAAAGATATAGATAACATACGTACAGTGGTCTTTTATTATACTTACTGTTATTACATATATTTGTATGTTTTGAATGATAAAATAACAAAAATAATAAAAAAAATAAAAATCTGATAAGATTCTCAAATATTTTTTTCGTAATACTGGTGTGCTTTTTTTCTTTGTATGATTGATAAAATCACTACATTTTCAATTAATTTCAGACTAAATATTTGGTCATTATGCAAGGTAAGTTAAAATTTGATATCTGAATAGTTTGTTTTTGAAGGAATTTGACAATTTTCACCTTAGAAAATTGGGGAAAATGTGCAGGTTTTTTTAAGGAAAATCAATATTTTTCCAAAATACTTTTTCTTTCTCTATAACACTGAATATTTACAGTATTCGCTGTCCAATAGTGGTTCAATATCATTGGAATGACTAAAAGAGCTATTAAAGAGACATTTTGATTTGATTTTTTTTATACTGTAGTATATTATCACGGATTTAAGTCCTGATATTCTTATTCATATACACAAGAAAAAAAAATGACCCCCTGCCATACATAAGATTTGAGAGTCAAGTTGACCATGACAACAGCATTAAGTTACGTCGACGTAGTATTCCATGTGATGTTTATTTTAAGATGCTGCGAATTTCAAAACAAATACTGAAATATATCACTTTTATAAATTATTTTTAAATGATATAATGACAACCCGGCAGTACAATAGAAATGCCGTTTTCAAACATTCCGGTAGTCTGTCCTAACAACCATGCATCCCCTTACTCGACCATTCGAAACACCTAACAACAACGAATTATAATTTGTAATACTAAGTCACTAAACACGTTTCTTAAGTGCAACACATTGTTAAATTAAGTCATTAATCCATTTACTTAGTTTTATTGTAGACCAAAGCTTACATTTATCGTTTTAGTCCTATCCGGATATGCACAACACAATTACTATCGCCACATGAAAACTTTCCGGAATCCGCCCCCCGGCATACCGTTTTTTGCTTATCTAACCCGGAGTGTCAATAGCTACTCCGAACAATGAAACAGCCTCTCATATTATTTTATACACTATTCCAATAATCTTTAATATCTCTACATGATCCAAAGAATCTGCTCTTACGTCAATAAATCGAACAGCCCTCACCTGCTATGCAGCACACTGATATCTGCTGCACACCGTTGATACACAGCTTGGCGATATGTGTAAGGAACGACAACTCTGTGTAGAGATTGATAAGATAAAAATGTAGAGCAAATGGAGAGGAAAAACCGTCTTGCGGAAAAACCACATCCGGAGAGATGTTTCTCTCAAAAGACACTTTATAGCCCGTTACGCAGATGACACAAAGTACATACTTGGCAAATCTCACCGAGTTTTACAATTAGTTTGCAGCCCTTAAATTTGGAAAGAAGGTTAATCGCCCCCTCCCCCTGAAATCCCCCC